TTGGTGCGGGGTGGGCGGCAGCCACTGGGCGGCGGGGACTGCGCAGTGCTGAAGGAGGAGCGGAGCCTGTTTTCCATCGGGGCCTGAGATAGCTGTCGCCCTCACTACCCCTGTCGCCCCCGTCCCCTGCTGTCGCTCCACTCCCCTTACCAACCCCAAGCTTCCTGCCGGCCCCACTGCCCCTGCCGGTCCCACTGCCCCTGCCTGCCCCACTGCCCCTGCCGGCCCCACTGCCCCTGCCGGTCCCACTGTCCCCCTGCCGGCCCCACTGCCCTGCCGGCCCCACTGCTCCTGCTCTCCCTGCTCCTCCAGTCCTTCCTGAGCCCCTCCCTCCCCTTGCTGCTCTGCCTGACCTGACTCCTTGCTGCTCCTTATCCCTGCTGCTCCAGAGGAGCTTGCTGTGAATGCATGCTCTCCTTCGCTCTTTCTCACGCTGCTGTCCTGCCTCTGCTTCCTACCCCCGGCCCTCCTGTCACGCTATAAATGACACTGCTGTTGCTGGCACTGCTGCTGTAGATGGTGCTGCAGGTGGTGCTGCCGCCACTGCAGGCTATGCACATATGGCAGCAGCAGCAGCTGAAGCGGCAGGCAGCAGCCACAGCAGGGGCAGACGCAGCAGCAGTAGCAACAGCAGAAGCAGCAGCAGCAGCAGCCGGAGCAGCAGAAGCAGTTGCAGCAGCAGGCATGCATGTGAGAAGGCACCAGTGAACCATCAGGTACCCGAAAGACCTGACTCCTCCAAACCTCCCACTTTCTCCCCTCTCACCCCTCCTACCCCTCATGCTCCTCCCCCTCTCACCCCTCGCCCTCCTGATTCTCCTCCCCCTCATGCTCTGGGCCTCACAGGGGGGGCCACACAACAGCCAGAGCAAGGCTACCATCCCTGTGGACCCCTTGCTTGGCGTCAGGTTCGGCAAGCCCCAGTGCCAGGTCCGGCACCAGATTCGGTGTATGACTGGGCGTGGCTGCTCACAGCCAGGCAGCCGGCTCGGACGCACGAAGCGCAGCAGCAGGCTCGGCAGCAGAGGGGCCCAAGTGGGGGGGCATGGGATTGGGAGATGTGGGGTGGGGAGGGTCGGCAGGGGAATGGAGGAGAAGGGCGACAAGTGGAGGGAGAGGAAGTGGGGAAGGAAGGAGGAGCAGGTGTGGGAGAAAGAGGAGAAGCGAGGCTGCCTGGTGTGCTATTGGAGGCAGTGGAAGGGGCTCGCCTGTCCAGGAGAGACTTTCAGAGGTGCGTGTGTGGTGGGTGGGGAAGATGAGTGGGTTGCAGTTGTGGGGAAAAGAGAAGGAGCAAAGCTCCCTGGTGTGCTATTGGAGGCAGGCAAGGCATGAGCAAAGCTCCCAGGGGGCAGGGGGCAGGGTGGCAAGGGGCAGAGGGCATGTGGCAGGGTGGCAAGGGAATCCAGGCAGTGGGGTGCTTCCTGTAACCTCTACATGCTCCTTCTTAGACTCGGCCCATTGCCCCCTGTTTTTCATGTCCATCCCGTGTCGCCATGTGCCAGGTGGGCAGGCACATGGCGAGCTGTCAGCGCAGGCCCTGCCTGCGCTGTTGCCGCCCTGCATGCTTCCTGTTTCCCTCACATGCTCCCTTTCAGACCCTGCCCATTCCTTTCCACCCTGATTCACAGTGGTGCGATTACTATCTGGTGCCTACCATTTCCCTGAGGCAGGTGGTAGGTGCAAGGCGGGCTGTCAGCGCAGGCAACGGGGTGCTCCCTGCTTCCTTCACATGTTCCTTGTTTTTAACCCATCCCACTGTCACCCTGTTCACTGTGTGCTATTACTCTCTGCTGCCTACCATTTCCCCCGTGGCAGGTGGCAAGCACAGGGCGAGCTGTCAGCACAGGCAACCGGGCGCTTCTTACTCCCACTTCATGCTCCTTCTCAGGTCCCTCCCATTTCTTGCCACCCTAATTCACCCTTCCCATTCCTTCTCTCTGCTGTCTACCATTTCCCCGTGGCAGGTGGCAGGCGCAGGGCGAGCTGTCAGCGCAAGCAACGGGGTGCTTCCTGCGGCTGCGGCTGGGCAGGAAGGGCGAGCACATGGGCGGCACAGGGTACTGCATGGGACGAATCACAGGTGCGCGTTGAGTGTAGGGAGAGCTGGTTGGTGACTCAGGGTGGAGAAAGAAAGAGAGTGTCGACAGCTGTGGGTGAGAGGCTGGGCAGGAAGGGCGAGCACATGGGCGGCACAGGGTACTGCATGGGACGAATCACAGGTGCGTGCCTGGGTGGTGTCCAATGCTCGTTTTCTCTGGCCGATGTCTCCCAAACCAAAGTGCCCATATTGTCCCACACGTCTTCAAATTTTTGTCCCACACGTCTTCTAAGTTTTGGAGGAAAAGCGTGAGAATGTGGCATTACAAAACTGGATGACTACCCTCCTGTCCTGCTCACCTCAAAAACGGTGCCACTCATCCCATCTTTTCACACCACGCATCCATCCCGTGCCCCTCTCTCTTGCTTCTTCCTCCTCTGCAGCTATTTCCAGCATGAGCAAGAAACCACCCACAGCAGGCGCAGGGGCAGGAGGAGAGGGGGATGCTGCAGGGGCAGCCAAAGGAGGCCTGACAGGGCCAGCAGGGGCAGGCAAAGAAGACGTAGCAGGGGCAGCAGCACTGGATGTGAGCTGTCGTCGTGTGTGGACTCTTTGCCTCTTGCTCTCGTGGTGGACCTGGGCGATCGAGAGTACACAGTGGATGGCCAATTCCTCTCCAACAAGCCATTTCTTGAGGTAAATTGCCTATCATCTTTTGTGTGGTGTTTTTTCCTCGGTGCTTTTGCGCCAAGAACGTGCACATGTTTCATGGTCGTTTCTCCTGAATCCTTATTTTTGGAACGGTGTTAATGTTCTATGTTTTCAGTTTACTAGAACAAACGCCTTGTTCCATTGGTCCTTGAAATGCCCAGGTGGAGGTCTCTGATTGGTGCGAGAAGATGTGGAGGCGTGGGGGGAGTGCACTTCTTGACTCAGTGCTGTCACATCAGCTCCTGCATTCCAAACTGCACGAACGGAGATCATGGAAATGATTCGCAAGTTTGTTACAAAAAATATGAAATGGTAAAAAAAAATCAAAATGGTAATGCAAAATCAGTTTTTTGCGCTGTGTTACGGGTGCAATGAATCGAAGTAGCGAGAATTGCACTAAGGTGTCAAACGAGTACCAAATGTGAGCGAAGGCATGAGCGAACATTTATACGCGAAACATGCAAAACGGTAACGCGGTGCGTGCGAGCTTGCTAGTGCTACGCTGGAGCGAGGCTCGGGCTAGTCCCGAAGCGTAGGCCGATACGGCCATGCCAGCAGTGCGAGGTTTGGCAAAACAGGTGCGCGCGAAGTCGGCGAAGTTCCGTTAGCAGTAACGGGCGAACAATCGGCTGTTGCTGTACGCGATGTAGTCGGCCCCGTAAGGAATGCCGAGAAAATTCCTTACACTACCCCCCCCCCCCTTAAGAAGCCCCCTCCGCTACGCGAGTGCGTGTATATCGCGGAATCCCCGGCTCCTCAGGTACACTTGCAGGGCAGAGTGGTTTTCGATGTTGGGCAGGGGCACCCAGCTGTCTTCAGTTGGCGTGCGGTCCTTCCAGCGAACGAGGAATTCAATCCTCCTGATTCCCGTGGGGTGGCGGATCCGATGGCTTAGGATTTTTTCGGGCTCGATGATCGGCTCCGATGCAGGGCGAGTCATTGATTGTGGGCGGTGACGCGGCAGTTGACTTGTGGTCGGGACGTATGGGCGAAGTAGGCTGACGTGGAACGAAGGGCTGATGTACCAGTCGGTTGGCAACAGGAGGTGTGCGGTGACGGGTGTGATCATGTGACTGATTTGGAATGGTCCACAGTAGCGCGGTCGTAATTTCGGTACGTCGGGCAGTCGCAGATTTTGCGTGTCGAGCAGCACGTAATCTCCAGATTGGTACGTGACAGGGCGGCGGTGGCGATCAGCGTTGCGCTTAGCGATGACGTTGGCCTTTTTTATTGCTTCGGCGGCTCTGGCGCGGGCAGCTTGCAGGACTTCGGCGAATTGTTGTGCACGTGGCGTTGGGTTGTCTGGACTCGGCGTCATGGGCACTGTGGGGTTTTGCCCATAATTCAGGTAGAACGGGGACTGCTGCGTCGTGGCTGATGTGGCGTTGTTGTACGCGAACTCGATCAGCGGCAGTTGCTGCTCCCAGGTCGTGGGGTCGTCGCACGTGGCACGAATCAACTGCTCCATCGTCTGATTCGTCCGCTCCATTTGGTCGTCGGTCTCGGGGTGGTACGACGAACTGAACTGTAGCCTGGTCCCGAACTGCTCCCAGAGGTTCTTCCAGAAGTTGCTGGTAAACTTCGTGTCCCTGTCGCTGATAATTGCTGCTGGTATCCCGTGCAGGCGAACAACGGCTGCGATGAACAGGCGAGCGGTCTCCTCGGCTGAGATCGACTTTTTGCACGCAGCGAAGTGTGCCATCTTCGTCAGCCTATCCACGACGACCATCACCGCGTCGTTACCCCCAGGGTTCGAAGGTAACCCTGTGACGAAGTCCATGGTTACTTGCTGCCAGGCGCGTTCGGGCGGTGGGATCGGCTGCAATTGACCCGCCTTCCGCTTCCTTGAACTCTTTATCACCTGACACGTCGGGCACGAGCCCACGTGCTGCTGTACGTCGGTCAACAGCTCCGGCCAGTAATAGTACCGCTGCAGTTGCTGTCGTGTTTTTTCTACCCCGAAATGTCCCGAGGTAATCCCGTCGTGTGCCTCCTGCAGCAGCAGCTCCCTCAGTAGTGAGTACGCGGGTACCCAAATGCGGTTGGTGCCTGTTTTTACGTAATAGACCCCTTTTGCTTCTGCCAGTTGCTGTGAATTTCCGGTCGTGAAAAATGGGTCGGTGCGGTATCCGTGGGTGAATAGGCCAGTTAAAAGTGGGTTGGTCTGGGCGAGTAGGATGGCGTGGAGTTGGGCGGTGGGGCGGGTGAGAGCGTCGGCGATGTTGGATGCTCCTTTTTTGTACGTGACGGTGTAGTGAAAATTGGACTCAAGATAGTCCAACCAGCGAATCTGTCGTGGGTTGAGATTCGGTTGGGCGCGAAGGTACTGTAGTGAACGGTGGTCTGTCCGTACTGTCACGTCGGCGCCAGTCAGGTAACACCGCCAAACTTTGAACGCGTGCACGATCGCCAGCATTTCACGGTCGTGTATCGGGTAGTTGCGTTCGGGCGGGTGTAGCTTGCGGGACTCGTACGCGATTGGCTGGAGGCCATTCCCGAAGTCCTGCAACAGTACTGCTCCCACAGCGATGTCACTTGCGTCAGTGACGAGCTCGAACGGACGGTGTGGATCTGCGATGTGAAGCACGGGCGGTGAGCACAAAATGTTTTTGAGAGCCGAGAAGGCAGCTTGTTCTTTCTCCCCCCACGTGTACTCAACCCCCTTCCTCAGCAGGTCGGTCAACGGGGCAGTCAGCTTCGCCATGTCGGGGACGAACCGGCGCACGTAGTTGACGAACCCCAGGAAACTCTGCAACTCGGTCAAGTTGGTCGGCGCGTGCCAAGCCTGAATCGTCGCAATTTTCTTCGGGTCTATTTCCACTCCTGCAGCTGAAATAACATGTCCCAAAAACTCCAGGCGGTCCTGTAAAAACTCACACTTAGATGCTTTGGTCAGTAGGCGGTTCTCACTCAGGATTTTTAAAACTGCTTCGATGTCTTGTAAGTGCTGTGCTCTGTCAGGGCTGTAAATCAGTATGTCGTCCAGATAAACGATGACGCACTTATCTAAAAGTGGGCGGAATGCTTCGTTCATGGTCATTTGGAAAGTGGCGGGGGCGTTGGTCAGTCCGAATGGCATGACGGTGTATTCGAAGGATCCGTAGCGTGTTCGGAATGCGGTTTTAGGGCAGTCGGGTGGGTTGACGCGGATTTGGTGGTAGCCTCCCCGGAGGTCAATTTTCGAGAAAACCCGGGCTGTGCGCAGTTGGTCGATCAGTTCGTCGGCTCGTGGGATGGGGTAACGGGATTTGATGGTAACCCTGTTCAGTGCTCTGTAGTCGATGCACATGCGAAAACCCCCGTCCTTTTTCGGTGTGAACAGTATTGGTGCGGCGAAGGGCGACGAGCTAGGGCGAATGAATTCTTTCTCGAGCAGGTAATCGAGCTGCTTCCTTAGTTCGTCTAGTTCGGGTTGGGTCAGTCTGAACTGTCGCTGTACTGTTGGGTGTGCCCCCGGTTCCAGTTCTATCCTGTGATCGTGCGGTCGCTGAGGTGGCAGTCCCGTCGGTAAGTCATCCGGGAAAATGTCACTGTATCGTGTTAACAGTGCTGCCAGATCACTCGGTACGTCGGTCAGCAGTTTCTGTAAACCCCCTCCCTTGTCTGCTGCCTCGGCTTCCCGAATGTCAACCGCGTACACGTCAGCTCCGGCCGCTACAGCGCGTTTCATCGTGATCGCATTGACACGCACCGACGAAGACCCAGGCGAGCCCCAGCGAGGTAAGGCGATGTTGTTACCGTTCACTCGCACGGTGCAGTCACCCGTCGTCCAGTCAATTCGCGGATTGTGTCGTCGCAGCCAATCACGCCCGAGTAAAATGTCGGTTCCGTCGAGGGTCGTTGCGAGCATTTCCTGGCTAAACGTGAAGTTACCCCCGCATCGAATTCGAACTCGGTCTACGCGTTCCCGTATTGCCAGTGGCGTGCCGTCTACCAGTCGTGCGTCGATCTCAGGTAAGCATCTGTCCAGTGGCAGTCGCAGTTTTCGTGCCGTAGCAGTGTTAATGAGGCTGTGGCTGGCTCCCCCATCTACGAAGATTTTAACTAAGTCCGTCCCAATTTTCCCACTGAGCAGTATAGGGCTGTCTACCGTGGTACCCTCCTTATTCGGCCGGGTGTGGTCGATTGCGTGAACCGGCACAATCACTCGGTGAGGGTCGGTTGGGTCGGGCGAGCGGCGTGACCTGTCAGTAGGGGGGCCCGTCTGCTACTGACTTCCAGCGTTTCCCTGCTGCTTGGTCTGTGTCTGCTGCTCAGCTTCCCCCTTTCCCTTAGCGTTTTCCGGGCATTCGCTCTTGCGATGTCCCGGCCGATTGCACGCAAAGCAGCGCCCTTTGAACGGTGCGGCAGCGGCATTTGCGGCGACGGCGCGTATCGTGGCGCTTTCGTTCGTCCCACGAGGCCGATGTCCCCAGTTGTTGTTTCCGTAGGACCCCGGTCTCGGTTGGCGAAAGAAGTCGAGCTTCTCCGCCATAGTGAGAATTTCCTGAAATTCGGTGACGCCGCGAAGCTGGATTTCCTGAGCGATGTCCTGCTTCAGGCCGCCGATGTAGCGGTCGATGCGCTCGCTCTCATGCATGTAGCCCACCTGTTCGCATAGCGCCAGAAATCCGCTCGTGTAGTCCTGGACGGAACCGAGTTGGCGCCAAGTGCGGAGCTTCTGTCGCGCCGCGATCGAAGCCGCAATTGGCTCAAATCGAGCGCGCAAACCTGCGCACCACGCGTCCCACGTGCGATACTGGGGCACCTCCACGAAATACGATGGCGCCCAGGGTCCGGTTTGTCCTTCCCGTGTCGGTAGTGTCGCGTAGTCTGTCGGCTTCGTGACGATGACGCGCCACCAGTCCATGGCGGGTCCTCGTAGCAGCGACACGGCGTATCGAATCTTCGCCGAGTCCTCCGAGACGTAGTTGGCGTCGAAGAAGACATTCATTGTGAACAACCACGCCTGAACGGTAGGACCACCCCGTTGACTCGGATCAAAGCATGGCGGGCGCTGCGGCTTCAGCGGCATCGGTGACGGCAGTCCCGAGTCGTGGGTTGGTGCCGAAATCGTGACGCGAGGCTGACTTGGGGCCGCATGCGTCGCTATGGGGTGTGTCGTGCCGTGGTCGTCGTCTCCGTCGGGGCGGACGACGCCATCGGTGGCCGCGCTCGCGGGTTGCCCCACACTCCCGTGTTGTGATGTTGAGGGTGCAGGTTGAATCGGAGTGCCAGGTGCTTGAGATTGTGCTTGTTGTGCCCTCATGAGGTCATTTTGCAGCGATGAGCGTTCTGCCGTTAATGCCGCGATTTCCTCGGAGCTTTCGTGCAGCTGTCGCAGCAGATCGTTCAAACGCTCCTGCGTGAGGGTGGTGACGTCGATATTTTCAGCCATGACGAAGGGCGTCGGCTCGTCTTAGTCTAGGCGCAGTCGTGGCTGCACGCGTTTACGAGAGAACGCGAGGACAGCGGCTCCTAGGGGCTAAGGTGCGTGAGTCCCTTCGAGTGAAAAATCAAAAGTTGATTTCCTGGTGTGCGGAGATGCGCGGTCCGAAAGAAAGGGGCTCTGATAACCAAGTGTTACGGGTGCAATGAATCGAAGTAGCGAGAATTGCACTAAGGTGTCAAACGAGTACCAAATGTGAGCGAAGGCATGAGCGAACATTTATACGCGAAACATGCAAAACGGTTATGCGGTGCGTGCGAGCTTGCTAGTGCTACGCTGGAGCGAGGCTCGGGCTAGTCCCGAAGCGTAGGCCGATACGGCCATGCCAGCAGTGCGAGGTTTGGCAAAACAGTGCGCGCGAAGTCGGCGAAGTTCCGTTAGCAGTAACGGGCGAACAATCGGCTGTTGCTGTACGCGATGTAGTCGGCCCCGTAAGGAATGCCGAGAAAATTCCTTACACGCTGCCTCAAAGGAAATGTTGCAGAGGTGAGGCGAGACTGGTGAAGTCCAACAATGGACCAGGAGTATTCTTACCTGCTGTATCTCTCAGACGACCTAAATGGAGCGGCTTGATTTGTTTTATGCTAACCTGTGATGCTTTATTGACACAACTACTCAGCGTGTAGCTTCAAGGTGCGTCGTTTCGATGACCTTTTAGAGGGGTCGGAGAAAATGGGGTTTTGTTCGAGGGATGTCCGCCGTTAACACAGGCGCTTTCAGCACCCAGAGTTGCTTCTACGATACGACGCGTGAGTGTAACGGGCGGGCCCTCCTGACCGTACGCCGTAATTCCGAAGTTCCGGACCAGAGTGGTGACGACGAGAAGGGTACTGTACAAGGCTGAACCCGAAGACACGAAGCCGCTATTTGCGCAAGAGCGTCAATTTCGACGTGACCAGACAAAACAAGACATTTCCGAACGGGAGCAAACTCGACGAACCAACCAACCAACGAACCAACGAAGACACAACGCCACAGGCTGACCACAACCAAAAGGCAGGAGATGTGGCGCAGTTCCTTGTGACTGTGTCCAGGTCGGTGGAATCGCCAAATTCCTTCGCCAGATTTCGCCTCGTTCCCCCATCACGGCTGGCGGATCCTCCATGTGGCAGTACCTCACCAGACCAACTGGGGTGTTGATGAACCGCAGGTTCGCATCACAAATCAGGTTCGGCAGCCGTAAGCCCTTCCGCCATGGACCAAACCCACCTGGTTCGGCAAAGCGCAGAAAGTCATATCCACTCCAATCCACACATGCATTCAGTGCACTCAACGGCTCTTCCTGCTTCGTCTGGCTCACATTTATCACATACCCCAAAGCATACTCACATCCACGTCCTCCCCTGGGTTCTTCTGGTCTAGAGGTTACCTTTCTTTCCTGCTTTCATGAGAGCAACACTCAGATGATGGCGGCAACCATGGCTTCGTACTACGTCCCACAGGCTAGTCCTTATTCTCTTACAGCCCTCCGTGTATATGCATCTCCGATGCGTCCGCTGATACGCCTCCTTTGATGTGTCCGTTGACACCTTTCTTTCCAGTTTTTTTGTGATGTCAGAGCCGCGATGCGTTTGTAGTGCATGTCTTGCGCTGCAGCGTAGGCCTCCCCGGTTTGTAACGAAATCTCGGAGCGGTCGTTTCTTGTATGTCGGCACTTTGAACAGCTCTTTCATCTCTTTGTCGAGCTATCCCATCCGTTGTCCTATACCGCACACCTGCTTCTGAGACGTCTCAAAACGCATTCCAAAGCGATCCTCCTTTCTCGCGAGTCTTAATATTTCCGATCCCCCGATCACGCACACGTAGACGATATACGTCTCGTTACCCACTTTCGCGTACCTCTTCGCTGCCACCAGGGTCCAACGGCCAACAGCTTATCGGACATGGGAAGAGAGCTAGAGGAGCTTCGAGCGAGCTACCAACAGGTGTGTCTCCGCGTCGCCCTGTCCGCGCGCTATTCTCGTAAGTATTGGTCCTCGTTAATGTCGCTTTACCGTTCAACGTTTCTGTTGCTTTTTTCTAGGGTTCAGCTCCATGTTTGAAACCTCATGTATGATAATGCAGTCTGTACGCGGTTCAGGGTGACTGTAGTTTTGCACTCATCCGTATCTGTATCAACGTATGCTCGCATATCCGTCCTGTACCTTCTCACGTTGATGTGACTGTTGGTTCACAGGCAGTATTCGATGTGTAACCGCCCGCTGATGCATCTGTGTGTTCGCATGGTCTCACGCGCATGCGTTCCCGTCGTGCATTCCCAGCGTTGATCCCCGTCGTGCATTCCCCTCATGCGTTCCCATCATGCATTCCCATCATGCATTCCCCTCATGCATTCCCATCATGCATTCCCCTCATGCATTCCCATCATGCATTCCCATCATGCATTCCCATCATGCATTCCCCTCATGCATTCCCATCATGCATTCCCCTCATGCCCCCTCATGCATTCCCCTCATGCATTCCCATCATGCATTCCCATCATGCATACCCCTCATGCATTCGCGTCATGCATTCCGGTCATGCCTTTCCGTCGTGCATTCCCATCATGCAGTCATATGTGCCTCCCCTTGTGAATTTCGTGACTCCGTGACCATGCGTCCAGGTGTGCGAGGAGAGGGGCGCCTTGAAAGATCTGCTACTGCAGGAGCTGCTTTAATCGACTCGCCTCTAACATTGTTTGTCCCACATGATACTTGTGACCATGCGTGCGTGCAGGTGTGCGAGGAGAGGGACGCCTTAGAGGACCTGCTACTACAGGAGCAGCTCAAGAATGGCACCCCTGCTGTGAGCCCTTCCTCTTGCCATCCAACGACTTACACCTCCTTTCGTTTTGTGAGGTGCCTCGAGGGAAACATGGCGCCCTTCATTCACCACGCTGTTGCTACATTGCCTTTCCGGTTGCACATTTTAGGGCTCGTTTGTCTCTTCGCTGTTCCGTTCCCTTGTTAGTTTTGTCAAGCATCGAATCTGTCTCGTTGCCTCGCCTCGCCGGTCTGCTGTGATGTGATTGATGTGGTTGGGCTGGCAGGACAAGCAGATGGGTGGAGGAGGCGAGGGCACAAGCAGCAGCGCTGGAGATGGTTTTTGAAGCGTCCATATCGTGGTTGATGTGATTGCTGTGATGTGATTGATGTGGTTGGGCTGGCAGGACAAGCAAGTGGAGGAGGCGAGGGCACAAGCAGCAGCGCTGGAGATGGAGCTGCAAGCCATGGCCTCTCGCTGCGGTGAGTGGGCTGCCGTGCCGTGCCATGCCCTGCCCTGCTTGCGCATCTAAGATGTGGTTTGAGTCGACTCGAGGGCATCCCATTGCCTCCGTGGTGCTGACGAGTTTTAGACTCCTTTCCTACTCCCCTCCTTCCCTCCTTCCCCCCACTCTCCTCCCTGGTGTGTGTGCAGAGGAGTGGAAACGGAGGGCGGGCGAGCGAGCATTAGACCTTGGCGCAGCCTTGTTTTGAGACGTCTTAAATCCTTCCTCCTATTACCCTCCTCCCCTCTCCCTCCCCCTCTCCCCCACCCTACCCTTGGGCGCACAGAACAGAGACATGGAATGGAAGCGGAGCGCGGGCGAGCGGGCAGCGGAGATGAATACAGCGTTGGAGCAGTCGAGTTTTGACACGTCTCAAATCCTTCTCTCTCTTGCCCTTCTCTCTTCCTCCCCCATCTCCCCTTATCCTCTCCCCCCCCCCCCCCCTTCACTGGGTGCGCAGAGGAGTGGAAGCGGAGGGCGGGGGAGCGGGCAGCGGAAATGAACCCGGCGCGCTGGAGGAGGGACTGGAGGAGCTCGATGACTCCTCCTTCCCCCCCTCGACCCCTCCACCCCCCACCCCCCCCCCTCCTCCCCCCCACCCCTGTGCGCGTAGATGAGTTGAAGCGGAGGGCAGGGGAGCGGGCAGCGGAGATGAATCCCGTGTTGGTGCAGGCGCTGCTGGAAGAGCTCGATGACTCAGATTCTCCTCCCCCCTCAACCCCCCCCTCTCCCCCCCCCCCCCCCCCTCCCACCCTCACCACCCCCTCTCCCTACCGTGGGTGCACAGACGAGTGGAAGCGGAGGGCGGGCGAGAGGGCAGCGGAGATGAATCCCGTGTTGGTGCAGGCGCTGCTGGAAGAGCGACTGGAGGAGCTCGATGACTCTGGCGTGCTCGCCCTGCAGGTGAGGGGGTTGTTGTGTTTTGAGTCGACTCAGAACACGACTTGTGTGAGCCTTTGCTCGCCCCGTCTCTGCCTCCCTGCATGTGTGCACGCGTGCGTTCGTGCGTGTGTGTGTGCACACATGCAGGGACGAGCTGTATTCCTAAACGACTCAAAATGCCCCTCTTTCCCTCTCTCCCATGTGCGTGCGTGTCGTGGCAGGTGGAGTGTGCTCGTCTGCGGGACGAGCTGGCCAAATCCGAGGTGTTGCGCTTTGAGCTCTACCGCAGCCTGGAGCAGGGCGCAGGTGAGGGCAGGGGGGGCAGGGCGCAGGTGAGGGTGGGAGCAGCCGCGCAGGTGAGGGGTGCGGTTGACAGGGCGCAGGTGAGGGGTGTTTAGCGCAGGGGGCAGACGTGTCTGGTGCATGTTGCGCAGGGGGCAGACGTGTCTGGTGCATGTTGCGCAGGGGGCAGACGTGTCTGGTGCATGTTGCGCAGGGGGCAGACGTGTCTGGTGCATGTTGCGCAGGGGGCAGACGTGTCTGGTGCATGTTGCGCAGGGAGGGTGTAGAGAGGTGCTGCGCTTTGAGCTCTACCGCAGCCTGGAGCAGGGCGCAGGTGAGCAAAGGGGGCAGGTGAGCAAAGGGGGCAGGTGAGCAAAGAGGGCAGGTGAGGTTTGCAGTGCAGGTGAGGTGGGGGGGGGGGGGAAGTGAGGGGAGGGGACAGGTGACTGCAGGGGCCAGGTGCGTATTCTACTGCAGAGGGGGCAGTTGGGTTTGATATGCTTGTGTCGCTGTTGAAAGAAAATAATGGGTGTATTGTATAGTGCTGTGCACAGCATGTGTGCTTCTGCCCTCTACAAACGCCCTCATCCCTGCACTCACTGCTCTCTCCCCACTTCCTTCCTCCCCTCCCGGACCTTCTTACCCTGAGCTCCCTCCACGGTCCCCCAGTGGAAGTGGAGAGCCGGTGGGAGTCAGAGACATTTTTTAGTCGACGCAAAAGTCAACTCCCCACACCCGCCCTCTCCTCCCCTACCCCTGACCTTCTTACCCCGACCTCCGTCCACGGTCCCCCAGTGGAAGTGGAGAGCCGGTGGGAGTCAGAGGCGTCTGGTATGTCACCAGCGAGAGAAGGCAGCTTCAAGAGCAGAGACGCAGAGAGGTGGGTGGGAGGCGGTGATTCAAGGCTCTTGAGGGGTGAAGCGACAGTTGAAGGAGTGAGAGAAGAAAGAGACGCACCAGACGGAGTGAGGGGAGGGGATGCACTGAGGAGAGGACAGTGAGGTGTATTTTGAGGCGCCTCAAAATACACCTCACTGCACGTGAGGCGACAGTGCAAGGAGTGAGAGAAGAAAGAGACGCACCAGACGGAGTGAGGGGAGGGGATGCACTGAGGAAACGCATGAAGGGGAAGGGGGTGAGCGAGCGGTGAGCTTAAGGGAATCCCAGAAAGAGAGCCGGTGGGAGTCAGAGGCGTCAGGCATGTCTCTAGCGGGAAAAGGCAGCTTTAAAAGCAGAGAGTTGGGGAGGGTTGAGGGTTTAGGGGCTCGGGTTTAGAGAGCAGGGACGCAGAGAGCAGCGAGGAGGTACGCAGTTGAAACTGCAGTGTTTGAAGTAGTGTTTTGAGACGTCTCAAAACAGCAGTGCACGGTTCAACAGTTGAGTGATGAAGATGATCTCATCTTTCAGCTGACTCAAGGGCATCTTGAGTCGATTTTTGAGGCGCCTCAAAAATTGTTTTGAGGTGCCTCAAAACTCAGCAGTGCACTGTTCAACAGTTGAGTGATGACGATGATCTCATCTTTCAGCTGACTCGAGGGCATGTTGAGTCGACTTAAGTGATCTGTTGTCTTTCTTTCCTCACTGCTGTTGCTGCTGCTGCTGCTTGAGCAGGCACAGCAACGACAGTGATGAGGATGCACCAGGCCGATCAACCACCCCTGTCATGGTGAGTCATGTCATGCCATGCCATGCCATGCCATGCCATGCCATTCCATGCCATGCCATGCCATGCCATGCCATGCCATGCCATGCCATGCCATGCCATGCCATGCCATGCCATGCCATGCCCGTCATGCCATGCCATGCCATGCCATGCCCGTCATGCCATGCCATGCCATGCCATGCCCTGCCCTGCCATGCCCGTCATGCCATGCCATGCCTGTGCCGTGGTATTTGAACGTAACGCCCTTGTTGTCCCGTCCCTGCCATTCCCCTGCTCCCCTTTCTCCTCCCCCTCCCCGGCACACTTTCTGTTTCCTCTCCGCCCATCAGATGGAGTGTGACGAGTCACTGGTACAAGAGCTACTGGAGCTGGGGCAGGCGTCAACAGAGCTCCATTCCCCTTTGTCTGCCTCTCCCTGTTCCCCCCTCCGCCACATCAGATGGAGTGTGACGAGTCAGTGGTAGACGAGTTACTGGAGCTGGGGCAGGCGTCAACAGGGCTCCATTCCCCTTTGTCTGCCTCTCCCTGTTCCCCCCTTCGCCATATCAGATGGAGTGTGACGAGTCAGTGGTAGACGAGTTACTGGAGCTGGGGCAGGCGTCAACAGGGCTCCATTCCCCTTTGTCTGCCTCTCCCTGTTCCCCCCTTCGCCATATCAGATGGAGTGTGACGAGTCAGTGGTGCAGGAGCTTCTGGAGCTGGGCCAGGCGTCGCTCACTCAGGAGGACGTCACTCGCCTCATGGAGACCGTGGAGGTGCGCTTGGAGGGTGTGTGGGGAGGGGGAGGCTGTGAGAGGGGTTGTGAGAGATATGGGCGGGAGAGGTATGGGGTTGGCGATATTAAGAGCTACTGGAGCTGGGGCAGGCGTCGCTCACTCAGGAGGACGTCACTCACCTCATGGAGACCGTGGAGGTGCGCTGGGGGGGGCTGTAGGGGGGTCTGGAGAGGAGAGGTATGGGGGATGAGGCTAGCTAGAAGCTACTGGAGCTGGGGCAGGCGTCGCTCACCCATGAGGACGTCACTCGACTCATGGAGACCGTGGAGGTGCGCTTGTGGGGGCTCTGAGCGGGGCGGCAGTTGGGTGGAGGGTGAGAGTTATACAGGCTGTGGGGGAGGTGCCGGCAGGGTTGAGGCTGTGAGGTGAGGTGAGGTGAGGAGCTGCTGAAGCTTTTGAGAATTCTCAAAAGTGATTTCAATACAGGCTGTGAGGTGAGGAGAGGTGAGGAGCTGCTGAAGCTGGGCCGGGTGTCGCTCCCTCAGGAGGGCGTCACACGGCTGGGATGGGGGGTGCGTTGTTTGGGTGGATTGGGGGTTGGGGGAGGGAGGGTGGGAGTTGTGCATTGGAGAGGTATGCAGGTGGCTGGGGCTGTGAGGAGCTGCAAGAGGTGGACCAGGCGACTTTTGAGTCGACTCAAAAGTCACCTCGTTGGGGGAGGGAGGGTGAGAGTTGTGCAGGTTGCTGGAGGTGAGAGTTGTGCAGGTTGCTGGAGGGTGAGAGTTGTGCAGGTTGCTGGAGGGTGAGAGTTGTGCAGGTTGCTGGAGGGTGAGAGTTGTGCAGGTTGCTGGAGGGTGAGAGTTGTGCAGGTTGCTGGAGGGTGAGAGTTGTGCAGGTTGCTGGAGGGTGAGAGCTGGAGAGGTATGCAGGTGGCTGGGGCTGTGAGGAGCTGCAAGAGGTGTTGACCAGGCGTCTCTCACTCAGGAGGATGTAACTCGGCTGATAGGAGGAGTGGAGGCATTGAGTTAAGCGAGGTTGTCTTTGAGACGTCTCAAAAACTCTCCCCAGCCAATGTGAAGCGAGGTTGTTTTTGAGACATCTCAAAAACAACCTCGGCTAATAGGAGGAGTGGAGGCATGGAGTTCAACTGTCGTGGGTTGTGGGAACAGCAGGGTCTTGCACACCACAGTCCCAATTCCGTAATGCTGTGCAGGGGTGTTGAAGGTTTATGGGTCTTAGGCAATGAGGCCTCATTCCTTTTTTTTCTGTCCCAGTTTCTTAGGCAAAGGAGGCATCGTTTTCCTTTCCTGCCCCAGGCATCAGAGAGGCAGGCAGATAAGGTGCGGAAGGAAGGAAGCTTCTTCCTCCCTCCCTCTTCCCACCCCTGCAACCTCTCTGCTTGTCTGTCTTTGTGCCTCCCTCCCCCACAGGCAGCAGAGAGGCGGGCAGAGAAGGCAGAGAGGGAGGCAGAGCAACGAGCGGTGCAGGTGCAGCTGCTGGAGGCGAAGATGGCCGCCATGCTGGTATGTGATGCTGTGCGGTGGAATGTGGTGAGGCAAGGTGGGATGTGGCTGTGATATATGCATCGGTGCACGCGCTAGTTCTCATGGCGAGCAGTGCAGGTGCAGCTTCTGGAGGAAAAGATGGCCGCCATGCTGGTATGCGGTGATCATGTTGTCTGGTCTGGTGGTGATGGTATATGGTGATAGTAATGAAGTAACCTCTTCCTCCTCTTTCCCTCAACCTCTTTACCCTTCACCCACTCACTCACTCACTCAATCTTATTTGCTGTACTCACTCCCTCTACCCCCCATTTTCTCTGCCCCACCAGAACGCCATGTGTGAACCCCAGAACGTTCATGTGTGAACCCCAGAACGTTCATGTGTGAACCCCAGAACGTTCATGTGTGAACGCCAGAACGTTCATGTGTGAATCCCAGAACCGTTCATGTGTGAACCCCAGAACGTTCATGTGTGAACCCCAGAACGTTCATGTGTGAACGCCAGAACGTTCATGTGTGAACCCCAGAACGTTCATGTGTGAACCCCAGAACGTTCATGTTGTGAACCCCAGAACGTTCATGTGTGAACCCCAGAACGTATGTTGTGAACCCAGAACGTTCATGTCGTGACCCCAGAACGTTCATGTGTGAACCCCCAGAACGTTCATGTGTGAACCCCAGAAAGTTCATGTGTGAACCCCAGAACGTTCACGTGTGAACCCCAGAACGTTCATGTGTGAACCCCAGAACGTTCATGTGTGAACCCCAGAACGTTCATATTGTGAACCCCAGAACGTTCATGTGTGAACCCAGAACGTTCATGTGTGAACCCCAGAACGTTCATGTGTGACACCCAGAACGTTCATGTGTGAACCCCAGAACGTTCATGTGTGACCCCAGAACGTTCATGTGTGAACCCCAGAACGTTCATGTGTGAACACCCAGAACGTTCATGTGTGAAACCCCAGAACGTTCATGTGTGAACCCCAGAACGAGCACAAGCGCTCGCTCGCCCTCCCTCGTGTCATCCTCGCCCTCCCTCGTGTCATCCTCGCCCTCCCTCGTGTCATCCTCGCCCTCCCTCGTGTCATCCTCGCCCCTCCCTCGTGTCATCCTCGCCCTCCCTCGTGTCATCCTCGCCCTCCCTCGTGTCATCCTCGCCCTCCCTCGTGTCATCCTCGCCCTCCCTCGTGTCATCCTCGCCCTCCCTCGTGTCATCCTCGCCCTCCCTCGTGTCATCCTCGCCCTCCCTCGTGTCATCCTCGCCCTCCCTCGTGTCATCCTCGCCCTCCCTCGTGTCATCCTCGCCCTCCCTCGTGTCATCCTCGCCCTCCCTCGTGTCATCCTCGCCCTCCCTCGTGTCATCCTCGCCCTCCCTCGTGTCATCCTCGCCCTCCCTCGTGTCATCCTCGCCCTCCCTCGTGTCATCCTCGCCCTCCCTCGTGTCATCCTCGCCCTCCCTCGTGTCATCCTCGCCCTCCCTCGTGTCATCCTCGCCCTCCCTCGTGTCATCCTCGCCCTCCCTCGTGTCATCCTCGCCCTCCCTCGTGTCATCCTCGCCCTCCCTCGTGTCATCCTCGCCCTCCCTCGTGTCATCCTCGCCCTCCCTCGTGTCATCCTTGCCCTCCCTCGTGTCATCCTCGCCCTCCCTCGTGTCATCCTCGCCCTCCCTCGTGTCATCCTCGCCCTCCCTCGTGTCATCCTCGCCCTCCCTCGTGTCATCCTCGCCCTCCCTCGTGTCATCCTCGCCCTCCCTCGTGTCATCCTCGCCCTCCCTCGTGTCATCCTCGCCCTCCCTCGTGTCATCCTCGCCCTCCCTCGTGTCATCCTCGCCCTCCCTCGTGTCATCCTCGCCCTCCCTCGTGTCATCCTTGCCCTCCCTCGTGTCATCCTCGCCCTCCCTCGTGTCATCCTCGCCCTCCCTCGTGTCATCCTCGCCCTCCCTCGTGTCATCCTCGCCCTCCCTCGTGTCATCCTCGCCCTCCCTCGTGTCATCCTCGCCCTCCCTCGTGTCATCCTCGCCCTCCCTCGTGTCATCCTCGCCCTCCCTCGTGTCATCCTCGCCCTCCCTCGTGTCATCCTCGCCCTCCCTCGTGTCATCCTCGCCCTCCCTCGTGTCATCCTCGCCCTCCCTCGTGTCATCCTCGCCCTCCCTTGTGTCATCCTCGCCCTCCCTCGTGTCATCCTCGCCCTCCCTCGTGTCATCCTCGCCCTCCCTCGTGTCATCCTCGCCCTCCCTCGTGTCATCCTCGCCCGTCTTCACTGTGCCCAAACACCCTCCCATGTTGTGCCCCCTCCCTCCCTCCCTCCCTCGCTCTACCCGCCATGTTCTCTGCCCCACCAGAGCGCCAGCCCCATGGACGATCACATCACAACCACTCCCCCCTCCCTCCCTCCCTCCCTCCCTCCCTCTTCCTCTCCAGAGCTCCTGCCCTATGGACGAGCACAAGCGCTCGCGCTCCCTCGTCTCCTCCTCGCCCATGGGTAAGGCGCCTCGAACTAACCCCTCCCTCCCTCTACCCTTTCTCCCTCTTCCCTCCCCCCCCTGCCTCTCCAGAACTCCTGCCCTATGGACGAGCACAAGCGCTCGCCGTCCCTCGTGTCCTCGTCGCCCATCTCCTTCCGCCTCTCCCCCGTGGCCTCCTCCTCCTCCCCTGACCCCGCCTCCCTCACTCGCTCCAGCAGCAGCAGCGCCACCTCCCAACACAGCCAGCAGCAGCAGCAGCAAGCCCTCTTCCAGGAGCAGCAAGCAGGGAGGCAAAATCAAGACGAAAGGGAGCAATCACCACAGTTGAGCGGAAGAGGGGACAGAGTAGCAGGAGTGGAAGGCGAATTAAATGGAGCAGCTCTGGGCTCGAAGTTTACTGGAAGAGGCACGGCGGAAGGTGGAGTGGTGGCAGCAGCAAGAAAGGGAGGCGACTTGACGCATGAAGCAGTGGTCAGAAGAGGCGCTCTGGGTGTGGTTGTGGATAGAAATCCAAGGACAAAACCAGAGGAGGAGCAGGAGCAGGAGGAGGTGGAGGAACGGGAGGAGGAGGAAGGGGAGGATGGGGTGGAGGAGTTGAGGCAAATGGTGCATAGAGTGCAGAGGCAGAACCGGATCACCCATGTGCTCCTGTCAGTGGTCGTTGCCGTCTCTATTCCACCTCTTGTGGCCTTGGTTCGGGGGTGGTTCGGTGGTTGGGGTCGGCGGTACGAGCCTAAGAGGCCGGGGGCGGGGCCGGCTCCGAAGCAGGTTGCACGGGTTGCGATTCGGAGCAAGTAGTTGGGCTGGCGGATGGAACTTGGCTGAGGGGGGTACCGTACCCTGTGTGGGTTTCATGACCACCGTTGATCAACTGCTCCCTGCCGCCAACCATCGTGATCAGTTCTAATTTCTACGGTACCCAACACCACCAGCGACATTCCATCTCTGAGCTGTTCAAGGAATCATCACGACTGCTCCCTGCCACCAACCACCATCATCACCACTCCCACGACACCCAACACCACTGCAGCCACGTTTTGTCTTTGAAGCGGCCAAGAAATCATCACCACTGTTGCCACTGCCCCTCATAGTTTTCCTTTTGAGGCGCCTCAGATGCCATCTGGCCATTCCACCGCCACCCAACGGCATCAGCCGCCCCAATGTGTTGATGAGGCGCCTGGAGATTGACCATCGGCACAGTGACCATCAGCACAGCGACCATCACAGCAACCATCGGCACAGTGACCATCCATCATGACCACAGATGATTTTTCAGTCAACGACTGCAACCATCTCCATCACTCACTCACTCCAGAACGACTTTTCAGTCGACTCAAAATGACTTCTGACTTTTGAGTTGGAGTCGACTGAAAATATGGAGTCTGAGTCAACCACTGCGACCAAATTCATCACTCACTGCGGGGCATCATTCATTCAAGTTATTCATCTTCAGCAGCATCTGTGAAGAGCAGCAGCCACACCACACCACCTCCACTAGCACAATTAAACACTGCCACCACAGCACCATGCATAGCAGTGACAGAAGCAACAGCAGCAATGGCAGCGATAGCACTGCGCCTGTGTGCTGGAGCAGGGAACACCATGTGTTGGTGTGCGCATTTGGATTATCCATTTTATCACTGCCAGCCTGCCAGCCTGCCAGCCAGCATCTGACCCATAGCTACACCCTTCCATCCGCCCCATGTTTCTTTAGCTGCCTCAGACAGAAGGCGTCTCACGTGTGTGGGTGTGTGCAATCAAACCATCGATTTCATAACTGCAGTCTGCCAGCCAGCATCAAACCCACAGCTCCCTTCCATCCGTTCCATATTGTGCCATGCACCACCGCCCATCCTTTCACCAGGCAGCCATGTGTGCTGTGCTGCTGCGAGCTGACCATGCAGCACCTTGCGGCACCATGCAGCACCATGCAGCACCTTGCAGCACCTTGCAGCAGTGAGCACCATTCTGCACTACGATGTACCACCATTGACCACCATGAAAGATGCGTGCACACTGCACATCCGTCAAGAGCCCGCCCATCCATCCGTTCATCCCTTCTGCCATCCAGCCAATCCCGCCCGAGCATAAGCCTACTTACTATGGACCAAACTTACCATTCTTCAACACAGTAAGACGTACATGAATCCCATTCTCAACCCCAGCAGCAGCAACAGCGATTGGATGGCTCTGTTTCAACCCAATTATCCCATGCACCAGCTCCCTCCGACTTGCCCTCTGCGCAGCTATCTGCCCAGCTGCGAGTTTCCGCGGGCTGACCGCATTCATCCTTCATATAGAGGTCTCCGCTAGATGAACCTGTGGCCCCGCACAGCCGCAGACCTTAGTATTAGCAGTGCTTCACCTGTTCTCATTATGCTTTTCAGGTGCCCTGTCGTCTGGTGTTGCTGTGCAGGTACGGTATGTTTCCTAGATTCAGCCACTCACAAAGTAATTGTGCTTTGTCTTTTAGGATTTGCGTTGGCAAAATGTAGTATATGCTACTTCATTTATTATTATTGAAGGTGTTGAAATCCAGTCTCGAGCTTTATTGTAGAAGGGTAGTGACCAGCTCTTCCCGCCAAAAAGGACCGCACCGATTGAATGGTCATTGGCCACACAGCCATTCAGCTTTGACGCGGTTGCGGTCTGCTTCGGCGGGGTGAGTTGAGTTCGCTGTACACACGACGCTACTGCGTCTCGGCAATTTCAAGGGCCATTTTCTGCAAGGCGTATTCGAAACAAAGCGTCGAAAAGAAAAATGTCGTGAGAGTACCCGAGTTACGGAACTTGCCACTCAGCCGCATTGTACTGGGTGGATTCTGGGTTGTGGCTTCTGGTTGATGAAACAACAAATGACGAAGAGTACTGTTTTGGGACGGTGATATACCAGGAGCAGGAACACCACCTCGTCTCTGGTGTTGGTGGCATAGCATCCCGCAGGCATTTTCTCAAACAAAATGGCCTACAACCAACCAGATACCTACTCACTAATATTGTCTGATTACCTCACCTAGAACCTGCTTTGTCCATACCGCGCTTCTTATATTCATCCAACACGTCATTTGGTGACTAGCAAACCGTGGTTTCAATTTCCGTTGGGATTGGCTTTGTACTAGCTCATGCGATACGATACCGCAAGCATCTCTTCGCCTTCAAGCCAAACTCCATTCCCGTAGTGTCAAGCGTTCCTTATGAGTCCACTCAGAAGACACCTTTACGTTCACCATTCCCGTGACATCACGCGTTTCCATTTCTATAAAGTGTCGCTCCTTTTGACCGCTCGCACCTCTGTCGCAGTCGCTGCTTATTGTCGCAGATCATGACGACGTCGCTGACTGTGATAGTAACGAATAGCCACCCGATCACGTGCTGCAGCGGAAACGAGAGAAGCAAGTCTGTTATATTTAGTAACAGAAATAGCAGTAGCACTAGTAACAGACATACTGATAGGCTTGGTTCTAGAAGCGAATGCGCTATCGAAACTCATAGACAAGACTCTGTAGCAAGAGGCATCGACAGGGCGACGACCTTTAAGGCTAGTTCAAGGTCAAAACGCAGAAGCTTCGTTATAGTCACAGCCACAAACGTAAGCCATAGAATGTCCGCGACATGTATTCTTAGATAGCACACCCACTTGAGGTTCCAGGGACTGCCAAACCTGACCAATCCGAGCCTGTCCCTGCCGAACCTGGTTCCCCAGCAGGCATGGCTGCCGAACCTGCAAGTTCGCGGCGGAGAATAAACAGCTGGTTCCGGAGACTACATAGATCACATAGACTACAGCTTTTTCTTCTTGTGTTTATACAAGTGTTTCTTATAAAGCGGACGGCTGCTCAGAGCCCTGCGGATATTGATAAAGCTGCACTGTTGAACTTTAAAGCCCACGTGACAGACGACCCTACAGGTGAGAAAGGCGATACTCCAACATACCCCTTAGAATGTACTTCTTTACTGCACATTTCGGCCATCCTCACCCATGCTCCCCCGTGTTCCTTACCTGTGTTGCTAGCCCATGTACTTTACCCATTCCCTCCCCTTTTTCTCCCCTCCCCCATCCCCAGGTGCTCTTTCCAACTGGAACCCCGACGACCCCGAACCATGCAGCTGGACGGGCGTCGACTGCAACCCCTTCTCATTTCTCCATGTCCTTTTTCCTCGCTCTCCCAACACCCCTCCTCCCCATCCCCAGGTGCTCTTTCCAACTGGAACCCCGACGACCCCGAACCATGCAGCTGGACGGGCGTCGACTGCAACCCCTTCTCATTTCTCCATGTCCTTTTTCCTCGCTCTCCCAACACCCCTCCTCCCCATCCCCAGGTGCTCTTTCCAACTGGAACCCCGACGACCCCGAACCATGCAGCTGGACGGGCGTCGACTGCAACCCCTTCTCATTTCTCCATGTCCTTTTTCCTCGCTCTCCCAACACCCCTCCTCCCCATCCCCAGGTGCTCTTTCCAACTGGAACCCCGACGACCCCGAACCATGCAGCTGGACGGGCGTTAACCGCATTCTTCTCCCTAACCTTTTTCCCTGGTCCTTTCCCACAACACCTCCCCCACGCCACCCTTTCCCTCCCCCTTCCCCACCCCTCCCAATCACACAGGTGCGCTTGACAACTGGAACCCCAACGACCCCGACCCATGCAGCTGGACGGGCGTCGACTGCAACCCCTTCTCTCGCCGCGTCACCTCCCTCTCCCTCCCCTACCGCACTCTCTCCGGCACCCTCGACCTCCCAGACCCGTCCCTTGCCTCCCTCTCAGACCTCCTCCAACTCTCCCTCCCCGGAAACTCCTTTCCAGGCTCCTTCCCCTCCGCCCTCTCCCGCCTCTCCTCGCTTCAAACCCTGGAGTTAGCAGAAACGGAGCTCTCAGGGGAAATCCCGGGGAATACCCTCTCCGCCCTCCGCCGCGTCGCCGTTCTAGACCTGCGCAAGAACGCCCTCTCGGGGCCAATACCCCCGGAAATCTCAGCTCTCAACTCCCTAATCAAGCTAGACTTGAGAGAAAACGCCCTCTCCGGCTCCCTCCCTTCCGAAATGCAGTCACTGGGACAGGTGCAGGACATTTTACTTGACTACAACCAGCTATCCGGTCCCCTCGCGCCAGCGCTCCTAGTCTCGCTCCCTATCGTCCAGACCATCTCGGTCCGGGGAAACGGGTTCGAAGGGGAGGTGCCGAAGGAATTTGGGTATGCGCAGCGGCTTTCGCGGCTGGATTTGGGCGGGAACAGGCTGCAAGGGAGCATTCCCGAGACGTTTGGGCAGATGTGGAGTTTGACGTCTCTTCGGTTGGACTCGAATCGGATCGGGGGGACGATTCCGTCAAGGCTGAATACGCTGGGCCAGCTGCAGGTGCTGATGCTGAACGGAAATGATTTGGTAGGGGAACTTCCCCGGTTTAATGGGCTGGAGAGTCTGGTTCAGTTTGACGTTTCGAATAATGATTTGTTCGGGTCGACGCCCACAGAAGGGCCTCTGGCGAAGTTCCCTCCATCCTCGTTTGAAGGCAATCCGGGGTTGTGTATTGGGGAGTGTCCGCCCTCCCCCCCTTGGTGGCTGCCCAGTCCGCCCATGTCTCCCCCGAGGGCTCCCCCGCCCCCCTTTGTCTCCCCATTTGCTCCCCCTCAGATTCTCCCCCCTCCGCCTGTCTCGCCCTCACCCCCTCCCCCCGTTCAACCTCCCCCGCCCCTTCCATCTCCCCCCCCGCTTCTTCCCCCTCCTCGTCCGCCTCTCCCCTCCCCGCCCGTGCTTCTCCCAGCTCCCCCTTTCCCTCCCCCCAAGCCCCCCTCTCCCCCCCGGAAGCGCCCGCCCCCATATCCCCGCTTTCCTCCTCCCCATCCGCCCCCTTCCTCCCCAACCTCCCCTTTCTTCCCCGAAATCACCCCCCCAAGCCCCCCCATTCCCCCCCCGCCCAAGCGCACTCACCCCCCAAGGCCCCCCCGCCACCCCCGCCCCCCTTGGCCTCCCCCCCAACCCGTCCCCCCGCCCCGGCCCCCCAAACATCCTCCTCCTCCCCCCCGCAAGCCCCCCACTCCTCCACGACCTCCCCCCAAACCGCCACTTGCCCTTCCGCCACTCGCCCCTTCCCCTGCACCTGCCCCAAGCCCTTCCTCCGCCATCTCCCCCTCCCCAAGCCCTTCCCCCTCGTCTACACCAGCTCCCGCCCCTTCCTCCTCCCCCTCCCCTGCTCCCGCCTCCTCCCCCTCCCCTGCTCCCGCCTCCTCCCCCTCCCCTGCTCCCACCTCGTCCCCTTCCCCTGCTCCCACCCCCTCCCCATCCCATTCCCCTGCCCCTGCTCCTGCTCCCCTTCTCCCTCCTCTTGCTCCACCGCCCACTTCCCCCACTCCCACTCCTTCCCAAGCACCCTCTCCTCTCCCCACTCCTCTTTCTCCTCCTCCCACTCCTCCCTCCAACTCCCCACCACCACCACCATCACCACCTCTCGACTCGTCTGGAAACTTAGATGTATCCTCTTCCCCCGCACCTCCTCCGCCCACTACAAGCACCAACCCCTATGGTAACAACAACCTGGCCTGGTGGCAGCTGCTGGCGCTATGTGCTGCCTCGTTACTAGCAACTCTGCTCTTTGCAGCGCTCTTCACATTCGGCTGTCCTTATCTGTGCGGCATGGCAGCCCGGGCGAAGCATAGGTATAAAGGGGTGCCTACTAACGAGGATGCGGCTCTGAAAGCAGAAGCTGATGCAGCAGCTGCGGCGGCAGCAGCGGGGGCGGCAGGCGGGGCAGGAGCAGGGGCTTATAGCGGGCCATACAGTAACGAGTATGGAATGGAGGGTACAGAGGGAGGAGGAGGAACGGGAGGAGAAGGAACAACAGGAGGAGGAGGAGGAGGAGGAGGAGGAGGAGGAGGAGGAGGAGGAGGAGGAGGAGGAGGAGGAGGAGGAGGAGGAGGAGGAGGAGGAGGAGGAGGAGGAGGAGGAGGAGGAGAGGGAGCAGCACTGCTAGGAGCAGCAGCAGCTGCAGGGGCAGTTGGTATAGGCGCCGCCGCTGCAGCAGCAGCCGCCACGCGCTCAAAATCAACAGAAGGATCAGGCGAGGATGACTCTAACGAGGATATAGCCATAGCTGCCATCGCAGGAGCAGGAGCAGCAGGGGGAGCAGGGGCGGAGGGCAGCTCGTCACTGGTAACCATGTTTGACGGGCGGTCGGTGCGGGCATCCGCGTTACTAGCTGCCACGGACGAGTTTGGCGCGAGCAAGATGATCACGCGGGGGCCGGGGCCGAGCGGGAGCACGGCGTTTGTGGCAGACATGCTGGCGGATGGCCCCATGCTCGTGGCCAAGTTGTTACCAACAGTCACGGAGCAAGGGGAGGATGGGGAGGAGTTTACGGTACCTATGAACCTGAATATGGAGGTGAGTGCACAAGGCAGGTGAGGGAAAGAGGGAAGGGGGGGCCGAGCGGCAGCACGGCGTATGTGGCGGATATGCTGGCGGATGGTCCAATGTTGGTGGCGAAGCTACTGCCGACTGTCACAGAGCAAAGGGAGGATGGAGAGGAGTTTCCTGTTCCCATGAATCTGAACATGGAGGTGAGTGAGTGTATGTGAATGTGTGTTTGTGGCTGACATGCTGGCGGATGGTCCAATGTTGGTGGCGAAGCTACTGCCGACTGTCACAGAGCAAAGGGAGGATGGAGAGGAGTTTCCTGTTCCCATGAATCTGAACATGGAGGTGAGTGAGTGTATGTGAATGTGTGTTTGTGGCTGACATGCTGGCGGATGGTCCAATGTTGGTGGCGAAGCTACTGCCGACTGTCACAGAGCAAAGGGAGGATGGAGAGGAGTTTCCTGTTCCCATGAATCTGAACATGGAGGTGAGTGAGTGTATGTGAATGTGTGTTTGTGGCTGACATGCTGGCGGATGGTCCAATGTTGGTGGCGAAGCTACTGTCGACTGTCACAGAGCAAAGGGAGGATGGAGAGGAGTTTCCTGTTCCCATGAATCTGAACGTGGAGGTGAGTGAGTGTATGTGAATGTGTGTTTGTGGCTGACATGCTGGCGGATGGGCCCATGCTCGTGCCCATCCGTCTGGTTTCTGATACATCCCCTGTTAACCCTTGCCCACGTCCTCAGTGTTGCGAGTTGTATCACCTAACTGCAGAAATTCCTTCCTTCATCCGCCCCCCACATGCTTATCACCCCACCAGGAAATGCGCGCGCTGGCGGAGATAGACCATCCGAACGTGCTCATCATCTCCTCTAGTGAAATGTCTCCTTATCCCATTGATTTGTTTCCTTCATCCATACCCCCATGCCTATCACCCACCAGGAAATGCGCGCGCTGGCGGAGATCGACCACCCGAATGTGCTGCCGCTGCTGGGGTGCTGGGAGGACGAGATCACCGGCAGGCGCGTGCTGCTGTACGAGCTCATGCCCAATGGAGACTTGAATGACTTCTTGTATGATGAGGTGAGATGGGGCGGGCATGCAAGGTGGATGATACGTGGGAGCCATGTGTTGGGGTGCTGGGAGGGCAAGATCACCGGCAAGCGCGTGCTGCTGTACGAGCTCATGCCCAATGGGGACCTCAACGACTTTCTTTATGACGAGGTGAGACGGGTTTTGGGTTATGGCATGCAGCAAGCCGAGCAGCAGCATGAGCAGTAATCAGGGCATCAGCGGCGGTGTGGTGATGACATGAAGGCAGGCATGTGCTGCGGTACGAGCTCATGTCATGCCCTCTGCACATGCTCACTCACCCGCGCCCACCCGGCTCCCAGCTCGCCACCGAATTTTTCGTCCATGGATTGTTCCACCCCTCACACCGTGTTCTCTCACCCCTCACACCGTGTTCTCTCACCCCTCACCCCGTGTTCTCTCACCCCTCACACCGTGTTCTCTCACCCCTCACACCGTGTTCTCTCACCCCTCACGCCGTGTTCTCTCACCCCTCACACCATGTTCTCTCACCCCTCACACCGTGTTCTCTCACCCCTCACACCGTGTTCTCTCACCCCTCACACCGTGTTCTCTCACCCCTCACACCGTGTTCTCTCACCCCTCACACCGTGTTCTCTCACCCCTCACACCGTGTTCTCTCACCCCTCACACCATGTTCTCTCACCCCTCACACCGTGTTCTCTCACCCCTCACACCGTGTTCTCTCACCCCTCACACCGTGTTCTCTCACCCCTCACACCGTGTTCTCTCACTCCTCACACCGTGTTCTCTCACCCCTCACACCATGTTCTCTCACCCCTCACACCATGTTCTCTCACCCCTCACACCGTGTTCTCTCACCCCTCACACCGTGTTCTCTCACCCCTCACACCGTGTTCTCTCACCCCTCACACCGTGTTCTCTCACCCCTCACACCGTGTTCTCTCACCCCTCACACCGTGTTCTCTCACCCCTCACACCGTGTTCTCTCACCCCTCACACCGTGTTCTCTCACCCCTCACACCATGTTCTCTCACCCCTCACACCGTGTTCTCTCACCCCTCACACCGTGTTCTCTCACCCCTCACACCGTGTTCTCTCACCCCTCACACCGTGTTCTCTCACTCCTCACACCGTGTTCTCTCACCCCTCACACCATGTTCTCTCACCCCTCACACCATGTTCTCTCACCCCTCACACCGTGTTCTCTCACCCCTCACACCGTGTTCTCTCACCCCTCACACCGTGTTCTCTCACCCCTCACACCGTGTTCTCTCACCCCTCACACCGTGTTCTCTCACCCCTCACACCGTGTTCTCTCACCCCTCACACCGTGTTCTCTCACCCCTCACACCGTGTTCTCTCACTCCTCACACCGTGTTCTCTCACCCCTCACACCATGTTCTCTCACCCCTCACACCATGTTCTCTCACCCCTCACACCGTGTTCTCTCACCCCTCACACCGTGTTCTCTCACCCCTCACACCGTGTTCTCTCACCCCTCACACCGTGTTCTCTCACCCCTCACACCGTGTTCTCTCACCCCTCACACCGTGTTCTCTCACCCCTCACACCGTGTTCTCTCACCCCTCACACCGTGTTCTCTCACCCCTCACACCGTGTTCTCTCACCCCTCACACCGTGTTCTCTCACCCCTCACACCGTGTTCTCTCACTCCTCACACCGTGTTCTCTCACCCCTCACACCATGTTCTCTCACCCCTCACACCATGTTCTCTCACCCCTCACACCGTGTTCTCTCACCCCTCACACCGTGTTCTCTCACCCCTCACACCGTGTTCTCTCACCCCTCACACCGTGTTCTCTCACCCCTCACACCGTGTTCTCTCACCCCTCACACCGTGTTCTCTCACCCCTCACACCGTGTTCTCTCACCCCTCACACCGTGTTCTCTCACCCCTCACACCGTGTTCTCTCACCCCTCACACCGTGTTCTCTCACCCCTCACACCGTGTTCTCTCACTCCTCACACCGTGTTCTCTCACCCCTCACACCATGTTCTCTCACCCCTCACACCATGTTCTCTCACCCCTCACACCGTGTTCTCTCACCCCTCACACCGTGTTCTCTCACCCCTCACACCGTGTTCTCTCACCCCTCACACCGTGTTCTCTCACCCCTCACACCGTGTTCTCTCACCCCTCACACCGTGTTCTCTCACCCCTCACACCGTGTTCTCTCACTCCTCACACCGTGTTCTCTCACCCCTCACACCCCGTGTTCTCCGTTCCCTCCTCCCGTTCCGCTCTCCGTTCTCCTTTCATGGCAGGAGCTCTTTGAGAACTCCCTCACATGGGACGCCAGGAGAAGAGTCGCTTTGGGCATAGCCCAGGGAGTGGCGCATCTGCACACGCTCTCTCTCCCTCGCCCACCCGGCGCGTGGCTCTTGGGATAGCCACGCGCGTGGCTCTCGGAATAGCCCAGGGAGTTGACTTTTGAGTCGACTCAATAGTCAACTCTCGGAATAGCCCAGGGAGTGGCGCATCTGCACACGCTCTCTCTCCCTCTCCCGCCTGGTTCCCAGCTCGTCCCCGACTCCTTCATGCACGGATTGTTCCACCCCTCCTCACTTCCCGCCTTCTCTGTTCCATCCTCCCGTTCCGCCCTCCTTTCTCCCGTTCTTCTCTCCTTCCGTTCTCCCTTAACAACAGGAGCTCTCCGAAAACTCCCTCACATGGGATGCCAGAAGGCGCGTGGCTCTCGGAATAGCCCAGGGAGTGGCACATCTGCACACGCTCTCTCTCCCTCTCCCGCCTGGGTCCCAGCTCGCCCCCGACCCCCTCGTGCACGGGTCGCTGCACCCGGGGAACATCCTGCTGGGAGATGATGGGGAGGCGAAGCTGACTGATACTGCTGGGGCGCGCGTTGCGTTTGATTCCGACGATGTGCACGTGGCTCCTGAGACGCTGGGGTACACCCCTCCTGGTGAGTGTCTGGTCAGGGGTAAAACTCTTCTTTTGTGTATGGGTCGCTGCAGCACGGGTCGCTGCACCCGGGGAACATCCTGCTGGGGGATGATGGGGAGGCGAAGCTGACTGACACTGCTGGGGCGCGCGTTGCCTTTGACTCCGATGATGTGCACGTGGCTCCAGAAACGTTGGGATACACGCCACCTGGTGAGTGCTTTTCCCTTGAGAAAGACGTATAGGGGAGGAGTGTAAGGTGCCCGGGTCGTTGCTGCACGGGTCGCTGCACCCGGGGAACATCCTGCTGGGGGATGATGGAGAGGTGAAGCTCACTGACACTGCTGGGGGATGATGGGGAACCGAATACTGCTGGGGCTCGTATTGCCTTTGACTCGGATGATGTGCACGTGGCTCCTGAGGCGCTGGGATACACTCCTCCTGGTGAGTGCTTTCTCCTTGGGAGAGACGTCCAGTGGAGGAATATATGGTGGACGGGTCGCTGCACCTGGGGAACATCCTGCTAGGCGAAGCTGACGGATACGGCTGGGGCGTGCATCGCGCTTGACTTTGATGATGTGCACGTGGCTTCTGAGACGCTGGGATACACTCCTCCTGGTGAGTGCGTGAGACGCTGGGATATGGGACACACTACACGTCTTCTGGTGAGTGTCTTACCTCTGGGGGACGTAATCGCGTGGAGGAGCGGGCAGCAGGCAACAAAGCTCTCAATGCCCCCTTCCCTCTGCCCCCTTCCCCCTTTCCTCACCACCCATCTCCCGCTTCCCCCATATCCCTGCACACCTGCTCCTTCCCCAGAGTACCTGTCCGGCCCCACAACAGCCACACCAGAGGGAGACGTGTTCAGCTTTGGAGTCATGCTGCTAACTGGCCACTGGCCGCTAAAACCGTGGTTTGCAGAGAGCCTCTTGCCCCTACCCCCTCCCTCCCTTTCCAGAGTACATGTCAGGCCCTACAACAGCCACACCAGAGGGCGACGTGTTCAGCTTCGGCGTGGTTCTCTTGGAGCTTCTAACAGGACGCCCGCCGCTCGACCCGTGGTTTGCGGAGAACGAGCTGGGGGACGTGATAGGGTGGGTGAACGTGTGCGTGGAGGAGGGGGCGGCGGGGGACGTGTTGGACCCGCGTGTGGCGGATATAGCGGAGTGCGAGGGTGAGATGCTGGAGGTGCTAAAGATTGCGCTGGTGTGTGTGGGGGAGGAGGCGGAGGAGCGGCCGTCCATGGATGATATAGTGTCGATGCTGGAGAGAGTGGGGGATGAGGGGAGTGGGTAGGGCCCCTACCAGCACAGCGGCAGGGAGTAGGAGGATGGGCAGGTGGAGAGAATTGTGTTAGGGCGAGATGCTGGAGGTGCTCAAGATTGCGCTGGTGTGTGTGGGGGAGGAGGCGGAAGAGCGGCTGTCCATGGCTGATATAGTGTCGATGCTTGAAAGAGTGGGGGGTGAGGGGAGTGGATAGGAGGGCCACCACCCGCAGAGCAGCAGAGAAGAGGGGAGCAGCGCAGGAGGAGGGGAGGAGGGGGAAGCAGGGAGGAGGGGGAAGCAGGGAGGAGGGGAATGGGGAGGAGGGGGCGGCAGGGGACGTGTTGGATCCAGTTGTGGCAGACATAGCTGAGTGTTCTGGAGGCAAGGTGACTTTTGAGTCGACTCAAAAGTCACTTGTAGCGGACATAGCTGAGTGTGCTGGAGGCAAGATTGCGCTGGTGTGTGTGCATGGGCGAGGAGGCTGAGGAGCGACCGTCCCTGGCGGATATAGTGGTGATGCTGAAGCAGGTGGGGGAGGAGGGGAGTGGGTAGAAAGGGGGTGGAGAGGAGGGGAGTCGCCTACCTCAGTCTTAGATGAGATCTGGGAAGAGAGGAGAGGAGTGAGAGGAGGATGTGAGTGGAAGGAAGGAAAGGTTTTGTGAGTGCACTGTAACCCTGAACCCGGTGGTAATAGGAGTGAAGCGTCCACGAAGCGTGGCTGGCTGTTGATAGGGGAACGCTAGCAGCTTGTGGTGAAAGCTCAGGGTGCTTCGAACGCAGTACTGGTTATCATTTCTACGGGCGATGGGCGTACTACTGGGGTTTGATTATGATATGCGTACCTAGAGTGGTTGCATAAGGCGAGCGTAGGTGGTTTTACCGGTACCAACAGTAGGTAACAGCAGCAGTAGGAGGGGCGGAAGATGCCATAGCAGCACCCATGACGGCAACACTGAAACATAATCAACACAAGCAGTGGGTTCAATTCACGAGCGCACACTGTACTTTCAATTACTGACTCTGCTAGCTGTCATGATCTGGGTGTGTGCGCACGCACCTCACTAACACTACCCTAGCATGGTATCCTGATATATTTGTGCAATATGACGCATCACAATGGCAAGATGTTCAGAACACCACTTCCCAACATCTATACAGTACTTGTTCCGCCAATATTACGAGGAAGAATTCTGAACCGCCCAAAGCAGTACAGCATCAGAGTGCACCGGATCACTCTAGACCAAAAATGAGCGATGGGCATCCATCCACCACACTCACATGCTGCTCTGCATGATAAGAACCAGGCAGAACCAGGCATGCTATTTACAAATGGACCGACCAGCGGACGGACAGCCTCTGCCTCACCAGCAGGCATCACGCTAAGGCGAAGAGCACCCCACTCAAGCTAGCTCGTTGATGAACGAAGTTTCCTGCACGCGCTGGTTACCAGGATTCACTTTCTTTCGCCAAGCTTCTGTCCACTTCTGCACACAGACGAGCGACCGCGCAGCAGGTGACAGGGGAAGATGAGAGGAACACGACGAGCAGACACTGACAAAAATCACTTCAGAGGTGGGGATATTCATGTATCCTGTGACACTGGCGGGATAGCAAGGATCCTTGCTATCCTTGCTATAAAAAAAAACAAGATTAGAAAATGCCGATTACCTCTTTCGAGTCTTCTCATCGTATTTCTGCCAATCCGCAAAAGATGTCAGTAATAAGGCTACAAGGGGCAAGCAACCCAGCCCTCCACGACAAATAAACAAGGCCAATAATCCTCTGCGCATAGGGAATCTAATGATTTTTTTAGCATGATTGGTTACTAACATGTATCGCGTAGGAAGTGCCGATTGACAGCACGGCGACAGCAGAAGCCATGCCCAGAGTAGCCGTAGCGAGGTTCCACCGTCGAACACTATTAGGCATGAGGGTCGGCATGCTCACGTTTCCTCTGGCGTTTTGCTGACGAAAATATTTATTTCCAGGCGACGCGCAACGGAAACAAGTCACGTATTGGGTGCGAGTGGAAGGAGAAAAGGCTTTGTGAAGCTTGAAAAGAGAGGTTGAAACTGAAGTAGAGCGAGTGAATTCGAGCGTGAAATCGATTGTGGAGGGATTGATGAATTGTGCCGAATGTTGGAGGGGGGAGGAGAGCAGAACAAGCAACGTTTCTCGGGCAGAACGGCTGCGGCGAAAAATTGAAGATGTGGCTCGAAATCAAGTCCAGTCCCGGAGAAAGCAATGCAGGTTTCTGCTGTTGGTTGGCGGCACCATCTGGTGGTGGTGGTTGGCTTCATTTCGGCAAGGCACGGCAGCCAAAGTGGGACCACAATATTTATGAATACATATTCGTCTGCCCGTAAATTTGCAGCGGTGGGACCACGTGACAGAAGTTGATACGAAAGGGCATGGCTGATTCCACGTCACCAGCATCTCCTGCTGAACCCAACAACGAGAATTCCACGTGTCGTTTAGAGCTCCGCCACCTCACTCGGACCCGAGCACGACGCAGCGCGAAGCGGCTCGCAAATGCACGAAATTTCACATTGCATTGCACAAATGCAATCAAACATGCAACACATATCCCCCCCTAACCCCCACACATCTAATCAGTTACTGATCACATCATCACCTCATCGGTTTCTGGTCTGGAGCAGTTTCCTTTCAGGAACCTTACGGAAACTTGATGGAGGGCTCCTTTCCCTATACCTATGTAGTTGCATGCTTTGTGCGTCTATTTGCAACTTTTAGGACCTTCATATATAATCGCTGGCGCATCGGGTGGCGCACATCTTTCACTCTTACAGGCAAAAATGGTATCTCTCGAAACGTACGACCATGATGTAAACACACATGGTGCTGGAGAGATGAGTTTAGTCATCCTGAGATGCGTTAGCGTTACCGTTAACGTGACAACAGCACGCACTCTCTATGGCGCTTTCCTCTGCTTCAGCGCACGTCAGAAACCGCTCGCATGCCAAGGAGACCCCTTCCTTTCACAACCACCTTCGCGCCATGCCCCCTGCCTTTCTCCTTCCACTGCATGTCCCCATGCACGGCCGTCTCAACGCCATCCCTTCGTCGAGGCGCCAGACGAAGCATCATCTTGATGTTACAAGAATGGCCGAAGCGGCCTTCTTGCTCCCGTCTGCGCCCGTTGTCGCACAATTCTCCCGAGATTCAGCATCTTCTCGCGCAAATTTCTGTTACTCTCTCCTCGCCGCTCCCCTGGTCTCAGCTTTCTCCCAGCCATGAAATCTCTCTTCTTGAGAAAGTCCATCACCAACCACCACGAGGCTCATGCGAGAGGCACCTCAAAGAACTGCAGCTCAGCTTCTCCTGGCATGAAATCGTTTACTCGATAAGGCCCACCCGTCCCGCTCGGCTCTCGGATCGGGTCAGTCAGTCTTCGCAAACAGTGTCAGTTCAGGGCTTCTGTATTAGCTCCTTCGAACAGTTTCTGACACTCTGCACAACCCGTATTTTGAGTCAACTTAAAAGTCGGCTCTGCAAAATCCGTCGCCATGACGAAGCTCTGCTCTCACGCGTTCGCGTCGTCGCTAGCCCGCCAGGTCGCCCGTTTCTTCGCAGCGTCAGCAAACTCAGCAGAAGCGGCGACGGCGGGTGCGGCATCGCCGGTTCCTAAGCAGCAGACGCTACGCGCCGCGGCGGCGACTTCTCACTGGAACGAGCTCTGGGAGAGCCCGTCGGCATGCAGCGGCGGCAGCGCGCGTTCGTTTCATGGCCGGGTGAACGCGCCGCCGCCGCCGCCGCTGGCGCCGGCGTCACAGCAGCAGCGGCAGCAGCCTTCGATCACTCGCATCAGCGCGACGAGCAGCCTCACCACCACTCGGGGCGTCGCCTCGGATGCTGCGGCGCAGAAAACGGCGAGCGGGGTAGCAGCGGCGCGGGCGCCGCCGCCGACGAAGGAGTGGCACCTGGTGCCGCTGGGGTACCGGCCCGCGCACGCCGTGCCGCTGCAGGAGCGCATCGAGGAGATGTGGGAGTCGCGCGTCGGGCGTGGGGAGGAGCGACACGTGGGCCGGGAGGGAGTGGAGAGGAAGAAGAGCGGCGAGGGAGCGGAGGAGAAGGGAAAGGAGGAGGAGCGGCGCGAGCTGGAGGCGTTGAATTGGGCGTTTAGTCAGCTGCCCGTGTCCGTGTTCCCGTGCCCGCATAAAGGTTCGCCAAATTGCCACCCTACAACTTTTGAGGCGTCTCAGAGCGTTCAGTCAGCTGCCCGTGTCCGTGTTCCCATACCCGCATAAAGGTTTGTCTTTCTTCTTACCCATCATACCTATGCTCCTCTACGCTCCTATACGCTCTTATGAGTTTTCTTGCACTCTTCAACGCTCCTGTCCACTCCCATATGTGCTCCTGTCCACTCCCATATGCTTCCATCCATTACCATAAGCTTCTCAGCTTCCTCCTGAGCTGTACCTCGCCTTCCTCTCTTTTCCCTGCCAATCCCTCCACTTCCCCTCCCTTTCCGTCCCTCCCCTCCCGTCCCCTCCCGCTCTCCTCCCCCCAGTGCTCGAGATCCCTTCCGATGCCCGTCTGTCAGACGCTCTGCGCATGCTGCAGCATGCGGGCCTCACAGCAGCGCCAGTCAGGGACGTGGGCGTGGGGGACGAAGCGCCCTTGCAGCAGCGGTACCTGGGCATGGTGGACGGCGCCGGCATCGTGCTGTGGGTCATGGGGCAGGTGAGACGTGACGTAGGTGATGCGTGGGTTGGGTAGGGGAAGGTCAACTAGGGGTAGGTAGGTACTAGAGCAGGGGCACGTGGCGGGGGGGGGGGGACGATGCCCCTCTGCGGTACCTGGGCTGGGCATGGTGGATGGCGTGGTGGTCGTGCTGTGGGTCATGGGGCAGGGGGGTCATGGGCCAGGGGGGTCATGGGGCAGGGGGGTCATGGGGCAGGGGGGTCTTGGGGCAGGTGAAAGGCAGGTGTGGGGCAGTAGTACACTCGCTGGGCTTCGCTCAGTGCGTTCCTTTGAGCCCTCCCCTTCCGCCCTCCCTCCTTTTCAGGTCGATCCGTTCATCCATAGAGGTGCCGATGGCAGCAGCAGCAGGCGGGGGACTGACGGGTCTGGTGGGACTGGTGGGACTGGCGGTGGCAAGGCTGGGCAGAGCAACACCACTGGTGATCTACCAATGCCTTCCTTCTGACCTCTTCCTCCCTCCACCCCCCGCCCTCACTCCCTTCCCCAATGCCCCTTATGTCCTCTTTTTTCAGCTCGACCGTTCATCCATTGAGGTTAAGATGGCAGCAGGCAAGGGGGGGGCTGGCAGGGCTGGCGTTTGGAGGGCTGGTGGTTCATTTGATGCCGATCTGCTTTGATCACTGCCTTCTTTTTGACCCCCGCCCCTCCTCCCATTACGCGCCCGTTACAACCCCTCGCCCCTATTTCCCACCCTCCTCAGCTCGAGCGTTCATCCATTGAGGTGAAGATGGCAGCGGCAGCAGGGGGGGGGCTGGCAGGGCTGGCGTTTGGAGGGCTCGGGGCAGCCGCATTGGGCGCGCCAGATGTTGCCACGCTGGCAGCCATGTGGGCAGGATCGATGGCGGGAGGGCTGCTGGGCGCCACGTCAGCAGAGGCGCCAGGGGAGGGGGAGGCGGGAGGAGGGGTGGAGCGATTGAGGGTGTCGGCAGGGGGGTTGGATCGGCTGTTGCAGGGGAACATGTTTCAGACTGCTAAGGTAAGCGTAAAAGGGGGAGGGTGGGGGCAAGGAAGTGAAGGGGAAGTGGGGAATGGAGGGGCATGGGGGAGGGGTGGAGCGAGTGAGGTTGTCAGCAGGAGGGCTGGATCGTCTGCCGCAGGGTTTGTTTCAGACTGCTAAGGTAAGATTGGGGTGGGGACGTGGAGTGTGGGGTGGGGCGTAAAGACTTCTTTTTCCTTCCGAGCCCTTTCTCATCCCCGCTTGGTCTCCACGCCCCTGCGTCCACCCCCGCCCCCCTTTCCCTGTTGATTCGCTTTTCTTCCTGTGCCGGAGTCGACTCAGAAGCACCCCCACCCCGCCTCTCGCGTTCTGCCCTTACATGCCTCCCTCACGGGTCTCTGACCTCGTGGGGTCTTTACTCAAATGCTTCCCATATCCACCTGGTGGGGTCTTTACTCAAATGCTTCCCATATCCACCTGGTGGGGTCTTTACTCAAATGCTTCCCATATCCACCTGGTGGGGTCTTTACTCAAATGCTTCCCATATCCACCTGGTGGGGTCTTTACTCAAATGCTTCCCATATCCACCTGGTGGGGTCTTTACTCAAATGCTTCCCATATCCACCTGGTGGGGTCTTTACTCAAATGCTTCCCATATCCACCTACTCTTGCACCTTCCCCTCTGCTTCTCCCTTCTCCCTTCAACGTCCTGCCTCCTCCCACAGGTGTCTGCTTTTGAGTCGACTCAAAAGCCTTCAACGTCCTGCCTCCTCCCACAGGTGTCTGCTTTTGAGTCGACTCAAAAGCCTTCAACGTCCTGCCTCCTCCCACAGGTGTCTGCTTTTGAGTCGACTCAAAAGCCTTCAACGTCCTGCCTCCTCCCACAGGTGTCTGCTTTTGAGTCGACTCAAAAGCCTTCAACGTCCTGCCTCCTCTCACAGGCGTCCTTCAACGACTCAAAGCTCCCCCTTCAACGTCCTGCCTCCTCTCACAGGTGTCGGACCTTGTTGGTTCATTCCGCTGGCGCTCCTTCCTGCCCCTCTCAGCCTGCAACTCTGTTCTCTGACTCATGCGCCTTCCCGCACCCCCCTGTTCCCTCCAACCCTTCGCCTCCCCCACAGGTGTCGGACCTTGTGGGTTCGTTCCGCTGACGCTCCTTCTGACTCGACCACCCATGCCCCCCTGTTTTTTTTTTCCTACGGCTTTCCCTCTCTCGACGCCTTCCCACAGCTGTCGGACCTGGTGGGCTCTTTCCGTTGGCGCTCCTTCCTGCCCCTCGCCTCCTCCGACTCGGTCCTCTCCCTCATGCTGCTCCTTGCCATGCCCCACCGCCCCCAAGTGCTCCCCATCGTCACCTACCCTCCCACCTCCTCCGCTCCCTTCTCCTCCTCCCCTTCCTCAGCCTCTCCCACCTCGTCTCCCGAGCCTGCAGCTGCAGCTTCGTCAGCAGGCTCGGGGTCCGCCCTGGTGCCGAGCCTGTCTGCGCTGGTGTCGCAGGCAGATGTGGTGAATTTCCTGGCGGAGTGTGACGGGCAGCCGTGGTTCGAATGGGTGGCGGGGAGGAGTTTGAAAGACATGGGGCTGCCAAGAATGGGCGCAGAATCGACTGTCAAGGTGAGACTGGTCAAGGCTCTTGGATTGTGAAAGGCAGCCGTGGTTTGAGTGGGTGGCGGGGAGGAGTCTGCAGGAGATGGGGCTGCCAAGAATGGGTGCAGAATCGACTGTGAAGGTGAGACTGGGGGTCTGGGAGTGTGAGTGAAACAAAACTGGTGTTAGGGGAAGGGGTGTGGACTGCTGTTGCTCTGTTTCACAACAGCAAGTACAAAACAAAAGACATTGTGCCAGCCGGGAATCGAACCCGGGTCTGCACCGAGCTAATGGCAGGGTGCTATTCTACCACTAGACCACTGGCACTGGTCTTACGTTTCTTTGGTTTACAATCACTACTTGCACTGGTAAGCGATGAACTTGGGGATGCGTGTCCAGTCTTGTGAAGTGAGGATTTCCGGGAACAATGGAAGAGTTGATGTTCAAGGTGAGTGCATGGTTTCTTTCCAGGGTTAGTTTCTGGGTGAAGAAGAATATAAGCGCAGGGAATAGTGGTTGGAAGGTAGGTGTGGTTAGGCCAAAATGAGAGGACAATCATACTTATGATAAACCTGCCACAATGACTCATCGAGGTGAAATCAGTTACTTCAAATCAGGCTGAGATGAATGATGAAGGTGCATCCAGGGATATCAGTGGGTGGTGGCTGCTTGGGTAACGAGGTGACCACCATATTTGAGGCGACGTCTGCTGAAGGTACATGTTATGGCACGGAAAAGCACTGAGATTAAGGCGTGTGTGTTTTTGCCGAACCTGACAAAGTTCGAACTCAAACCGCATTGCACCGTGGCAAAACTCTTCTAATTGTATCCTAACGTGACGAACCGTTATAAAAGTTCGAACTTTCAGTCAGGTTCGGCTAAATCACACACGCCCTTAGCTGCTCATGTCATGGTTGTGTCGTTCAAAAGATACAACAGAGGTCCTGTGCCAGCCGGGAATCGGTCCCGGGTCTGCACCGTGCTTATGGCAGGGTGCTATTCTATCTCTTTACTAACTCTATACTAAATGTACAATGGATACAAGGCAAATCCAGAGACCTAGTGTATGGAAAGCAGGCTAATCCTATTGTAAGGGCTACAAATAGGCCTCTGAGATGTTTCAGTGGTCCTCTCCAAAGTAGGCAAAGTCAGCTGCAGAAAGAGAAGTCACCTCGGGTGGTGCGTGGTTGACGCCCTCGGTAAAACGAATTTGTGCACGACGACAAACAGTGCGAGCCTGCTCACGTTGATGGACCAGAGAAATCCGTTTGTAGAAGTTGGTCTCAAACAGCAGGGGAAGAGAATCTGTAGCACCACTCAAGTCGCGGAGTTGTGAAGCCCCTTTTCGGCTGCATTGGCGAAGGAAGTTGTTGAACGATGAGCCGAAGCAACCGAAGGTTTCGATGGCAAGGGGAAACAGTTTGACGTCCGGACGGTCATGAAGTGCTGCAGCATAGTGGGTTGTCTTCTCACTTTCACGAGTGGCTGCTGCTGAACCAATCACCGTAGCTGCGTTGGAGTGCGGAAACCCCTTTTGTGGGTGCTATTCTACTACTAGACCACTGACACTGATCAGATGTTTTCAAGATTTTTGCAGCATAACCATTTTCGACACAAGGACTGAGATGCTGTGATTACTGCTTGTTGGTAATCACGACAACAGCTGAATGGCAGCACGCTGATAGCGGAAGGATGGGTAGCTTGGCTGAGTTTGAAGAGTCATTTCCACGATGTTTGAGTCACTCACACACGACGGCACCAACAGCACTTGCTTCTTGAGTCATTTTTGAGTGACGTCAAAAGTGCAAGCCATCCCAATCATACTGTGGTGAACTTTTAGGGATGGAGATGCATGGGGCTGCTGAGCAAGACGGCGGAATTAGTGGTTCAGGTGAGGGACATGTGAGATGCAAAGTCTGGTATGTGACATGCAAAGGCTAACATGGGTGATGGGTAGGAGCAAGTAAAGGGCCTAGGGACTTTGGATCATAGGTGACAGACAGCCTTAGCCTACATTGGGGGGGGAAGAGGCGTTTATGGTGCCAAGGAATGGACGGCAAGGGATGAGAGTGGAGTAAGTGGTCACTTAGGTGAGAGCATGGCTTTAAGGGTGGGTGCTAAACCCTGGGTGTGCAGGTGGCAGAGAATGGGGGCTGATATAATAGAGTATGGGATTTCTCTGTATGGAATGCTGATTGGGCTGAGCCAAGCAGAGAAGAAAGATCTGGGAGATGAGGGTGTTATGGGTGAGTTGGTGCATCCGGGAATTGGGGGTGTCATGTGTGAGTTGGTGCATCCGGGAAATGGGGGTGTCATTTGTGAGTTGGTGCATGCTATGCAAGGTGTAATGCGGTGAAGTGTGGTGATAATGAGACCATCTCTGGAAAAGGGTGGTGATGATGAGACCATCTCTTGGAAGGGGTGGTGATGATGAGACCATTTCTTGGAAGGGATGATGAGACCATCTCTGGGAAGGAGTGGTGATTGTTAGACCAGTTTGGGAAAGTGTGGTGACGGTGAGACCAGGTGTGGTAATGGTGAGACCAGGTTGCAAAGGGAGTTCAGTGGGTGGGAGGAAGGTATGATTGAAGATATTATTTGGGAGGAATGAGATCGGTCTTCAAAGCTCATCTTCCTAGTGTGAGGCAGGTGACAGCAAGGATAGCATTGCCGATGGGTTTTCTTGGTCATCCCATGGGATCAAATGGTCATGTGCCAGCCGGGAATCGAACCCGGGTCTGCACCGAGCTAATGGCAGGGTGCTATTCTACCACTAGACCACTGGCACTAGACATGTTGTAACATTAAGTGTCAGGATTTTATAAGTTCTCTCACACACAGGTGCGGTTAGGGCGTGTTACATTTTCGATTTTTTCCGGACTGGACCGGACCGTCAGAACGGTTCAAAGTGGTATATTTTTAGAACGATTGGTTCAAGTGGGTTTCTAGACGTTTTGGAGTGGTGATTGTCCGAACATGCCCTTAGTGCTTCTCTGCGTTTCTTCTCTTTTGTACGCGTTATGATCACAGGTGGAGGAGTCAGACCCGGTAATGAAACCGTTTCGTCTCATGCTGCAGCATGGCATTGGTGGAAGGTCTTTGGTGGCGCCGAGGACCAATCGCATGTTACAATCCTTTGCACGGTCCTTCCGGGCCTCCTGCCAGGCAGGAGGGCCTTCATTCATGCCTGAAAGGTTCTTTTCCTTCTGTACGCGTTATGGTGGCAGGTGGAGGAGTCGGACCCGGTAATGGAGCCGTTCCGTCTGATGCTGCAGCATGACATTGGTGGAGTGCCCGTGGTAGCGCCGGGGACCAATCGCATCACGGCAAATGTCAGCGCGAGGGACGTTCTGCAGCTGCTTACGTCTCCGCATCTTGCAGAGCAACACCATATCAAGTAAAATGCCTCCATTGTGTCCCCGTACCACTGCACTGCTTCCATTTTGCAATTTCTGCTCGTTTCTCCCCTTGTTCTGCGTTCACCCACACTCCCCCCCCTCCACCCTCCCCCCCTCCTCCTGCGCGCTCCCACCATCGCCGCAGTAGTGAGTCTGGTGCATGCCATGCGGCTTAATAATGGTGCAGGCATGACATGCACCCATCCCAATCGTTTTTTAAATGGTCAGCATAACAGCAATCTTGTTCTTCCCCTTTCCAATCCTTTTCTCGGTGGTCATATTCTCGGCATTGACCCCTCAACCCTTTGTTCCCCTCACTCTCCTCGAACCTGACCAATCTCCAGGCCACTCACAGTGGCAGATCTGGAGCACCTTGCACAGCCTCATATAACTCCACAGAAAATAACTATTGTTTCTTTTTTCTACTTTCTCCCTTTTCTCTGCATCCCCTGCTCCTCCTTCCCCCACAATTCCCCCTTCCTCTCCCATCCCCATCCACCCCCACCAACCCTCAGACCCCTCACAGTGACAGACTTAATGTACGACGCGCAGCAACTTTAGTGTACGGCATGTTCAGCATGTGTCCCTTTCCTCGTCCTTGATGTTCCAAGGATTCTTTTGAGAACTCTAAAAAATCTCGGCGTGTTCAGAATGTGTCCCTTCCTCCCTCCCCTCCTCTGGTCCCATCCCCACCAACCCCCAGGCCGCTTACGGTGGCAGAACTGGTGCACGATGCGCAGAGGCCGCATCACGGTGCTGCTGACGTCATCTGGCCAATCATGGTGCCGCCCGTGACGTGCCGCTTGTCCACGCCACTGCGCGAGGTGATCCACGCGTTCCGGGTGGCACGCGTGCACCGCATCTACGTCACCCGGGAGCCGGAAGAGGGGGTGGAAGGAGGAGAGCTGGTGGGAGTGGTGACGCTGCGGGATGCAATTGGACGGTTTCTGGTGAGGCAGGAGGAGGGAGAGACACGGGGAGAGAAGGTAGAGGAGCCGGTTCCAGCCAGCACTGAGGTTGGTTCCGATGGTCTCAGCCTGTAGTGGGAGGGGATGGTGATGGTGATAGTTGGGATGTCACTGCGCGATGTTATCCGCGCTTTACGGGTGGCACGCATGCATCGCATCTACGTCACACGGGAGGAAGGGGAAGGAGGAGAGCTGGTGGGAGTGGTGATGTTGCGTGATGCAATTGGGAGGTTTTTGGTTTGGCAGGCGGAGGAAGAGTTGAGTGGGGAGAGTGGGGAGAAGGAGGGGCCATTTCCGACCAGCTCTGAGCTTGGTTCAACTGATCTCAGCCTGTAGTGGGGTTTGATCGGTTGGCCAGCTGCCGGTTTGGCTCACTCGCTGCTGCTGCTGCTGGCCTGGGTGTTGTCGTCCTGTTGCCACATACGGTCTGTGGCCCGCCCAAGGTTGCAGGTGGTAACAGAGGAAAGCGAGGGGAGGAGAAGGAAGGGGAGGAATGGAGGGAGCAGAGATGGCAGGCATGCAAGCATTCTTTGTACATACGGTACGTTTTGGCATCCTTGGATTTTCCTAAGATGAAGACTGTCAGATTTTGTTCTTTCCCCAGGAGGATCCTGTACAATTTGAGCATGCATATGTTCTCGTCCTTTGTGCCACGAATCTCATTGCATTCAACCATTTAGCATGAAAGAAATGGCTGCTGTTCAGGAACTATTGAAGAGATCACATCACGGTGCCATGATGAGAGCAACATAAGTAGCTTCATACGCAAAGCTACACATGTATTAGAATACTACAACCAAGTGTCTCTCATGCTAATGCAGCTTGCATAGAATAGAACGTAGTGCTCTGTGATCCAGAACCAGCTCCCTTGCAGGAGAGGAAATGGATAACTCGTACGGAAAAACACGACTCCAGCCACCCCAACTTTCCACACCACGATTTCCACCGAGCCCCAAAATCCGCGTCTGCCTCCTCCTCCTGTCGCCTGCATCACTAGACCTACCAAACCTAAGCAAGTGAAGTGACCAAGCTACGTCTTGCAGATGGTAAATTGGAGTCCTTCAGACTGTTCCATGCGGTGGCATTATGGGACTCTCAAGCCCCAGAATTCTTCTCTTTGACAACCGGTGCTCTTTTTGCAGCACCAGTCAGACGCATGGGTTCAAACTTTGTTCAGCCTCGTTTCAGCCTGCTCACTTGACACTGTCCTGTGATGGAAACGGGAGCTTTTAGTGAGACTACTTTTGGAAAAGACTGGATGGGCAGGAGCAGCAGTATGAGCAGCAGCAGCAGCACTCAGCAGGGCGTTCCCGTTCTGACAACTGCCCTGGAATTCACTCGTAGAGCCCCTCTCAGCCAGACCTATCCTGTCATAGATTGCACCACTTGAACGGATCCAATGCTTCCCCTCTCTTGCGGACTGCAGAGAGCGAGGAAGATGACAGAGGGGAATAGTGGGGGACTTGTGTGAGATGCCATGGGGTGGGGGAAAGAAAAGGATAGGTATGAGATGGAACAAGGGGGAAGGGATTGATATGTGTGAGTAGACAGAAGGCTAATAAGTGGGGGGTGCCATAAGACGGAGGGGGGCATGGGGGGCGAAGTGTGAGGTGCCACTAAGGGGGGATTAGTGTGAGGTGCCACTAAGGGGGGATTAGTGTGAGGTGCCACTAAGGGGGGATTAGTGTGAGGTGCCACTAAGGGGGGATTAGTGTGAGGTGCCACTAAGGGGGGATTAGTGTGAGGTGCCACTAAGGGGGGATTAGTGTGAGGTGCCACTAAGGGGGGATTAGTGTGAGGTGCCACAGGGGGGGGAAAGTAGGGAGTCAAAGACACAAGAAAGCGAATAAGGTGGGGGGGTTGGAAGGGGGAGGTTTGCGAATGTATACATGTGGGAGTGGGGGCGACAACATGTGGGTGTGGGAGCGGGGGGGATGAATGGAGAGACAACAGGACAGGGAAGAGAAGGGAAAGGGAGGAGGAGAGGAAGGCAAATGGTGGCAGGTGGGGCCCTGTGGCTCATCCGGTTGCCCACGCACACACAAGTGAGGAGAGAGAGTGGGATGGAGGGAGCAAGTCAACAGGAAGGTTGGTGGGTGGGGTTACAGGCCAATGGTGCGCTTACCTTTAAAGTGCAGGTGCGGGCCTGTGGCTCGCCCTATTGCTCCCACACACAAGTGAGGACGGGAGGGTGGAAGTGTGAGAGGGTGAGTGCAGTGGGGGAACAACAGGCCGATGGTGCGCTTACCTTCAAAGTGCAAGTGCGGGCCTGTGGCTCGCCCGGTTGCCCCCACACACGCCACCTGCTGCCCCCTTGCCACTCGCTGCAGTGGCCATGCGTACACACACATGCAATTGCACACACACACACACGCAGACACAGATGGACACACAGATGGAGGAAGACTCATGGGTGAGAGGGTGGATGTGAAGGGGCAAATCTGTAGCTAGCAAGCTAGGAAGCAGGCCACTCAGAAATTCCCTTGAGGCAACCTTACATAAGTCAGCCCCACTTGAAGCAGCCCCACCTCAACACACACTGCTGCATGCCAGAAAACGCCACGTCAATCACCGCGCATTCCTGCACAACACCCCCCTCCCCACCTCTCAAGAGCCAGCACGCACCTGCCCAACACGTGCGTTGATGATGCAGCAGTGACCATATCGAGTGGTGAAGCCATTGTCATGTGCTATCGTCACCAGCTTGCCATACCTGGAGAGATTGGAGCAGATGAAACATGGGAATGGGAGGGGAAGGGGTGGGGAGGCTTATGAAGGTTTTGTCATGTGCTACCGTCACCGGCTTGCTGTACCTGGAGAGATAGGAGAGCTTAGCTGAGGTGGGCGGGAGGGTTGTGAAGGCCTTCACCATCCCACCCACCTACCCCCCCCTTCCCCTCCATCCCCCCCCCCCACACACACATATGCGCACGTGCATACACACAAGCTCACACGCACAAACACTCTCACCCTCCACTCCAGCCTGCAAACGTCACAACGCCCTTGTCTGACGCCAGCACTGGCGCCCCAAACTCCGCTGCTAGATCCACGCCCTGGAGGTTGGGGGAGGGGGGAAGGAGAACAGGAGGGAGAGAGACGGAAAAAGAGGGAATACTTGTGTTGACAAAAAAAAAAAGACGCAAGTACTGGCACACCAGACACCGCAGCTAGATTCACACCCTGGAGGTTGGGTGATGGGGAGAGGAGGGAGGGAGGGAGGGAGGGAGGGAGGGAGGGAGGGAGGGAGGGAGGGAGGGAGGGAGGGAGGGAGGGAGGGAGGGAGGGAGGGAGGGAGGGAGGGAGGGAGGGATGGATGGATGGAGGGAGGGAGGGAGGGATGGATGGATGGAGGGATGAGAGAGAGAGCAAAAGAACAGAAGTGATTTCAGTGCAATCTCAATGTAAGATGAGGTTGGCAACGCGGATTGAAGATGATGATAACGAGGGTCGACAATGGGAGTTAAGGACGAAGCGGGTGAAAAGAGAGGGGATGCAGAGTGGCAATGCGAGATTGATTTTCAGACGTCTCAAAAACACTCTTCTTTCAGGAGGGTTGAAAATGGGAGTTTAAGGACGAAGCGGATGAAAGAGAGGGGATGCAGAGCAGCAAAGCGAGATGCGCGAGTGCTCTCTCTTTCATCAGGCGGAAAGTAGAGAGGACCAGCAGACGAGGGGGTGGGAGAGAAGGAGTGGCGCAAACGTATGGAGGAGGTGAAATGAAGGGGTAATGGAAGGGAGAAGAGAGGGCGTACCTCGTGGAAGGATCCCCATCGCCAGCCAAAGGGACTGCTGACGAAGCTGGTGGACGGAGAGGGTTGAAAGTTGTAGGGGTTGAAGAGGCGACGCGGAAGAGGGCCGGGTGGGGGAGAAAGGAGGGGAGGGGGGCGGGGAGGAGGGGGAGGGGGGGGTGGGGGTGGAGTGGGGTGGGATAGGGAGAGTTGAGAATGAGAAAGCCAGCACGTGAATCAGCAGGGCCATCATGGTGAGAAAAACAGCGGTACAAACACAAGATATTCCACTACGCAGAGCCCAGCCAAGTCTGCCAAGTCTTGAATCATTCCCACAGTCCCTGCCCCACTCCACCACCCTCACCACCCCACTTCCTTCCCCCTCCCCACCTTTCCCCTCCCTGCCCCCCTCCCGCCACAATCCGTCCACCAGGTATGTTCTGAGTCACCTTTCCCCCACCTCCCCCTTCCCAACCCTCTCGCCCCTTTTCCCCCATCCGTTCTCCCTCCCCCCTGCATTCTACACCCACCCTATCCCCCTTCCCCGCCCCCATAACGCACCCGTCCACGACAGGGCAGTTGAATCGCAGCCAGCCGTCCATCGACTTGGGGAAGCCCTTGGGGCCCCGCCTCCACCGCCCTGCGGGTGAGAGAGAGGGGACGCGGGGCGGTGGGGAGACAACACATAGTAAGACGAGAGGGAGGGAGCGAGGGGGGAAGAGAGAGAGCACAGCGCCAGCCGTCCATCGACTTGGGGAAGCCCTTGGGGCCCCGCCTCCACCGCCCTGCGGGTGTGGGGAGAGGCGGGAGAGGAGATGGGGCGGAGGATATGGGGGAAGAGGACGTGGTAAGGGAGATGTGGAAGGCGGCACAGAACAGAAAAAGAAACACAGACGGAAGAGCAATGATGATGGCATGACATGCCTGCAAGTAGTTAAGACGACTAAAATGTCACTGCAGGTGAAAGTGGAAACGTGGGCCAGGTGGAGCAACACAGAAACGCACTGCTGGCATGGACTATTCACACAAGTGAGGCAGCAAACAGTCAACGCAGATCGACAAACAGCTCATAAGACAGGCATGGCTAGGAGATTACATTATATAATCACCAACTTGTGGTTTACGAGGCACACCTTCTAGCAGAGAAACTCGTCCTCCTGCTGCTGAGCCCGCTTTCACAATGGCGCCTGCTGCCGGACCTCCCACGCCGAGCCTTGCAGGCAGCTTTGGCAAAGTCGATGATGGAGAGAGCCGGGAAAAGAGCGGGCGGCAGGTCCGGCGAATGCCAGGCCTGAGCTCTGGTACGGAACGACGTTGGTTGGCTGAGATGAATAGAGCATAAATTGGGGGCGCGAGGGGAGGAATGAAGGAATGCGTTGTGAGAGGGTGAAAGGGAGGAGAGCGAGATCGAACCCTAACACACTAGAAAAACACGGTTTGGGCATATGGTGATGGGATACGCTGGTAAAATGAAACGTGCCATGTAACATGATTGAAGAAAGTCTTAGGCATGTCCTGCCCGAGACTGTGGAATACACGCCATCACAAAGCACTAACCCCCCTCTCCCCTCCTTCCTTCCCTCGTCATCCCCCTTCACTCCTCGTCCATCTTACCCCATCTCAAATCACCCAGGTAGCACTCACAGCACGAGACGATGAGCGTGTCGCCCTCAACAATGAAGTCCGACCGAAGGTTGTTCAACCTCTGCAGGTCCCGAATCGACGTGCGGTGGTTCTGGGCAATCTCCGCCAGCGTATCCCCGAACTGCACCTTCACCGTCTTGATGCACATCGGCACGCGCAGCCCCGGCTGCCTCGCCGCGCGCCGCTTAGACGCGCCCACGGGCTCGAACATGGGGTTGCGGGACATGGGCGGGTTGACCGCGCGACTGGCCGGGACAAGGGTTCCGTCCATGATCGAGTTCCGCTCCGCCTTGCTTGCCTCTGGCAATTTCTGCACCTTCTTCTTCGCGTCTTTCTTGCCCGCGCCCTTATTTATCTTGCCCCACAACCCCCTGCTGCTGCTGCTGTTGCTCTTTCCCCATCCCCATCTCTCAGTCGCAGCGGGTGCGGGTGCTGGAGCTGGCGCCCTAGCCGCGGGCCTTGGGGCCGGGGCTGCTCTAATAGCGGGAGTGCGGCTATCGGGGCTATAGGTTCTGGCCGCAGTGGCAGCAATGGGCTGCTGCTCCTTCACAGAGCTAGATGACGCTGCAACTCCTCCCCCGTTAGCTCCTCCACCTGCGGCGGCACCTGTTGTAGCACTTCCTAGCACAGTCACACCTACGCCTCTTGACGCCGCAACTGGCGGATCAGCACCAGCAAAAGCAGCAGCAGCAGCAGCAGGAGCAGCAGAAGCAGGACCTCTAGTGCCACCCGGGCCACCGGATGCAGCCGCGGCTGCAGAAGCGCCACGCTCCGCCATTGCCGCCGCTTCCGCCGCTACAGTCGAGGAGGAGGACGAGAGGCGGGTCTCCACCGTGTGATTGATTAGATGCGCCGCTTGCACGCACTCGGGCGTCGGCGCGGAGAGAGGGTCCGCGGAGGACGCGGAGGGGTGCCGCGGAGTGGGCCGTTGGCACTTGTCTGAAAACACTGCGAGTAAACTGCGAGAGAAGGGAGGCAGATGAGGGAAATAACGAGTGTTGAGTGGGGACGAGAAACAGGGAGGAGAGAGGGAGAGGGGGGAGGGAAGGGGGGGAGGGGGGGGGGATGTGTGGAGGTCGGGGCACGAGGACGGAGAACAGTTTAAGATCAGGGAGCGGAAGGAGGGTGTTGAGTTTAACCACACGCGGGGAAGGAAAGGCAGCCTTCAGTGCTAATCATACACCAGCCGTTACCAGACTTATCGGTCTGAAAACGTTTGTCAGCAACAAGCAGCCTTGAGGGCGTCAAAACGGCAACCGTGGGCTTTCTAAACTAAAATACTGCGGTGCCGACATGCAATTCCTAAACCAATGCACGTCTAGCTATTCCAGCTTACTCAAATGGGATGTTCATCCGACGGCCCAGATCCATCAGCCACTCGGGGCTCTCATGAGCGGCTCCGATCAACCCTTTCGCTTTTCTAACCGCCATTCGTTCACGCGATCGAACCCTCCACGTGCTCGGGGGTGTCCCTGGCGGCGACGCCATCGCCCTTCCCGAACCAGCAGTTTTCGGCCTCGCAGCTGCCGAGCCTGTTGCCGAGCCTGCTGCTACTTGTTGAACTGCTGGGGCGACGTTCGCTACTCCAGCGGTTAACGTCGATGCAGTGGCCGCGGGAGACGGCGAAGTCTTTAACGAATTGGTCGAGGCTAATAGCGAGGGTGATGATAACGAGCGTGGCACTATTGGGGGTGAGGCGGCCCGTGGAGAAGGGGGACCGAGCCTCCCCGTCAACCTAGCGACCGGGAGGGTTAGGTCGAAGCCGTCTCCTCCTTGTGTCAATATCGATGTAAACCCCGCTTCTCGAGAGGAAGAGCCTGGAGATCGGATCGCCTGGCCAGCCTGCGATCATGGACGCATGGTAATAGTAAAAAAACAGAATCAGGTCAAGGGCCTTAGGCGTTCAGAAAGGGAGAATGTGAAAGGGAGAAATTGTGACGGACAATGCAACGAGACATCATCAACGCAGCATCGTATGAAGGACCGGCTGTGGCTTCCAGTGATGAAGATGATCCAGCCATTGGCAGTTAATAATTGACGCAATGGCTCTCTAATGAAGGAGCCATGGTCTGGACTACGGAGAACGACAACACCAGGCAGACGGATGGAGGAAATATCATATGCACGACAGGAGGATTTTCTTTTTAATTTCGTCATCATTGGCTTTATTGGAAAGGGTCTCTCCCTGCCAACTAACGTATGCCAACGACTCTTGATCAGCAGGCTGATTCCCTCACGCAAGAAGTTAAGGACGTACAAATTTGTGATCGTCGGATATGTTCTTATCTACCCACGGAAGAGAAGTTTTTAGCCAATCCATGGCCATCCCTGGTGATGGCCCTGAACCGGTACTTAGACGCCCTATTCTTTCGGCTTCACTGAACAACGCACGTGGCTACCGACGCAGCACAGCTAAAGGAACTCGAAAAATATAATTTCTTTCTCTAGTAGCTGACTACACGGCTATATTCACGGAATGATGCTTCCTACCGATAAGTGCTCCGAGACTCTTCTTTAGGTAGGGAACTGGAGAGGCATATGAGTCCGAAGTTAGCCAGCTATGGCCAGTCACAGATGTCTAGGAGGAGCTTTTGTGGATTGAGAATCAGAGCAGCTGTGGTGGATAATCAGGAGAACGACAGGTGGATTAGGGAACGAGGCATGGAAAGGGAAGAGCTGGTGGGCATCAGGTAAGGGGCGACGTTTTGCCGAGCGGAAGGTTTGGGTTAGGTTCGGTGACCTTGGTGAAACCAAAAGGAGCCGTTGAAGGTTGGGTTCTGCGCCGGGTTCGGCTGCTTGATGGCTTGGGAGTCCCTTGGGGGCTTCTCGAACCAATGTGGTCCGGTTTGGGAGGGAACGTCGCCCACGAACTTGGACTCGAAGCTCGGTAATTTGCGGGAAGCCCGACGGGTGGCTGGAATCAGGCGCGGCTCGTTCGGGCCCTGGTTTATGGCCGCCTTTTGATTGCGTCGCAACGTGGTTGGTTGGCTCGAGAAGTTTTGGGGTCGTGACTCCTGACAATGGGGTGTACACCAAGTGCCCGCGACACCTGACATCGGCCCGCTTAGATGTGCACTGTAGACAGGCACCATGAGCTGAAGTGACACACGAAAAGTACACGATGTCGAAAATCGGGAGTTGTACATTGCGAGTGGCATACTAAAAATATTGCCATCAAAATTAAGCCAAATCACCCCCAAATGATTGGAATCGGCGGAATGCATCTCTGGTGCACCCTGAAGTCAGAGTTTCCCAACCACACAACCACAATAGCTGGAATACTGGTTTGTGAGGGCGGGTTCACAAGAGCTAGCTTACAGTTTGAGTGTTGTCATCAGGCTGGTGAGAGTGGTGGAGCGGAAAAACAACTTCGGATTCTGCCGCTTCCATTGAACAGAGTGCAACTCTCGTGATTCCCCATTGAGGGAGCTGGCTTTGGCTGCTTCATTGTGTCTAAACAATGATGTCACGAGCAAGTGGAGACGGGCTTCTGCAAGACTAGTTTCCGAGCCTGAACACTCCCAAAACAGTCTCCGAACCTGAAATGGTACAGGTCACCTCACCCTTCGTTTGGTCAGCCTGCCTGCCTGGTGTTTGTGGATAGAGGTTATCGGTTTGGATAAAATGATCTCCTGCTTACACTACAAGCTTTACCATAAGCTGACTCCTTGACCTTTATTGGACAACTTTCCTGTTTCTACCTAGCGGTTTTAGCTAGGCAGGAACAAATTCAAGGGCAAGCTAGGGGTTTTCAATGTCCAGATGAAGCTTCAGGAAGCCTCAAATGCCTTATTATTTACTGCCTGATTATCATGCGGAAGCATACAATGCAATATACCCTATAATAAACTGCATTTTTTTCAGAATGTAGAATACTCCTATGTAATATAAATTTGTGATAACTTATTACAGAGGGTTTATGCAATCACATCCTGTACTTGGTTATGCTAAGTGGCTCAATTGTCATTCTAACAATGTAAATGGTATTGTTTATTGTACATGGAGCAGTTCTTAGATAATTGTCAGAGTAACTAGTAGTGCACGAGAGGTTGCAGGGGTCTTGATTTGTGGCGACAGATGCAACTCTTCCAATGGCAGCGATAAGAACTGCCGCGTGGTGTCTGAGGTGGAGGGTTGTCCGATAGTCGATGACTGTTTCCTGACGTGGACGTGTGTGGCGGTTGCCTCTTTTGCTTTCTGATCCATCCACCCGCAATCCTGTCAGGCGTGTCCGGCATTTCCCCAGCATTTCCCCCTGATTCTCCGCCTACTCCCTCAATCCTGCACAACCTCTCCGCGCACTCTCCGAAACACTTTTCCTTGCGCTTCCCCTGCTTCCGCGCGTGAAGCCTGATCAGGAAAAACTGGGATCGGGTTGGAGTTGAGGTGTTCTCTAGGATCCAGGCAGGAATCTCCAACGCGGGGAAACTGGTCAGAGGAATTAACTGCAATCTCGAGAAACAGAAAAAGAGAAACTAAGTTTAGCACGCCACCTCTGTCGCTGCCATCCTTGTGACCATCTACCCGTTGTAGAGGCCACTCGTGCCGCGCTTCAGCCGTACTTGGTGATACTCTAGCGCAGTCGTCGCCATGGCGTGTACCAGTGGCATGTCTCTGAGAGCAATGGAGAAGTCACTGATTGCTTCTAATGGCTTCCTTCGCTCTTCAGGTGCGAACGGGAGACGCTAGTCTAGAAAACTTGAGCAGCAATGTTTGTGTCAACCCAGCAGTCAGATAGATTGAATAATTATGGATGAGACTCTGATCAGAAACAATCAGGCGTGGTAGATAGCCGACTGTACGTGTACATTACGTATGTCCTGCAGATGAGTAAATCTATCTTTAGACCATTTCGAAACCATCTCAATGGTAGAGGTCGACGAAATCGCTTCCAGCGTTGGGGTTCACATCACCACACAGGTTTTGGGTTCATCTGCACTTGCATGTGCTCCCCGTCTAGTATTGTGCTTCTCACGGACCTGACGACGAGTTTGAAATGCGATAACGGTGGAATACGTGCTACCGGATGGAAGGGAATGGGAAGGAATGGCGTGTACATGGCGTGAAGACTCACGGCGCTTCGTCCAATTGTTGACCGTGATGCCGTGGTCCCGGTGTTCCCTTCCGAAGACCATGTTTATCCCACACCCTCTTTGTCGCTTCCCATTGTCTCCAGCTAATAGCGCGTCTCACCCCTCTGTCACTTCCAATTGCTTTCAACAGGCACCGTGTCCCACCGCCTTGTGACCTCAGCGCCGTTGCCGCGACAGCGGGTGTCGCGGCTGGTGACGGAGGCGAAGGTGCGCGAGATCTTCATGCCCGCGCTCAGCTCCACGATGACGGAGGGCAAGATCGTCGCGTGGTCCAAGAGGTAATTCAGGATTATCAGTATGGATTGGGGTTACAGAATCGTATCTTCACGCCGGCGCTCAGCCCCTCCACGACGGAGGGCAAGATCGTTGCGTGGCCCAAGAGGCATCTCAGAAGACCAGTATGGGTGGGAACCAGAGAAATGATTTTTTATGCCCGCTCCCAGCTTCACAATGGCCGAGGGGAAGGTTGTTCGCGCTTGACCAAGAGGCATTTGAGAGTTAATTCTCGAAAGGATATCTAGAAAGAAGATGGCGGGCGAAATGCGATCAAGGGCGAGTGGGTGGTGGTGGTGAGTTCGAGACGCGTGTTTCCGCTCCGTCATATCGAGGGCGAGACGGTGACTAAGGGCGAGTCGGTGGTGGTGGTGCCTCTCTCCCTCCCCTCTTCCCCTTCCTCTCCACCTCCCCCACACCTGCTGTCTCTTTTCCCCACCATTTGCCTTCCCACCATTGCAGCGCGGGCGAGACGGTGAGCAAGGGCGAGTCGGTGGTGGTGGTAGAGTCTGACAAGGCGAATAGACCTCTTTCCCCTTCCCCCCTTTTTTCCCATCCCTCTCCATTTCCCGTTCTCCTGCTATCTCTTTCTCCTATTTCTCCCTCCGTCACAGCGAGGGCGAGACGGTGAGCAAGGGCGAGTCGGTGGTGGTGGTGGAGTCGGACAAGGCGGACATGGACGTGGAGACGTTCTACGACGGCATCATCGCCACCATCCTTGTCGGCGAGGGCGAGGTGAGGAATGAAGGATGATGGTGCGTGGGATTATTAAGCTGCAGCAAGAGGGAGCGGTGGGCAGGGAGGGACAAGGCGGGCATGGGCGTGGAGACGTTCTACGACGGCATCATCGCCACCATCCTCGTGGGGGAGGGCGAGGTATGTCGCGGTGAGAGCGAATGGTGCGAGGGAGGAGTAAGCGCTTGTTTGTTAGTAAGGTATCGCTGAGGGTAGTGTAAGCAGAAGGCGTGGAAGGTAGGGGGGGGGGCAAGGCGGATATTGATGTAGAAAGGCGTTTTACGACGGCATAGAGAGCGAAAACGAGGCAGTCTATTGCCATCTTGGCAGAGAGCGAGGACGATATGACATCCGCTAAGGCCGCAACTTCGGCCCCAAAGCTCTGCCCCTTTCAACCGAAAACCCTGTTCACTTGCTGCAGGTGGCGCCCGTGGGTGCATCCATCGCCATCCTGGCAGAGAGCGAGGACGACATGGAGGCCGCCAAGAAGAAGGCTGCCAAGCTCATGTCTTCTGGCGCCTCAAGTCCTAAAATCTCCACCATTTTCAACTGCTTCCAACCTTTTCAAACCTCTTTCAATCGCTTTTAATCGCTGCAGGTGGCACCTGTGGGTGCAGCCATCGCCATCCTGGCAGAGAGCGAGGATGACATGGAGGCCGCCAAGAAGAAGGCCGCCAAGCTCGGCGGCGGTTCTGATGGTGCTGCTGCTGCTCCTGCTGCACCAGCTGCGGCTGCTGCTCCTGCGCCTGCTGCTGCCGCCCCCCCTCCCCCGCCCCCTGCACCTGCCGCGCCTGCTACCCCAGGGAAGGTGGTTGCAACGCCCGAGGCAAAGAAGCTGGCGAAGAAGCACAAGGTACGGTGCAATGGAAGGTATGATTCGATGCGAGTACAAGGTATGGTACAATGCACACACAAGGATCACACCAACACAGTTGCAATGGTCACCAGACAGACATACATCACCTCCTTCACCCACCACCCCCTGTCCCTCCTCTTTTTCCTCACTTCTTCATCCGTTCCCGTCAGCCTCCTCTGTCCTTTGCATGCAGCCAGGCTCTTCCTATCCCCCTCTTTCACTCCCTCTCCTCCGTCGCCTTCCGCCCCTCCCTTCCATCAGGTTGACCTGGCCAAGGTAGCAGGCTCCGGTCCCTACGGCCGGATCACCCCTGACGACATCAAGAAAGCAGCAGGCATCGCGACCGCCCCTGCTCCCACCATCATCGCTCCTGCTCCCGCTGCCGCCGCTGCTGCTCCTGCCGCTCGTGCTGCTGCTGCGCCTGCAGCAGCAGCAGCGCCGCTGCCAGCGGGGGCGTCAGTGGTGGCGTTCACGGCGATGCAGGGGGCGGTGGCGAGGAACATGGAGGCCACGCTCGTTGTGCCCACCTTCCGTGTTGGTTACACCGTTACCACTGACGCCCTTGACGCACTGTACAAGCGGGTGAGTCCTTTCTTTGTGATAATGTGGTGTGGCAGTGGCTAGCGTTTGGAGCTCCTGCTCCTGCTGCTCCTGCTGCTGGTGTTGCTGCTTAACCAGCACCAGCGCCAGCAGCAGCAGCGGCGGCAGCGCCACTGCCAGCGGGGGCGTCAGTGGTGGCGTTCATGGCGATGCAGGGGGCGGTGGCGAGGAACATGGAGGCCACGCTCGTTGTGCCCACCTTCCGCGTCGGTTACACCGTTACCACCGACGCCCTGGATGCTCTCTACAAGCGGGTGGGTCTGTCCGCGCTTGTGATGGTGTGGCGGTGGGTTGTGTTTGGAGCTCCTGCTCCTGCTCCTGCCACTGTCTTTACCGCACCCATCCTGCTCTCTCTCTCCTCCCCTCTCACTGCTCTCTATCCCCTCCCTCTCATTGTCCTCTCTTCTCTCCTCCCTTTACTGCTATCTTCCCCCTATCCCTCTGCTCCCCTTCACTGCCCTCACTGGTGCACAGGTGAAGGGCAAGGGAGTGACCATGACGGCGCTGCTCGCCAAGGCAGTGGGCATGGCGCTGGCGAGGCACCCCATCGTGAACGCCGCGTGCAAGGACGGGAAGAGCTTCCACTACAACGAGAGTGTGAACGTGGCGGTGGCTGTGGCCATGGATGGCGGGCTCATCACGCCCGTGCTCAAGAACGCAGACGAGGTAGGAAGGAATGATGAGACGGGGTGAGAAAGGGTCTTCATGTAACCACCCTTTCTCATCTCACGTTGTTTCTCTTCCCTGGTCCACAACTTTCCACGTTGCTCAATCTCAGTTCCCAAATTTTGTCCCTCATCCTGCCCCTCCAAGAGCGCACTATCATTCGTGCCTCCTACATGCTCCTGTGGGTGTATCCTCCTGTACACCTATTTTTGGGTATACGAACACACCCACACCCCACTCCACTCCGCCTTCCCCCTCCCCCCACCCTCCCATGGTGGTTCCACAAGGACCTGTACACGATGGCAGTGGAAGGAGCTGGTGGACAAAGCACAGAAAAACGCATTTCGTCACGCACTACCCCATCCCACCCCACTTCATTCCACTGCTATTTCTTCCCCGTAGCCCGTGCACACGATGTCAGGGCAGTGGAAGGAGCTAGTAAGTAATCCATGGTGACACACAGTTCCTCACACACTTAGCCCGCCCCACCACACTCCACCCCTCTTTTCTCCCGTTTACCCCCTTTCATCATCCCAGACGGATCTGTTCACGATGTCAGGGCAGTGGAAAGAGCTGGTGGGCAAGGTACTTCAATACACAGTTTTCTACACAGCACCCTTACCGCACTCCACCTCTCTCCACCCCTCTCTTCTCCCCCTTACACCTCTTCATCATCCCAGACGGACCTGTTCACAATGTCAGGGCAGTGGAAGGAGCTGGTGGGCAAGGCACGGAGGAAGGCCCTGAGCCCAGGCGACTACAGCGGAGGTGAGAGAGGCGGACATGAATAGGGGTGGGGTGGGGAGGTGTGGAGAAATTAACAGCAGTAGGGCAAAGTTAGGCAGTGAGAAGGGAGACGGGAGGAAGGAGGGCAATGGGAAGGGGTGGGAAGGGAAAGAGGAGAACTGGATGGAAGGGGAATGGAAAGAGGGGGAAGGGCAGGAGGGGGGAAGGCCTAAGTGAGAGGCATGAAGTGGAGGGTTGGGGAGTGAATTGATGTTGAGGCAATTGGAAGTGGTTGTTAAAAAGGGGGTGTACCAGTTGTGGTATAGGCTATGGATTGTATTTTTTTGGCTTATGGTGTGCCTTGTTATAGCTTCCTTGTTATCCAATCATCGGCGTGCTTCTCTCCTTTGCTGCCTCTCCTTCCTGCTTGTCTCTCCTTCCTGCTTGTCTCTCCTTCCAGGAACCTTCACACTGTCCAACCTGGGCATGTTCGGCGTGGATCGGTTTGACGCCATCCTGCCCATCGGCCAGGTGAGGCAGTGCTGACCGCGTGGACTGTGTGGGCCATGTGCGGGGGAATGTGAGAGAGAGTGGGGGGTTCTTTAGTCAGAATGTTTGGCGTGGATTGGTTTGACGCCATCCTGCCCATCGGCCAGGTGAGACAGTGCTGACCGTGTGGACTGTGTGGGCCCTGTGTGGGGGGATGTGAAAGTGTGTGAGAGTGAGGCATGTGGGAATGAGAGAAGGGGGAATGAGGGAGGGCTTAGGTGTGATGCAGTGATAGTTGAACCAACTGGAAAGGTTCTCATCAGATCCTTTCCTGCTCACTTTGTCAAATTCTCATCATCTTAAAGAGTGTATTGCACATGTATTGAAATCAATATCTTTGGCAGGGTGCGATCATGGCCGTTGGATCATCCATCCCAACAATGGTGGCAGCAGAGGATGGCAGCTTCGGCATCAAGAGGCAGATGCAGGTCAGTCAATTGGTAGTTAGGGTTGGTTGGGTAAGGTGCACATTAAACGTGAAGTTGACTGATGTTCTCTGATTGCTTTTTCTAGTGTGACAAGTGCATCCATTACACTCTCCACTAAGCTAGTACGGTACCTCCCTCTGCATTGCACAGGTGAATGTCACGGCTGACCATCGGATCATTTATGGCGCTGATTTGGCGGAGTTCCTCCAAACTTTCACTAAGATTGTGGAGGACCCAGATCAGCTTACCTTGTAATAGCCGATGGTTCAAGAGTAATTATATTTTTGAATGAACGTGGAATAGTGAGTAGGTAGACAAGCTTTTGCAAAGCCTCTGAAATGAGTGAACACTAGTGCAGGACTAATTTTTGGCAGTTCGTGAAAGCTCAAGATCTGGGTGTATGGTATGCATCTGAAATAAGTTCCAATGCCATTACTGTACCTTTTCATTTCAATCCTTCAATGACACGGAGATTTGAATCCAGCCTTTCGGACACTGCCACGTGAAAAGTACCATGGGCCGCGTCAGCTGGAGCTCTTTTCCAAGTCGTGGTGGCGTGATATTTTACTTGCTGACGCGACAGGATCTGTCCAGCATAACCAGCTCCAGCCAATCAGGCACAAGTGTGCAGAGCAGAAGCACAAAAGACCGCGACGCCTTGAAAAATCCGCCTCCTAATCCACGCATATCAAACGGCACAGTCCGCCTGTGTGTGTTACAGTGGAAGGACAAAACGGTACAGATGGTAAATGCGGTTCAAGCAGACAGCCCTCACCTTGATTGGCTCTCACTCTCAATGCTTCTGGTACTTGCCCCACAACGCCTTCTCCTTTCCCTCAGGCATTTCCCGAATTTCCCATCCATTTTACACAATTTCATGTTGGATTTGGCTTCAGCAATCTATGTCAGCCGAACCCCAAGTTTTCGCATGAAATAACGGTGATATTTCGTTACTCGTTCTCTCATTTCGGTAAGACTCAGAAGTCCGTCCTACGTGAACCTCGCAAGACTAGGCGCAATGTGTACGAGCCTCAACCTCGCTGCTTCTTTTATTTCGGGAACAGCCGGAACGGCCTTATCACGTCAGCTTCATCCCCTCGCTCCGCACCCTTCCTTGAACTCCTGCTTTCTCCCGACATTACACCCTTCTCTGGTAGCACCTCGCCAGTCTTTCAATCAACGGCACAATGCGACACGTCAGCCGTGCCACGTCACCCGGTCGCGCCGTTGCACGGATAGCAGCTCTGGTTCGGTTCGCGCTCCGTCACTTCTTCGAGCTGTCGCCCAAGGTTCAGATGGCTCCGGCGACGTCGCACAAGCTCCTAGCGACGTCGCAGAGGTGCTAGGCGGCATGACTGGTTACGAAACGCAGTTTTCTGCGGACACGGGAGCCCGGGTTGTGGCGGTGGTGGGTGCTGACGTGGTGAGCCCGTACGGCGGTGCCACGTGGGACGAAGTGATACGACAAATGGTGAGTCAAGGGTGTCTTGTGTGACCCTCCAGTAGTAATATCCCGTTTGGTCACGACTAAAATTAAAACCAACAGTAATATCCCGCATCTCACATTCTGGTAACGAGCGAGTGATGGAGGAAATTATATCTGTATTTGTAACTGTTTTTGCTACACACGTATGGGAGTGGACGGAACATAAGGAGCTTTTACACATGGAAAAGAGGAAAAAAACAAAAGAAATTCCGAATCCTTCATGGGCTTTATCTGGAACGTATAGCCATCCTTCCACCACCATCACCAGGCGTTCTTCCGTCCTCTGATGATTCACCCATGGCATAATCTCATCATTACGCTCCACATTCCCTCAGCTCAGCATACACCTCTCCCTCAACATTCCTGCATTGTACCGTATCCTTAGTCTACTCTAAAGACCGATCCTCCTCTCCTCTTCTTTCAAAATATCTTTATAAATCTCGATTTCGCCATCCCCCGCTTTCGTCGCTTCCTTCCTTCATTCAACTCCCAACACCCCGCCACCCAACCTCTTCCATTCTCTCGTTTCCCCAGGCTCGCAGAGTCAACTGGGTGGAACCTTCCGTGCAGCTTCTCGTCTTCTCCTCCTCGTCCCTCTCCCCCTCCTCCTCCTCCCACTCCCTCTTCCTCTCTGCCGCCCAGCAAGCCGATCTCCTATTGGCTGTCGCCGTGAACAGTGCCGAGTCCGCCGCCCAGCTCGTCCCTATCTTTTCAGCCGCCCCTGCCCGGATGGCCTTTGACTGCCACGTGTCGCTCTCTGAGCTCACCTCGCTGGGCGGGCTGAACCCGGAAAAGCTGAACCTGCCCCAAAAGCTCGCAGCAAAATGGGGATGGTGGAAGGAGGGCGCGAAGGCCGTTCAGGTGAGCGCGTCTCTAGTCTTGAAATCCTCATCAAGTTGTATGCATGGTGTGCCAGAGGTAACCGAAATTCCACAATCATTTCCCAACCTGCCCAACCTACAACAATGTTCACTCAGCAACTCACCAGCGCTGTTTGAGGGCCTACACACACCATTCATTATAGTGACACTCAGGATTCGTGGTGCTGCTGGCTCTCTCCAACGCCTATATCGTCCATGTGCCTACAGTGCGCAACCTACCGCTCCCACCCCTCCTGCTCCCTCATCTCCAATCCAAAACCAATCCAACCAACCACCCCCTTCCCCCTGTACCCCGTTCCCCCTCCCACTTCCTTCTTTTCCCCGTATCCTCCCCCCACCAGACGTACACCCTGGTGGAGTCCTGCTGGGAGCGCTGCAGTGCTGATGACATTTGGTTTGTCATCCTCGCTCTCGTCGACGCGTACATTGTCGACGCGTACATTGTCGACGCGTACATTGTCGACATGCCTGCTCTGCGCAACCTGCCACCCCTCCTGCTCTCTCATCCCCTCAACCACCCCCGTCCCCATCCCACCCTTCCCCTCCCCTCCACGTTCCATACCCAAGACGTACACCCTGGTAGAATCCTGCTGGGAGCGTCGCAGTGCAGACGACATTTGGTTTGTCATCCTCGCTCTCGTCAACGCCTACATTGTCGACGTGCCCGCTCTGCGCAACCTGCGGGCGGCAGACTCGTCCTCTCTGCAGTGCATGGTCGGCAACTGCGGGCCCATCATCATCGAGTGTTTCCTGGACGAGCAGTGCCGCACGGCTATCAACTGCCTCAATGAGTGCGGTCCCACGGACCAGGTGCGCAACCTTCCCCCTCCTGTCCCCCGCCCCTTGGGATTTCCGAGTGCTTGCTGCATGAGCAGTGCCGGACTGCTATCAACTGCCTCAATGAATGCGGACCCACGGACCAGGTGAGCACTCTGATGTTGCATTGCATGGAAGGCTGCGAGCGGCAGACTTGTCCGCCATGCAATGCAGTGCATGGTCGGCAACTGTGGACCCGTGATTCTCTCGAGTGTTTCCTGGACGAGCAGTGCCGCACGGCCATCGACTGCCTCAATGAATGCGGTCCCACAGACCAGGTGAGCAACCTTCCCCATCCTGTCCCCCACCCCTTGGGATTCTGGAGTGTTTCCTGGACGAGCAGTGCCGCACAGCCATCAACTGCCTCAAAGAGTGCGGACCCACGGACCAGGTGTGTATGCCAGAAGCACCTTACTTTGTCTGCTCTGCGGTGCATGGTCGGCAACTGCGGGCCCAGCATTCCGGAACGTTGCCTTGCCTGGACGAGCAGTGCCGCACAGCCATCGACTGCCTGAATGAATGCAGGCCCACCCACCCACAGACCAGGTGCGTAGCTATGATTTGTCAGATTTCCTAAGAAATGAATCCAGCATCGTTGCGTCGTGTCCTACGGAACCCCCAACTCTGCGATCTGCAGCAGAAGCACAGCTGCTGCTGCGGTAGAGCCGGATTTTTTCCTCACTTATCTCCTCTCCCTTGCTCGATTCTCCCTGTGCCTGTCCCCACCAGGCATGTAGCTGTCACTGCGTCGTGTCCTATGGAACCCCCAGCTCTGCGGGCTGCTGAAGCACAACTGCCTTGGCATGACAGCCGATACCTTACTCACCTTCCCTTCTCCCGTGCTTTATCCCCCTTCCCAACTCACCTTCCCTTCTCCCGTGCTTGATCCCCCTTGCATCCACCACCACCAGGTGTGCAGTGCAGCTATCGCTGCATTGCCTCCTACAAGACCCCCCAAGTTCGAAGCCTTCTCCCTCTGCGTGCTACTGAATCACAGTCGTCTCGGCATGACAGCCGAAACTTTATGCCGCTTTTTCCCTCACCTTTAGTTAATGTCCCCACCTTTGTCTCCCCCTTCCCGTCCCTGTGGGCATCTCTTTTTTCCCCTCCTTTCACCACCACCAGGTGTGCAGCTATCGCTGCATTGTCTCTTACGAGACCCCCAAGTTTGAAGCCTTCTCCCTCTGCGTCCTGCAGAAGCACAACTGCCTTGGTATGACAGCTGAAATCCGCGACCGCCCCACCGTGCTCCCCCTCACACACCTTCGCGGGCAGCCCGTCACGCACGAGCGGGCAGAAGATATTTTCGTCGGGTGGCTCGGACAGCTGCCCTGGAGCTGGCGGGTCGTGGCCGGGCAGAATGCCGCTTACGACCAGTTCCCGTGCCAGTTTCAGATATTTTACCGAGGCAAGGCGCGAGGCTCGGTGTGGTACGACCCTGTTTTCACGGTACGGTTTCTCATCCTTAGCCGAACCCCGCTTCCAGTCTGTTTCTCATCCTTAGCCGAACCCCGCTTCCAGTCTGTTTCTCATCCTTAGCCAAACCCCGCTTCCAGTCTGTTTCTCATCCTTAGCCAAACCCCGCTTCCAGTCTGTTTCTCATCCTTAGCCAAACCCCGCTTCCAGTCTGTTTCTCATCCTTAGCCGAACCCCGCTTCCAGTCTGTTTCTCCATACCATTCCTCCAACCCCCCATCCATGCCCACCCCCACCCCCACGTTCCTCCTCAGCCCCACCTTTGCACCCATCTCCACTCTATTCTTCCCCTCCTGCCATTGCACCCTTTGGCCATCCCTCTCCACACTCATTCCTCCTCACGCCCACTGCACCTGTTCCCTATCATTCTTCCCACACAAACACACGAACATCCATCCAATGAGAGATATGAGGTGAGAAAAATTTCGAGGCGAGCAGGATATGAGGCGAGATATCCTTACAGATTCGCGCCCTCAGTGGTCAATCCCTATGGTGTGTGGCGTCACAACGGCATGCACTACAAACACATGCACACTTCTCCCATACTCTGCCCTTCCCTTACCTCTCCACTCCTCACCCCACCCACGCAGAGATGCAGCCCTAATGGACGGCCCGGCCACTATGGCGCCTGCGTTACTACCACCACGTGCACCACACACGAGTACCCTTCTCCTGTACTCCCATCACCTCCTTTCCTCCCCTTACTCCTCTCCTCGCCCCTCGTCCATGCAGATCAACACTCTTGATGGACGGTCGCTATGGTGCCATCACCATCACCACATGTACCGCACACGAGTACCCTTCTCCCATACTCCCTCGCCTCCCTTCCTTGCCTCACCCATGCAAATCAACACTCTGGATGGATGGTCGCAATGCGGTACACGAGAGTACCCTTCTCCCATACTCTCCCCTCCCCACACTCCTCTCATCCATGCAGATCCGCATGCTTGATGGACGGTCACTATGGCGCCGCCACCAATCCCTCATGGACCATCAATCCCACATGGACCGCGTGCAGCACACATGAGTACCCTCCATTCCCCTCACATAGTCTCTCCATTCCCCTCCCCACACTCCTCTCCCCATCTCACCCACCCAGATCAACACTCTTGATGGACGGTCGCTATGGCGCCGCCGCCACTACCGCGTGCGACGCGGGAAGGTTCCCGGAACCTTCACCTTCACAGTGCTCGACAACGGGGTGATCTCGGAGGAATCCTGGCGAATCGTGGACGTAACAGACGATTTCCAGTGGGCGCTCTTTTACTACAGTGGCGCCGCACGGGCGGCAGGGCAGTCGTACACCGGGGCTGTGCTTGTGTCCAAGGATGGTGAGTGGCCCGGACCTGAGCATGCGGTTCGGCTCAAGGCTGCACTGGATCGGTGCGGGATCAAGGAGTGGGAGCTGTACCGGGTTGATAACTCGTGCTGTGAGAATGCGCCCTTGGGATTGCCGGATGATGCTCCTGCTCCTGTATCAATAGCATAAAACATGAGTATATGTTGGTTGGGACGCTATCTGCTTCTGAATGTTCCAAATTTTCATATGTTTTTTCCCATGTTTTTTTCAAAATGATTCTTCAGCGCGGTTGCTTGAAGCCGGATGTTAGGGGTGCAATGAATCGAAGTAGCGAGAATTGCACTAAGGTGTCAAACGAGTACAAAATGTGAGCGAACGCATGAGAGAACATTTATATGCGAAACATGCAAACGGTAACGCGGTGCGTGCGAGCTAGCTAGTGCTGCGCTGGAGCGAGGCTCGGGCTAGTCCCGAAGCGTAGGCCGACACGGCCAGGCCAGCAGTGCGAGGTTTGGTGAAACAGTGCACGCGAAGTCGGCGAAGCCCCTTTAACAGTAACGGGCGAACAACGGTTGTTGCTGTACGCGATGTAGTCGGGCTCCGTAAGGAATGCCGAGAAAATTCCTTACACTACCCCCCCCCCCCCCCCCCCCCTCAAGAAGCCCCCTCCGCTACGTGAGTGCGTGTATATCGTGGAATCCCCGGCTCATCAGGTACACTTGCAGGGCGGGGTGGTTTTCGATGTTGGCCAGGGGCACCCAGCTGTCCTCAGTTGGCGTGCGATCCTTCCAGCGAACGAGGAATTCAATCCTCTTGATTCCCGTGGGGTGTCGAATCCGATGGCTGATGATTTTTTCGGGCTCGATGATCGGGTCCGATGCAAGGCGAGTCATGGATGGCGGGCGGTGGCGAGGCAGTTGGCTTGTGGTTGGGATATAGGGGCGAAGCAAGCTTACGTGGAACGAAGGGCTGATGTACCAGTCGGTCGGTAAAAGTAGGTGCGCGGTTACTACCGTGATCATGTGGATGATTTGGAATGGGCCACAATAGCGCGGTCGAAGTTTTGGTACGTCGGGCAGTCGCAGATTTTGCGTGTCGAGCAGTACGTAATCCCCTGACTGGTGTGTGACTGGGCGGCGGTGGCGGTCAGCGTTGCGCTTAGCGATGACGTTTACTTTTTTACTTGCTTCTGCGGCTCTGGTGCGGGCAGCTTGCAGAGTTTCGGCGAATTGCTGTGCACGTGGTGTTGGGTTGTCCGGACTCCGCGTCATGGGCACTGTTGGGTTTCGCCCGTAGTTCAGGTAGAAGGGGGATGCCTGCGTCGTCGCTGGCGTGGCATTATTATACGCGACCTCGATCAGCGGCAGCTGCTGCTCCCATGTCGTGGGATCGTCGCACGTGGCGCGAGTCAACTGCTCCACCGTCTGATTCGTCCGCTCCGTTTGGCCGTCGATCTCCAGGTGGTACGACGAACTGAACTATAGCCTGGTCCCGAACTGCTCCCAAAGATTTTTCCGGAAGTTGCTGGTGAACTTCGTGTCCCTGTCGCTGATAATCACTGCTGGTATCCCGTGCAGGCGAACAACGGCTGCGATGAACAGGCGAGCGGTCTCCTCGGCTGAGATCGTTCCCAAAATCCTGCAACAGTACCGCTCCCACAGCGATGTCACTTGCGTCAGTGACGAGCTCGAACGGACGGTGTGGATCGGCGATGTGAAGAACGGGCGGTGAGCACAAAATGTTTTTGAGGGCCGAGAAGGCAGCTTGCTCTTTCTCCCCCCACGTGTACTCAACCCCCTTTCTTAGCAGGTCGGTCAGCGGGGCAGTCAGCTTCGCCATGTCGGGGACGAACCGGCGCACGTAGTTGACGAACCCCAAAAAACTCTGCAACTCGGTCAAGTTGGTCGGCGCGTGCCATGCTTGAATCGTCGCGATTTTCTTCGGGTCTATTTCCACTTTTGCAACTGAAATAACGTGTCCCAAAAATTCCAGGCGGTCCTGTAAAAACTCACACTTAGACGCTTTTGTTGGTAGGCGGTTCTCACTCAGTATTTTAAAAACTACTTCGATGTCCTGTAAGTGCTGTGCTCTGTCAGGGCTGTAGATCAGTATGTCGTCCAGGTATACGATGAGACCCTTATCTAAGAGCGGGCGGAAAGCTTCGTTCACGGTGTCAGAGGTCCACTGGTGATCCCCGATCGATCCTAGGGAAGGGCCACATGCTCGTTGTCATGGGGGGTTATGGGCGCACTGACTCGCTACTTAACAAGCCCTTTTATCCCAATGATCTAGTGGTTGGGATTCTGAAACATGGTTATTTGAAAAATGGCAGGGGCGTTGGTCAGTCCGAAGGGCATGACGGTGTATTCGAAGGATCCGTAGCGTGTTCGAAATGCGGTCTTATGGCAGTCGGGTGGATTGACGCGAATCTGGTGGTAACCCCCTGGGAGGTCTATTTTCGAGAAAACCCGGGCTGTGCGCAATTGGTCGATCAGTTCATCGTCTCGCGGGATGGGGTAACGGGATTTGATGGTAACACTATTCAGTGCTCTGTAATCTATGCACATGCGAAATCCCCCGTCTTTTTTCGGTGTGAAGAGTATCGGTGCTACGAAGGGCGACGAACAAGGGCGAATGAATTCCTTCTCGAGCAAATAATCGAGCTGCTTCCTCAGTTCGTCCAGTTTGGGCTGGGTCAGTCGGAACTGTCAGTGTACTATTGTCTGTGCCCCCGGTTCTAACTCTATCCTGTGGTCGTGCGGTCGCTGAGGTGGCAATCCCGTCGGTAAATCGTTCGGGTCACTCGATACGTCGGTCAGCACTTTCTGTAAATCCCCTCCTTTGTCTGCTGCCTCGGCTTCCCGAATGTCGACTGCGTACACGTCAGCTCCTACTGCTACGGTGTGTTTCATCGTGATCGCGTTGACACGCACGGACGAAGACTCGGGTGAGCCCCAGCGAGGTAAGGCGATGTTGTTACCGTTGACTCGCATAGTGGAGTCACCCGTCGTCCAGTCGATTCGCGGATTGTGTCGTCGCAACCAATCACGCCCGAGTAAAACATCGGTTCCGTCGAGGGTCGTTGCGAGCATTTCCTGGCTAAACGTGAAGTTACCCCCACATCGAATCCGAACTCGGTCTACGCGTTCGCGTATTGCCAGCAACGTGCCTTCTACCAGTCTTGCGTCGATCTCAGGTAAGCATCTGTCCAGTGGCAGTCGCAGTTTTCGTACTGAGGCAGTGTTGATGAGGTCGTGGCTGGCTCCCCTGTCTACGAAGATTTTTCTTAAGTCCGTCCCGATTTTCTCACTAAGCAGTATGGGGCTGTCTACCGTAGTCCCCTCCTTATTCGGCCGAGTGTGGTCGATTGCGTGAACCGGCACAATCACTCGGTGAGGGTCGGTTGGGTCAGGCGAGCGGCGTGACCTGTCAGTAGAGGGCCCGTCTGCGACTGACTCCCAGCGTTTCCCTGCTGCTTGGTCTGTTTCTGCTGCTCAGCTTCCCCCTTTCCCTTAGTGTTTTCCGGGCATTTGCTCTTGCGATGTCCCGGCCGATTGCACGCAAAGCAGCGCCCTTTAAACGGTGCGGCAGCGGCATTTGCAGCAACGGCACGTATCGTGGCGCCCTCGTTCGATCCAAGAGGCCGATGTCCCCAATGGTTGCTTCCGTAGGACCCCGGTCTCGGTCGGCGGAAGAAGTTAAGTTTCTCCGCCATAGCGAGAATTTCTTGAAAGTCGGTGACGCCGCGAAGCTGGATTTCCTGAGCGATGTCCTGCTTCAGGCCGCCGATGTAGCGGTCGATGCACTCGCTCTCGTGCATATATCCCACGTGCTCGCATAGCGTCAGAAATCCGATTGTATAATCTTGGACGGAACCGAGTTGGCGCCAGGTGCAGAGCTTCTGTCGCGCCGCGATTGGCTCGAAACGAGCGCGCAGACCTGCGCACCACGCGTCCCACGTGCGATACTGGGGCACCTCTACGAAATACGACGGCGCCCAGGGTCCGGTTTGTCCTTCCCTTGTCGGTAGAGTTGCGTAGTCCGCCGGCTTCGTGACGATGACGCGTCACCAGTCCATGGCGGGTCCTCGCAGCAACGACACGGCGTAACGAATCTTCGCCGTATCCTCCGAGACGTAGCTCGCGTCGAAGAAAACGTTCAACGTGAAGAGCCACGCCTGAACGGTAGGACCACCCCGCTGACTTGGGTCAAAGCATGGCGGACGTTGCGGCTTTAGCGGCATCGGCGACGGAAGAGTTGATCCGCCGGCCGGCACTGAAATCGTGACTTGAGGCTGAGTCCTCGCCGCATTCGTCGTGTCGGGGTGTGTCGTGCCGTGGTCGTCGTCTCCGTCATGGCGGGTGACGCCATCACTTGCGGCGCTTGCGGGTTGCTCCACACTTCCGTGCTGTGATGTATGTGGTGCGGGCTGAATCGGAGTGCCAGGTGCTTGGGATTGTGCTCGTGTGAGGTCGTTTTGCAGGGACGAGCGTTCTGCCGTCAGCGTCGCAATTTCGTCGGCGCTCTCGCGGATTTGTCGCAGCAGATAGTTCAATTTGTCGCAGCAGATCGTTCAAGTGCTCCTGCGTGAGAATCGTGACGTCGATATATTCAGCCATTTTGAAGGGCGTCGGCTCGTCTTAGTCTAGGCGTAGTCGTGGCTGCACTCGTTTACGAGAGAACGCGAGGACAGCGGCTCCTAGGTGCTAAGGTACGTGAGTCCCTTCGAGTGAACAATCAAAAGTTGATTTCCTGGGGTGCGGAGCTCCGCGGTCCGAAAGGAAAGAGGCTATGATACCAAGTGTTACGGGTGCAATGAATCGAAGTAGCGAGAATTGCACTAAGGTGTCAAATAAGTACAAAATGTGAACGAAAGCATGAGCGAAGATTTATATGCGAAACATGCAAACGGTAACGCGCTGCGTGCGAGCTAGCTAGTGCTACGCTGGAGTGCGGCTCGGGCTAGTCCCGAAGCGTAGGCCGACACGGCCAGGCCAGGAGTGCAAGGTTTGGTGAAATAGTGCGCGCGAAGTCGGCGAAGCCCCGTTAGCAGTAACGGGCGAACACCGGCTGTTGCTGTACGCGATGTAGTCGGGCTCCGTAAGGAATGCCGAGAAAATTCCTTACACTGGAGAACATGTTCCTTGCTGGGCATAGGTTGTGCTTGTTGGGCTGAGGTGCCCTTAGGATCTTTGTAGAGTTAAGGTCTTGTGTAGATGTTGTAATAGCGGAAGCGTTGAATAAAGCTCTTGAACCACCTTGCGCTAGTATGTGAGGGCAAAGTAAGTTGATTAAAACAGGCAAATACAAGGCTTTATATAAGAGTACAAGGAATACGAATAGATATAATAAAACTACATTGCTGTTGCGATTCGATAGAGTGCGACTCAGGCAACTGCTCAATGTCGAGTCAGTTGTGTGTCCTTGCTGTCGCGCTGTATTGGTCAGGTCAAAGGTCGCTGACCTTTGACCTTCGCGTAACCTCCAGGCGGTTACTCTAACCTCCGAGGGTTGACTCGCGATGCTTCGATTTGGACTGCTTCGCTTTGTGTCCTGAGTTTCGACACGATAGAGGCGCTTAAGACTTATTGTTCCCAACACTCCCCTTCGCTTCTGGAGTGTCGCTGATGGTGACGTGGCCTTGTCCAGTCAGCAGCATGCAGTACTCGAACTTCTGTTTTCCGAGCTTCTTGGTCAAGTAGTCGGTGTCATAATATTATCTTATTGTTCTAGCCTGTAGTGGGGTGCTCTATAGCGAGTACAACCCTTCTTGTCAGAACTATATAGCTTATACTATTGTGTAGGCTATAGTGGGGTATCCCATAGGGGGTACAACCCAATTAGGGTTTCCTATTTGTACTCACTTCTTTCATAGTCATTCCATCCTCGTTCTCTCTTTCACATGGAATCAGAGCAGGTCCCCTACTAGGGACTGTTTCTTGGGCCCACCGAAGCGCGCCCCGAGGCGCGCGTCCTTTTTTTTTTTAGCGACCCGTCGTGTCGCCCTCCCTAGCGGCCTGTCGAGCCGCCCTACCTTGCGGCCCCGCCGCCCTATCGCGCGGCCTCGCCGCCCTAAGTCGCGGCCTGCCCGCCGCCCTACTTCGACGGCCCCGCCGCCCTACGTCGTGGCCCGCCGCCCTACTTCGACGGCCCGCCCGCCGCCCTACGTCGCGGCCCCGCCGCCCTGCGTCCCGGCCCGCCCGCCGCCCTACTTCGACGGCCCGCCCGCCGCCCTACGTCGCGGCCCCGCCGCCCTACGTCCCGGCCCGCCCGCCGCCCTACTTCGAAGGCCCGCCCGCCGCCCTACGTCGCGGCCCCGCCGCCCTCAGCTACGCGGCCCCGCCGCCTTCTGCTACGCGGCCCTGCCGCCCTCTGCTACGCGGCCCCGCCGCCCCTCGATCGCGGCCCCGCCGCCCTCTGCTACGCGGCTCCGCCGCCCTCTGCTACGCGGCCCCGCCGCCCTCTGCTACGCGGCCCCGCCGCCCTCTCCTACGCGGCACCGCCGCCCTCTGCTCCGCGGCCCCGCCGAGCCGCCCAGCATCAGCCGAGCCGCCCAGCAGCAGCCGAGCCGCCGCCGAGCCGCCGCCGCCTGAGCCGCCGCCCGGGCCGCCGCCGAGCCGCCGCCGCCTGCGCCGCCGAGCCGGAGCCGCCCGAGCCGCCGCCGAGCCGCCCAGCAGCAGCCGAGCCGCCGCCGAGCCGCCGCCGCCCGAGCCGCCGCTGAGCTGCGACCGAGCCGCCGCCCGAGCCGCCCGAGCCGCCCGAGCCGCCCGAGCCGCCGTGCTGCTGTTCCTGAGCTGTGTTCTTCTGTTGCTGACCTACCCGACTCTCCCAGCCCGGTGAGACTTCCAGCTGCTGCCATGGCCACCCCCAATGTTCTTACTTTTGACGCTGAGGGGAGGGCCATTGACTTTGCCGTCTGGATTGAAGACCTGCAGCTGTACTTACTGTGTGATGCGATAGATGAGGTCTCTCTTTTTGACTTTGTCTCTGGCGCTGTTCCTGCCCCACCTGCTGATGCTGACTCTGCCGTTCGCTCCAAGTGGGCGACCCGCGATGCTGCTGCACGTCTTGCTGTGCGTCGCCACCTCCCTTCCTCTGAGCGTGCCCACTTTAGTCAGTGCAAGACCGCTCAGGCCTTGTACGACGCTGTAGTTGCACGCTACTCCTCCCCTTCCTCCGCTACCCTTAGCCGCCTCATGCTACCGTTTCTCTTCCCTGACCTCGCTTCCTTTCCCACTGTCGCTGACCTCGTTACCCACCTCCGTGCTAGTGACACCCGCTACCGCGCTGCCCTTCCTGCTGAGTTCCGCGCTGCGAACCCTCCTCCCATGTACATCACCCTCTACTTTCTCGTCACCCGTCTCCCTGAGTCCCTTCGTGTCGTTAGGGACCAGTTTCTCTCTGTCTGTCCCACCACTCTCACTGTCGACCTCCTTGAGGAGTCCCTGCTAGCGGCTGAGAAGAGTATTGTCGCTGTAGGGGCCTCTCGGGGTGACCCTCGCACCCCCATCTTTGAGGGGTGTGGTCCTTCCCCCCTGCTGCCCTCTGTCGCCTCTGCCGCTGCGGCCGACCTCACTGGTTTTGAGTCGGTCGGCGCGGCGTCTGCCCCCAGCGGCAGACGCCGCTCTGGCAAGAGCAAGGGGGGCAAGGGAGCGGGTGGAGCTCGAGGGGGCGGTGGAGGAGGTGGTGGGGGTGGCGGGGGGAGTGGGGGTGGCGGTGGGGGTGGTGGCGGGAGTGGAGGTACTGGTGGCGGCGGTGGAGGCGGAGGTGGCGGCGGAGGTGGTAGCGGAGGAGGCGGTGGGAGCGGTGGGAGCGACGGTCCTGGTGGGGGAGGTGGCGGTGGAGACGGGGGTGGCGGTGGAGGCGGGGGTGGCGGTGGAGGCGGGGGTCGGAGTAGCTCTTCCCAGCGGAGCAGCTCTGGGGGTGGTCAGCGCCAGCAGCAGCAGCAGCAACAGCAGCAGCCGCAGCAGCAGCCACAGCAGCAGCAGCGCTCTCGCACCGTCCCCGGCCCTCAGCAGCTCCGTGAGTGGTACTTGCAGCGTCAGCGTGGTGGTGCGCTTGGTCCCTGCCCCTACGTTCTTCGCACAGGTGACCGTGCAGGGGAGAGGTGTGGAGGCGCCCACACAGCCCGCCGCTGCTTTGGCCGCCTGACCGACGCCTGGCGTCAGCAGTTTCCGGAGGCCGCTGAGATCCCCCGCTGGGGAGAGCTGTCTAGGGCTGGTGTAGCTATTTATGATCTTGATTTTGATGCTATTCTCTCTGCTATGTATGCTGTGACTGGTAGTGATGAGGATGACTGTTACCGGTGTTTCCCGCCCGACCCGGGCATTGGTACTGCCGCGTCAGGTACTAGTGAGGCTGCTGCTCTAGGTGCCAGTGCGTCTGTGCTCTCAGGTGCTGGTGAGTCTGCCCTCTCAGGTACTGTGTCGGCTTCGGCCTCTCACACCTTCACCCTTGACTCTGGAGCGTCTCGCTCCTTCTTTAGGGACCGCACCACTCTCACGCCGCTGAGTCGGCCGGTTGCGGTGTCCCTGGCTGACCCCTCTGGGGGGCCTGTCCTGTCTCGCTTCTCCACTGTCCTCCCGTGTCCGGCGGCCCCCTCTGGCACCCTGACTGGTCTCTACCTCCCCTCGTTCTCGACGAACTTGGTGAGTGGTGCTGACCTCCAGGATGCGGGTGTCCACCAGTTCACCCCTGCTCGTCAGCGGGTGACCCACTGCACGGAGGCCGATACAGGTCGCCACCTGGCTACGTTTACACGTCGGCCAGGGTCGAGCCTGTACACACTGACCACTGCTTCTCCTCCAGGTGCTGAGTCTGGTAGGGTCCCTTCGTCTGGTCAGGTGTTTGCTGCAGCGTCCAGGTCTGGTCCTGAGTCTGCCCCCTGCTCGTGTCGTCGTCTGTCTCACGAGACCCTCCTCTGGCACCACCGCCTTGGCCACCCCTCTCTGCTTCGGCTCAGAGGCATGGCCTCGCGAGTCCTTGTGTCTGGTCTTCCCCGGTCTCTCCCTCCCCTTCCTCCGGGCCCTGGCCCTACCTGTGTCCCCTGTGTCGAGGGGCGCCAGCGGGCTGCACCTCACTCCTCCCAGTTTCCTCCGACAGAGGCCCCGTTGCAGACGCTTCACATGGACGTGTGGGGCCCAGCCCGCGTCCGTGGACAGGGTCAGGAGCGCTACTTCCTGCTGGTGGTTGACGACTACTCGCGTTACACCACAGTCTTCCCCTTGCGCAGCAAGGGTGAGGTCACTGCGGTGTTGATCGACTGGATCCGCGCAGCTCGTCTCCAGCTTAGGAGGAGCTTTGGCTCTGACTTCCCTGTTTTGCGTCTGCACTCGGACAGAGGCGGAGAGTTCTCCTCTGGCCTCCTGAGTGCCTACTGTCGTGCACGAGGCATCCGTCAGACCTTCACGCTTCCGGACTCACCACAGCAGAATGGGATTGCTGAGCGCCGCATTGGCATGGTCATGGACGTCGCTCGTACGTCCATGATGCATGCGGCTGCTCCCCATTTTCTGTGGCCGTTTGCGGTCAGGTACGCTGCGCACCAGATCAACCTCCACCCCAGGGTCTCTCGACCGGAGACCTCCCCAGCCCTGCTGTGGACGGGGAAGGTTGGCGATGCGTCGGCGTTCCGGGTCTGGGGATCTCGGGCGTTTGTTCGCGACGTGTCTGCGGACAAGCTGTCCCCTCGTGCTTCTCCCTGCGTCTTCCTGGGGTTCCCCCCCGACGCCCTAGGGTGGCAGTTTTACCACCCCACCTCTCGACGTGTTCTGTCCTCCCAGGACGTCACGTTCGACGAGTCGGTACCCTACTACCGCCTCTTCCCCTACCGCACTCCGTCCCTCCCCCCACCCCCGCTCTTCCTGGTACCAGGTCCCCCCTCGGTAGTCCCCCTCCCCCCTCAGGGTCCTGCCCCTTCGGGTGTGTCCCAGGTAGACGCGGTCGAGCCTGTCGAGGTCACTGGTGACTCTGGTGCTGCTGCGGGAGCTGAGCCTGGGGGTGCGGAGCCTGGGGGTGCTGAGCCTGGGGGTGCTGAGCCTGGGGGTTCTGTGCCTAGGGGTGCTGAGCCTGGGGGTGCTGCGTCTGGGGGTGCTGAGCCTGGAGGTGCAGAGCCTGGGGGTGCTGTGCCTGGGGGTGCTGAGCCTGGGGGTGCTGTGCCTGGGGGTGCTTCCTCTCGCCGGGAGCCACTCTCCCCGCAGGAGCTGCGTGAGTGGTTTGCCAGGCGCTGGAGGTGTGCTGCTGGTGCTGGTGGTTCTTCGGCTGCTGAGGGTACTGCTGCCTCGCGTCCCGCCGGTGCTCGTACTGTGGGTGCTGGAGCTGCTGGGTCTGAGAGTTCTCCTGGAGCTGGTGCTACTGAGGGTGTTGGCGCTGAGCCTGCCGTTGGCGGTCCGACTGACAGTGCTCCTGGTGCTGCTGCTGGAGGTTCTGGAGCTTCTGGTGGTGCTGCTGGAGGTGCTGCTGGAGTGGGTACTCCTGCCGGGGCTGCTGGTACTGTTCCTGCTGTTTCTGGTGTCGCCGCGCGGCCCCGACCTTACTTCGTTCCGCTCCTGCAGCAGGTTCTTGGTCTTCCGCCTCCTCCTCCTCCTCCCTTAGAGGGTCCGCAGCCTGTCCGGTCACAGCCACAGCTACAGCCTGCCTCCCCTTTGCCTGCTCCGTCTCCCTACACTGGTCCGACTGGAGGTCTTACTGAGCGTCGTGAGCCTGCGTCTCGTCCTGTGTCGCCTGTTCGTACTGAGCGCGCTAGTGGTCGCGGGTCGCGTCAGCGTCCTCCTCCTGTCCCTGGCACGCACCGGATGTCACTGCGTCCGTCCACTGCTCCTCTGCGTGCCCCTTTGCCTTCTCCTCCTGCTTCCTCTCTTCCTGCTCTTGCCGACCCGGAGTCGGACTCCCTTCGTGCTGCCAGTCCTACTGTCACGCGTCTCCTTGCTACAGCTGTCACTGACCCTTCCTTCGAGTCATCTGCTGCGTCTGCCCTTGTCACTGAGCTTGTCGACTTTGCTGCGCGCTGTCGTCTAGACTACGCTGCCCGTCTTGTCACTGAGTCTGAGTCCGCCTGTCCTCCGTCCGTCGGGGGTGAGTGTGCCCTTGGCACGGACGTCCTTGAGGACAGGCAGGAGGAGTTCCAGTGTCTGGCCGCCGCTTCACCTCGTCTCGCGTCTGTACTGCTAGCCCCTGAGGGAGACCCGGATGCACCAGACATCCCGACTCCGCGCTCTTACGCGGAGGCGATAGAGGGTCCCTACTCCTCTCAGTGGCAGGCAGCTATGGATGCAGAGATGGCTTCCTGGAAGTCCACAGGCACCTACGTTGACGCTGTTCCCCCCCCTGGGGCGAACATCGTCAGTGGCATGTGGATTTTCAGGGTGAAGCGGCCGCCGGGTTCTCCGCCTGTCTTCAAGGCGCGTTACGTGGCTCGTGGCTTCAGTCAGCGGCAGGGGGTTGACTACTTTCAGACCTTCTCCCCCACCCCGAAGATGACCACTCTTCGGGTCCTGCTGCACGTTGCTGCTCACCGTGACTACGAGCTGCACTCTCTCGACTTCAGCACAGCTTTCTTGCAGGGCAGCCTGCACGAGGAGATCTGGCTGCGTCGCCCACCTGGCTTCACTGGGTCTTTCCCTCCTGGTACCCAGTGGAGTCTCCGGCGTCCAGTCTACGGTCTCCGCCAGGCGCCACGTGAGTGGCACGACACACTGAGGACTACGCTCGCGGCACTTGGGTTTGCTCCTTCTACTGCCGACCCGTCGCTGTTTCTGCGCACCGACACCTCTCTGCCGCCGTTCTACATCCTCGTGTACGTCGACGACTTGGTCTTTGCCACAGCTGACACTGCTGGACTCGCCTACGTGAAGTCCGAGCTGCAGAAGAGACACACGTGCACTGACCTGGGTGAACTGCGCAGCTATCTTGGCTTGCAGATCACCCGGGACAGAGCACGCCGCACCATTACCCTGACTCAGTCACACATGGTGCAGCAGGTCCTTCAGCGCTTCGGCTTCACTTACTCCTCGCCTCAGGCCACTCCTCTGCCTACTCGCCACTCGCTCTCAGCTCTGCCTTCGGATGAGTCCGTAGAGTCGAGTGGCCCGTATGCAGAGCTTGTTGGCTGCCTCATGTACCTGATGACCTGCACACGACCTGACCTTGCATACCCTCTTAGCATTCTCGCACGCTATGTTGCTCCTGGGAGACACCGACCAGAGCACATGGCTGCAGCGAAGAGGGTGTTGCGCTACTTGTGCAGTACGTCGGGCATGGGGCTAGTGCTTGGAGGGCGCAGTCCAGTGGTCCTCACTGGGCACGCGGACGCTTCTTGGGCTGACGACCAGGCTACGCAGCGGTCGTCACAGGGTTACACCTTCAGCCTTGGTTCCGGCTCTGTTTCGTGGCGGGCTACCCGCTCGTCTTCTGTTCTCGGCTCCAGTTGTGAGGCTGAGATCTACGCCGGGGCTATGGCTGCACAGGAGTTACGCTGGCTCACCTACCTGTTGACCGACCTTGGAGAGCAGCCTCGTTCTCCTCCAGTCCTGTACGTAGACAACAAGGCCATGCTGGCCTTGTGTCGAGAGCAGAGACTGGAGCACAGAACGAAGCACATTGCTCTCCGCTACTTTCTTGCTCGTGAGCTACAGCAGCGTGGACAGTTGCGACTTGCGTACGTGGCCTCTGAGGCCAACACTGCTGATGTCTTCACCAAGGCACTTGCGCCTTGTGATCATCAGCGTTGTTGCACGCAGTTGGGTCTTGTGCCTGTCTTGCCTCACTTGCTCTCCTCTTGACCTTGCTTGTACCTTCGCCTATATATACTCTTGCTCTTGCTTACTTGACTCTTGTATATCTCTATATATGATCTTGCATGTGAACTGGCCATGTGGCCTTGAACTTGTGCTCAGAATGTGTGGTGACTTTGTGATCCACCCTGAGCTTTGCTTTGCTTTGCTTGACTGGTCTTGTGACCCCTTGTTCTCCCCCACTTTGCCTATGGGGGTGTGTCAGAACTATATAGCTTATACTATTGTGTAGGCTATAGTGGGGTATCCCATAGGGGGTACAACCCAATTAGGGTTTCCTATTTGTACTCACTTCTTTCATAGTCATTCCATCCTCGTTCTCTCTTTCACACTTCTAGGGTTTGCTATTTGTATCCTCATTCTTGCTAGTTCAATCCTCTTTCTTTCTTCTAACTTTTGACATGCTATCAGAGCAGGTCGATCCTCTTGGATCGATCCTGTGGGTGTGTCCCCACCTTGCTTCCGCTGCTACTTTTTCCTCCCGCCGTGCGCCCCGAGGCGCGCGGCGGTTTTCTGCCCGCCGTGCGCCCCGAGGCGCGCGGCGGTTTTCTGCCCGCCGTGCGCCCCGAGGCGCGCGGCGGTTCATTGCCCGCTGTGCGCCCCGTGGCGCGCGGCGAGCTTCTCCTCTACGTCGCGGCCCCGCCCCGGCCCGTCGCCGCCCGTGCGCCCGCTCGACGCGGCCCCGCTCTAAGTCGCGGCCCCGCCCCGGCCCGTCGCCGCCCGTGCGCCTGCCCGGCTCGGCCCCGCCCTTCGTCGCGGACCCGCCCCGACCCGTCGCCGCCCGTGCGCCTGCCCGGCTCGGCCCCGCCCTACCTGCTCGGCCCCGCCCTTCGTCACGCCACCGCCCCTCGAAGCGGCCCTGCCCCGACCGTCGCGGCCCCGCCCTACGTCGCGGCCCCGCCCTGTGTCGCGGCCCCGCCCCTCGAAGCGGCCCTGCCCCAACCGTCGCGGCCCTGCCCTACGTCGCGGCCCCGCCCTGTGTCGCGGCCCCGCCCCTCGAAGCGGCCCCGCCCTACTTGGCGGCCCCGCCCCTCGTCGCGGCCCCGCCCTCCAACCAGGCCCGTGGTGGGTCCCTTTCACCACCCCGCCTCCCCCCCCCCACCCCCCCCCCCCCCCCCCCTCCCCCCCATTTCCCGTCGCCCGTCGCGGCTCCTTCGGGGGCCGCAAGCGGCCCCCTCAGGTCGCCACGACAGACGACCTGAGGGGCGAGCTGTGGGGTGGCGGGTATGGGGGTGGTCGGTGTGCCTTCCTCCCTTTCTCCTCCTCCTCCTTCGTCTCCCACTGCTGCAGCTGTCGCTGAGGGGGGTGGTTGTGTGGGAGACTGGGTTTAGGGTTTAAGGGGGGTGCGTGGGAGTAGAGCTAGTGGTGTAGCAGTGGCTGTGTATCAGGGGGGTGGGACTGTGTGCGGGAGGATGAGCGGAGGTTGCCAGTTTGTCGTCAGCAGCACCTGTAGTCCGGGGCGCTGTCCCGGTAGCCCAGTCGTAGCCAGCTGTGCCAGCCGCCCGTGGGTCCGTTGCCCGTCCGCCGCTATTTGAGCCGCGGGTCCTGTTACTCCTGTAGTCCGGGCGCTGTCCGGTAGCCGCTGTGCCAGTCTGCCTCCTGTTGCCCGTGTGTCTGCAGCTTCAGCCGTCGCCTCCTGTCTCCTCTCCCCTCACTCTCCCTCCTCCTCCTCACTTGCCCGTTGTGACTACCACTAGCTTTGCTTATAATTGTGAACTCTAAACTATTTCTTCTTGACCTTGTGCTCAGAATGCGTGGTGACATTGTGATCCACCCTGAGCTTGTACTGTTTTGCCTGCTCTGCTGATTACACCCCACTTTGGCTATGGGGGTGTGTCAGAATATTATCTTATTGTTCTAGCCTGTAGTGGGGTGCTCTATAGCGAGTACAACCCTTCTAGGGTTTGCTATTTGTATCCTCATTCTTGCTAGTTCAATCCTCTTTCTTCCTTCTAATTTTGACAGTCGGCTGCCATCTCGGACATAGGACAGTAGGATAGATCAAGTTTCCCTTTCTCGATTTCGTCTTTCACGAAGAAGTATCGCAGGGCGATATGCTTCGTCCTGTTCGCGAATCCGCTTTTGTTGGCGATGCGAATTGCAGATTGGTTGTCGCAGAGCAAGGTGAAGTTGGGTAACTCGGCTAACTTTGCTTCTTCCAGCAGCTCGCGAAGATAGAGTCCTTCCTTGGTGGCTGAGCAGAGAGCGATATATTCTGCTTGAGCTGAGGAGAGCGCAATTAGTTCCTGCTTGCTCAACTGCCAGGAGATAGGTCCGATAGGCTCAAGACGATAGACGTAGCCAGTGCGAGAGCGCCTGTTATCTGAATCGCCGGCATGGTCGGCATCGACATAGCCGATTAGTTTCGTTGACGTAGCTTCGCTCTTGTAGTAAGTCAGGCCGATCGTCGGCGTGCTTACAAAATAGTGCAGTGCGCGATCGAGCTCTGCCAGGTGCTCTGCTTCGGGTTTCTTGAGGTAGGTAGCGAGTTGGCTTGCGGAGTAGGATAGATCCGGGCGACAGGTGACGACTGCGAAGAGGAGGCAGCCCAGTTTTCTCTGGTAGTCTCGTATTCCGGCAGCTTTGAGTGGAGCAGAATTTCCTTTGTCACTTCCTGCTGTGTAGCGGTATGGCGTGGCGATAGCGGTAGGTGTGAGCGAAAAACGCTTGGCGATCGTTGTCAGATTTATATGACATAGTTGCTGTAGGCTATAGTGGGGTAGCACATATGGGGTACAGGGTTTCTAGGGTTGTATTTGTACCCAATCTTTCCTTCGTCATTTCATTCCTGTTTTCTTATTCTCACATGGTATAGAGCGGGTCCTTCCTAAGGACCGTTTTTTTAGGGCCCACCGAAACGCGCCCCGAGGCGCGCATTTTTTTTCGCGACCCTTCGGGTCGCCTTTACTCTCGCGGCCCCGCTGTCCCTCTGACGCGGCCCCGCCACCCCTGCTTGACGCGGCCCCGCCGCCTCCTCTGCAGCGGCTCCGCCGCCTCCTCTGACGCGGCCCCGCCGCCCGCTGATCGCGGCCCCGCCGCCCGCTCTGACGCGGCCCCGCCGCCGGCTCTGACGCGGCCCCGCCGCCCGCTGATCGCGGCCCGCCGCTGGCCCTGACGCGGCCCCGCTGCCGGCTCTTAACCGGCCTCGCCGCCGGCTCCAACGCGGCCCCACCGCCCGCCTCGACGAGGCCCCGCCGCCGGCTCTGACGCGGCCCCGCCGCCGCCTCCTGATCGCGGCCCCGCCTCGGCTCTCTAGCGGCCTCGCCGCCGGCCCTGACGCGGCCCCGCCCCGGCTCTCACGCGGCCCCGCCGCCGGCTCTCTTGCGGCCCCGACGCCGGCTCTCTTGCGGCCCCGCCCCGGCTCTCTCTTACGGCCCCGCCGTTGGCCCTGACGCGGCCCCTGCCTCGGCTCTCCGACGACCCCGCCGCCGGCTCTCTTGCGGCCCTGCCGCCAGCTCTGAAGCGGCCCCGCCTCTGCTCTCACGCGGCCCTGCCGCCGGCTCTGACGCGGCCCCGCCCCGCTTCTTTCACGCGGCCTTGCCGCCTCACCTGCAGCAGCCGAGCCGCCCTGTCGCCGAGCCCCCCCCCCCCCCGGGAGCCGAGCCGCCCTGCCCCCGAGCCGCCCTGCCGCCAAGCCGCCCGGGAGCCGAGCCGCCCTGCACCCGAGCCGCCCTGCCGCCGAGCCGCCGGGGAGCCGAGCCGCCCTGCACCCGAGCCGCCCAGCCGCCGAGCCGCCCGGGAGCCGAGCCGCCCTGCACCCGAGCCGCCCAACCGCCGAGCAGCTCGGGAGCCGAGCCGCTGTGCACCCGAGCCGCCCAACCGCCGAGCCGCCTTTCTGCATAGCTGCACGACCTGCCCTGCCTGGTGAGCACAGTCCCACTGTCACTGCGAGCTCTTTCCCTACTGCTTGCACTGCGTCGCTGTCGTCGCCATGGCTACCCCTAGTGTCCTCGCGTTTGACGCTGAGGGTCGCGCCATTGATTTTGAGGTCTGGTTAGACGACCTGCAGCTGTTCTTACAGTGCGACAGGGCTGACAGTCTTTCTCTCTTTGACCTCACCTCTGGCGCCTCTCCTGCTCCTGCTGCTGATGCTGATCCCACTGTCCGCTCTCAGTGGGCCACCCGCGATGCTGCTGCACGTCTTGCTGTGCGTCGCCACCTCCCTACCTCTAAGCGTGCGCACTTTAGCCAGTACAAGAGTGCTCAGACCTTGTACGACGCTGTAGTTGCGCGCTACTCCTCCCCTGCCACTGCTGCACTGAGCCGTCTCATGCTTCCCTACCTCTTTCCTGACCTCTCTGCCTTTCCCACTGTTGCTGACCTCATTACGCACCTCCGCACTAGTGACACTCGCTACCGCGCCGCCCTTCCTGCTGAGTTCTGTGCTAAGAACCCACCCCCCATGTACATCGCTCTCTACTACGTAGTCGCGCGCCTCCCTGACTCCCTTCGCGTCGTCAGGGACCACTTTCTCGCAGTTTGTCCCACCACCCTCACCGTCGACCTCCTCGAGAAGGCCCTACTCGCAGCGGAGAAGAGCATAGTCGCTGTAGGTGCTTCTCGTGGTGACCCTCGCACCTCCATCTTTAAGGGGTGCTCTCCTTCCCCCTTGCTGCCCTCTGTTGCCTCTGCTGCTGCTGCCGACCTGCTTGGTCTTGAGTCGGTCGGCGCGGCGTCTGCCCCTAGTGGGAGATGTCGCTCCAGCAAGGGCAAGGGGGGCAAGGGCGCGGGTGGAGCTGGAGGGGGCGGTGGCGGTGGCGGCGGTGGCGGCGGAGGGAGTGGGGGTGGCGGCGGGACTAGTGGCGGGGGTGGTGGTGGTGGTGGCAGCAGCAGCGGAGACGGTGGTGGTGGTGCCAGCGGTGGTGGTGGAGGCAGCGGCGGAGGTGGAGGCGGCGGAGGTGGAGGCGGTGGAGGCGGCAGCGGAGGAGGCAGTGGTGGTGGAGGAGGTGGAGCTGGTTGGGGTGGTACCCAGCAGCGTAGCGGCGGTGGTGGTGGCCAGCGCTCGCAGCGGCAGCAGCAGCAGCGCTCGCGGGACATCCCTCCGCCTCAGCAGCTTCGTGAGTGGTACGCTGGGCGTCAGAGGGGTGGGGGTACTGGTCCCTGCACCTACGTTCTTCGTTCCGGCGACCGCGCGGGTGAGCAGTGTGGGGGTGCCCACGCCACCCAGCGCTGCTTTGGCCGCCTGACGGACGCTTGGCGTCAGCAGTTCCCTGGGGCTAGTGAGATCCCTCGCTGGGATGAGCTTCTTAGGGCTGGTGTAGCGATCTTTGATCCTGATTTTGATGCTATCCTTGCTGCTATGTATGCTGTGACTTATAGTGAGGAGAATGAGTGTTTCCAGCCCGCCCCGGGCATTGGTACTGCTGCGCTAGGTGCTTGTGAGGCTGCTGCTCTAGGTGCCAGTGCGTCTGCGCTCTCAGGTACTGGTGAGACTGCGCTCTCAGGTACTGCGTCGTCCTCGTCCTCCCTCACTTTCACACTTGACTCCGGGGCTTCTCGCTCCTTCTTTCGAGACCGCACTACCCTTACGCCGCTCGGCCGGCCGGTTGCAGTCTCCCTTGCTGACCCCTCTGGGGGTCCTGTCCTGTCTCACTTCTCCACTGTCCTCCCGTGTCCGGCTGCCCCTTCGGGCACCCTGTCTGGTCTGTACCTTCCCTCGTTCTCTACGAACTTGGTGAGTGGCGCGGACCTGCAGGATGTGGGTGTTCACCAGTTCACTCCTGCGAGTCAGCGGGTGACCCACTGCACGGAGGCACGCACAGGCCGACACCTGGCCACGTTCTCGCGTCGGCCGGGGTCGAGTCTCTACACCCTGACCGTTAAGTCTCCTCCTGTCCCTGCGTCTGGTCAGGTGGCTGCGTCAGGTCAGGTGCTTGCTGCTGCGTCCCGGTCAGGTCCTGAGTCTGCCCCCTGTTCTTGTCGCCTCCTGTCTCACGAGACTCTCCTGTGGCATCACCGTCTTCGCCACCCCTCCTTGCCCCGTCTTCGGAGCATGGCTTCCCGTGTCCTTGTCTCTGGTCTTCCCCAGTCTCTCCCTCCTCTCCCCTCCGGGCCAGGACCTTCCTGTGTCCCCTGTGTCGAGGGTCGCCTCCAGGCTACTCCTCACTCCTCCCACTTCCCCCTGACAGAGGCTCCCCTGCAGACGCTTCACATGGATGTGTGGGGCCCAGCCCCCGTCCGTGGGCAGGGTCACGAGCGCTACTTCCTGTTGGTGGTTGACGACTACTCGCGTTACACCACAGTCCTCCCCCTGCGCAGCAAGGGTGCGGTCACTGAGGTGCTGATCGACAGGATCCGCGAGGCTCGTCTCCAGCTCAGGAAGAACTTCGGCTCGGCCTTTCCTGTTCTGCGTCTGCACTCGGACAGAGGCGGAGAGTTCTCTTCTCGCCTTCTGCGAGACTACTGTCGTGCATGGGGGATCCGCCAGACCTTCACGCTTCCGGACTCACCACAGCAAAATGGGATTGCTGAGCGCCGCATTGGCATGGTCATGGATGTCGCTCGTACGTCCATGATGCATGCGGCTGCCCCCCATTTTCTGTGGCCGTTTGCGGTGAGGTACGCGGCGCATCAGCTCAACCTTCACCCCCGGGTCTCTCGGCCTGCGATGTCCCCAGCCTTGCTGTGGACGGGGAAGGTTGGCGATGCGTCTGTGTTCCGTGTCTGGGGATCTCGGGCGTTTGTCCGCGACTTGTCTGCGGACAAGCTGTCCCCTCGTGCTGCTCCCTGTGTCTTCCTTGGCTTCCCCACTGACGCCCCAGGGTGGCGGTTCTACCACCCCTCCTCTCGTCGTGTTCTGTCCTCCCAGGACGTCACGTTCGACGAGTCAGTCCCCTTCTACCGTCTCTTCCCCTACCGCACTCCTTCCCTCCCCCCTCCCCCGGACTTCCTTGTGCCGGTTCCCCCCCCGGTAGACCCCCTCCCCCCTCAGGTTCCTGCCCCCTCAGGTGTGTCCCAGGTAGACGCCGTTGACCCGGTCGAGGTTACTGGTGACTCTGGTGCTGCTGCGGGTGCTGAGCCTGGGGGTGCTGACTCTGGGGGTGCTGTGCGCGGGGGTGCTAAGCCTGGGGGTGCTACTGCTGGGGGTGCTGGGCCTGAGGGTGCTACTGCGGAGGGTGCGGAGCCTGGGGGTGCTAAGCCGGGGGGTGCTGTGCATGGAGGTGCTGGGTCTGGGGGTGCTAGGTCGGGAGGTGCTGAGCTGGGGGCTGCTGAGCCTGGGGGTGCTGCGTCTGGAGCTGCTGAGCCTGGGGTTTCTCCTGCTGCTGTGTCTCGCCGGGAGCCCCTCTCTCCACATGAGCTGCGCGAGTGGTTCGCTCGCCGCTGGAGGCGTGCTGCTGAGTCTGGAGGTGCTGCTGGAGCTGGAGCTTCTTCGACCGTCGAGGGTGCGGGTGCTGCCGGTCCCGGAGCTGCTGGACCTGCGGGTCCTCCTGGAGCTGGAGCTGCTGAGGGCGTTGGTGCTGAGCCTACTGCTGTTGGTCCTGCCGCTGGAAGTGTGGGTGGCGCTGGTGCTGTCGGTGAGGGTGCTGGTGCTGTCCCTGCTGAGTCTGGAGCTGCCGCGCGGCCTCGGCCGTACTTCGTCCCGCTCCTGCAGCAGGTTCTTGGTCTTTCTCCTCCAGTAGAGGGTCCACCGCCTGTCCAGTCGCAGTCCCTGCTGGAGCCTTCCTCTCCACTGCCTGCTCCCTCTCCTTACACTGGTCCTACTGGAGGTCTTGCTGAGCGTCGTGAGCCTGCGTCTCGTCCCGCGTCGCCTGTTCGTACTGCTCGCGCTAGTGGTCGCAGTTCGCGTCAGCGTCCTCCTCCTGTCCCTAGCACGCACCGGATGTCTTTGCGTCCGTCCACTGCTCCTCTGCGTGCCCCTTTGCCTTCTCCTCCTGAGTCCTCTCTTCCTGCGCTTGCCGACCCTGAGTCGGGCTCTCTTCGTGCTGCCAGTCCTACTGTCACGCGTCTGCTTGCTACTGTCGTCACTGACCCCTCTTTTGAGTCCACTGCTGCGTCTGCTCTAGTCGCTTAGCTCGTCGACTTTGCTGCTCGCTGTCGTCTCGACTACGCTGCTAGTCTTGTTGCTGAGTCTGCGTCTATCTATCCTCCGTCCGTCGGGGGTGAGTGTGCTCTTGGCACGGACGTCCTAGAGGACAGGCAGGAGGAGTTACAGTGTCTAGCGGCTGCTTCACCTCATCTCGCGTCTGTACTGCTTGCCCCTGAGGGAGACCCGGATGCACTAGACATCCCGACTCCGCGTTCTTACGCGGAGGCCGTAGAGGGTCCCTACTCCTCTCAGTGGCAGGCAGCTATGGATGCAGAGATGGCTTCTTGGAAGTCCACAGGCACCTACGTTGACGCGGTTCCCCCTCCTGGGGCGAACATCGTCAGTGGCATGTGGATCTTCAGGGTGAAGCGGCCGCCGGGTTCTCCACCTGTCTTCAAGGCACGGTACGTTGCTCGTGGCTTCAGTCAGTGGCAGGGAGTTGACTACTTTCAGACCTTCTCTCCCACCCCGAAGATGACTACTCTTCGGGTGCTGCTGCACATAGCCGCTCAGCGCGACTACGAGCTTCACTCTCTCGACTTCAGCACTGTGTTCTTGCAGGGTAGCCTGCACGAGGAGATCTGGCTTCGCCGTCCACCTGGCTTCACTGGGACTTTCCCTCCTGGCACCCAGTGGAGCCTCCGACGGCCAGTCTACGGTCTCCGCCAGGCACCGCGTGAGTGGCACGACACACTGAGGACTACGCTTGCGGCTCTTGGGTTTGCTCCTTCTACTGCTGACCCGTCGCTGTTTCTTCGCACCGACACTTCCTTGCCGCCGTTCTACATCCTCGTGTACGTCGACGACTTGGTCTTTGCCACAGCGGACACTGCTGGACTCGCCTACGTGAAGTCTGAGCTGCAGAAGAGACACACGTGCACAGACCTGGGTGAACTGCGCAGCTACCTTGGCTTGCAGATCACTCGGGACAGAGCACGCCGCACCATTACCTTGACTCAGTCACACATGGTGCAGCAGGTCCTTCAGCGCTTCGGCTTCACGTACTCCTCGCCTCAGGCCACTCCTCTGCCTACTCGCCACTCACTCTCAGCTCTGCCTTCGGATGAGTCCGTAGAGTCGAGTAGTCCGTATGCAGAGCTTGTTGGCTGCCTCATGTACCTGATGACCTGCACACGACCTGACCTTGCATACCCTCTTAGCATTCTTGCACGCTATGTTGCTCCTGGGAGACACAGACCAGAGCACATGGCTGCAGCGAAGAGGGTATTGCGCTACCTGTGCAGTACGTCGGGCATGGGGCTAGTGCTTGGAGGGCGGAGTCCAGTGGTCCTTACCGGCCACGCGGACGCTTCTTGGGCTGACGACCAGGCTACGCAGCGGTCGTCACAGGGTTACACCTTCAGCCTTGGTTCCGGCTCTGTCTCGTGGCGGTCTACTCGCTCGTCTTTGGTTCTCGGCTCCAGTTGTGAGGCCGAGATCTACGCCGGGGCCATGGCTGCACAGGAGCTTCGCTGGCTCACCTACCTGCTGACTGACCTTGGAGAGCCGCCTCGTTCTCCTCCAGTGCTGTACGTAGACAACAAGGCCATGCTGGCCTTGTGTCGAGAGCAGCGCTTGGAGTAGAGAACGAAGCACATTTCTCTCCGCTACTTCCTTGCTCGTGAGCTGCAGCAGCGTGGTCAGTTGCGACTCGCGTACGTGGCCTCTGAGGCCAACACTGCTGATGTGTTCACCAAGGCACTCGCGCCTTGTGACCATCACCGCTTTTGCACCCAGCTGGGTCTTGTGCGTGTCTTGCCTCACTTGCTCTCCTCTTGACTTCACTTGTACTGTGACATATATATATACCTGCTCTTGCTTGTCTAGTTTTGTATATATTTCTGTACTCCTGCATGTGAACTGGCCTCTGGCCCTACTCTTGTGCTCGGACTGTGTGGTGACTTTGTGATCCACCCTGAGCTTACTTTGCTTTGCTTGACTGGTCTTGTGACCCCTTGTTCTCCCCCACTTTGCCTATGGGGGTGTGTCAGATTTATATGACATAGTTGCTGTAGGCTATAGTGGGGTAGCACATATGGGGTACAGGGTTTCTAGGGTTGTATTTGTACCCAATCTTTCCTTAGTCATTTCATTCCTGTTTTCTTATTCTCACAATCGTGTCGGCGTATTTCTCGGCGCTTAGATAGATCGCTTTTTCTTCTTCGCGGATGTTGAGCCCGAGGTACTGTGTGACAGTAGAAGAGACCGTGAGCGTGAGGTCCTTCTGCAGCTCCCCTTCGAACCAGGTGGTGACGTCGTCGGTGGAGCCGATGTAGAGCAAGTCGTCGACATAGACGATCAGCAGGATGTAGTCTACGTCTTTGGTGAGTCGGTACATCCCTTGGTCGTGAGGTAGTTGACGGAATCCGATGCGAGTGAGGCGGGTATGTAGGTGCTGTTGCCACAGCCGCGGTGCTTGTTTAATCTCGTAGAGAGATTTTAGTAGCTGACAGACCTGATTGGGGTTTCCATGGGTACCGTGTGGGAGTTCGACGAAGATTTCGGCGTCGACGGGTGCGTAGAGGAATGCATTGGCGACATCAATTTGTCGCAGCTTCTTCTTCTTCATGGCGGCGATGGCGAGAAGGATTCGGAGAGAGGTATGTCGACTAACTGGGGCGAATGTCTCGGTGAAGTCTCGTCCTTGCTCATGGTCAAATCCTCGTACGACCCATTGTGCCTTGAATTTTTCGATTGTACCATCTGCTTTCGTTTTGATGCGGAAGACCCACTTCGCGGTGAGAATGGTCTTGTTTCTCGCTATGCTTGCTGGAACGACCTTCCAGGTGTTGCGTTCCTCCAATGCCTTTAGCTCTTTGTCCATGGCTTCACGCCATTTCTCTATGTGTTCCCCCCCCAGAGCCTGTTGAACTGTCGTAGGCTCTTCAGGAAGAGAGGAGCCATAGACGGCGGTGACGAGGCCGAGAATCTGCAGTCCGGTCTGTGAGTAGCGGGGGAGTGTTGTGTCCTCGGGATAAGCTGCTTCGTCTCCCGTTTCTGGGTCGGGTATGAAATTCGGTCCTACCCTTTCTGCGTCGTTGGTGTTGGCTATTGCAGGTGTTACGTAACCATTGTCGGCGAAGTGATAGAAGACTTCGGCGTTGGCGCTTTCGCGAGGATTTTCTTCGTCCATGGGGACGTTGACGGAGCTGAACGGGAGAGGTCCGGCTTCTTCGGATGCGTTGTCGACGTTCTGCTCGTCCCAGTCTGCTTCGTCTGCTGCAGAGGCGAACGCTCGGTCACCACGGAAGCCACCTGTGGGGTCCTGATTCTCGTGCAAGTTGGCGAGGTACGTATGAAGGGTGAGTCGTTCGTAGAAGATCACATCACGAGCTGCTACTGTTTCCTTTGAGTGGACGTCGAAGATTTTCCACGCGTTGTAATTTTTCTCGATGCCGAGGTGTAGTCCCCACTGTGCCCGTTGTGAAAATCTTCCCGCTCGTGCTTCTGGGGGTCGGTACTGTACCATGCACCCGAAAACTCGTAACATTTTTGTGCTGCCCTGCTTCCCTGTCCACAGCAGATGCGGTGATGCGTTGTTCGGGAGTGACGACGACGACAGCAAGTTGTGCAGCATGACAGCATGGTCCATTGCTGCAGGCCACTGGTGGTTGGGTAGCCGCATGCCACATAACAGTTTGCGCATGCTGTTCTGCAGAGTCCTGTTCATTCGTTCTGCGACACCTTGCTGCTGGTGGGCGTAGTGAAGGGAGAGGAGTTGCTTGATTCCTCTTTCCGCCAGGTACTGCTTGAACCGCTGAGAGGTGTATTCTCCTCCTCCGTCTGTCTGGAAGCTTTTGAGCTGTGTTCCCGACTCTCGTTCTGCTACTGGTAGCCAGACGGCGAACGCTGCGAGTGCCATGTCGCGGCTTAGTAGGTTTAGATGCCAGACATATCGAGTGGCGGCGTCGATGAAGGTAATTGTGTAGTTGTAGGTGACTTGTCCTGGTTCGCGATTGTAGAGGATGTCGCTGTACACCTTCTCGAGTGGTGCATACGCCGGTGCGCTCGGGTTGTGATGAGGAGCGAACGGTCGATGTGGTAAGTCAGCTTCAGGGCATGTAAGGCAAGTCCCTCGTGCCTTTTGAAGTTCTCTGCCGTCGGGTAGTAGTAAGGATTCTTTGTTGAGAACTCCTGCTCTTATCGTGTTGTTTAAAACTGTGTTGCTTGGATGTTCCAATCGTGCGTGCCAGGTTTCTTCGGAGGCGGGATGTCCGGGTGAGCGTCGATACGTGTCGGAGTTAGAGTAGAAGCTGGCGACGAGGTTGGCGCTTCTGTGGACTTCTCGTGGAGTTGGTTTCAATTGCTGTGCGGGTGTTGGTGGTTCTTCGACGACTGTTACTGGTGTCGTTGTTTCTGCTGCTGCTGCCGATGTTGTCTCTGCTGCTGCCGATGATGTTTCTGCTGCTCCCGATGATGTCTCTGCTGCTGTCGATGTTGTCTCGGCTGCTGTAGATGTTGTCTCTGTTGTTGTTTCTGCTGCTACCGAGTGTTGTATTGTTGCTAACGCACGTGTTCTTTCTGCTTCAGGGTGTGCGAGTACCAGAAGCCTTCCAGGCTGAAGTCGGGATCGAGATCCGGGGGATGTGTCCAATCGACAAAATTGACGATGGCGTCGCTATCTGCAGTGCCCAGGTCGGGGACGAAATCGAGGACGAAGACGTTGTTCTTCAATACCGCCCTTCCGATGTAGAGGCCGCCCTTCCCGTGGTACAACTTAAACTCCTGGGTGGTGCTGTCGGCTTCCAAGTGAATACCTTTCGCCATCAACTGGCTGACACTCAGTAAGTTATAGCCGAGTCCCTCCGCGATAAGTACCTTTGACATGTGTAATATGACATTTGTATCTCGTGGCTGAAGCTGTACCACTCCTTGTCGTCGTGTGCGCAGGTTCTGATTGTTGGCGACCGTAATGACTACTTCTCGCTGGAGTCGATGCTCGCGTTGAACGAAGCGCCCGGAGGAGCACATATGTTGTCCGCAGCAACTGTCCAAGAACCAAGTGTCTTGGCCGGACGGTTCGCTTTGAGCAATGGCGGCGTACGTCGGATTCGGTTGAAGAGATTCGCGACGAGGCGTGCTGTTGTCAAGTTGTTCTTCGGGTGAGTAGTACGGTGGTAACTCGATTGTGCATGAGTCGTTTATCTTGACCATGCAGTTGACAATATTTCTTGCTCCTTGTGCAGGTTGTCCAGTTGAAGTCGTTGAAGCTTGGATTGTGGTCGTCGGATTTGCTTGCGTTGAAGCAACTTGGGAGCTTGAAGAAATGGCAGGTGTACTGCTGCTTCTCATATTGTGTCCCGTTTGTTGGATATGGCAGGGACCCGTCGAAGAAGCCGAGCGTCTGTGCTCCTTCCATCATCAGTTCGAACTCGAACGACCAGGTGAAGAAGTCTTTCCTGTCGAAAGGCTTTGTCGTTTGCAGCTTGAGAATATGCGCGAATTGTGATTGAACTTGTAATGCGTCCAATGCCCTTTCTTGTCCTGGTGTAGTGGTTGCGGCATGAAACTGACGGAACCACGCTGGGGTTCGTACGGCGCAAAGGTAGGCTGCTGTTGTTGTTGTTGAATCTTGCGTGCGTAGGATGAGCCGTCGAGACTCATAAGAGTCACGTTGTTGTTGTTGCTGTTGTTTGATTGCGCAGGTGCTCCTTGCTGGTGCTGCTCGTAGAAGGACATGAAGGAGAAGAACTTCTCCATCATGCTTGGATCGAAGCCTGCTGGCGTTTCAGTGGACCCAGCTGCTGGTCTCGTGGTAGTCCCTTCCTCTGTTTGTAGGTCAGAGACAGGAGGTGGAGTAGGAGTAGTGCCTGGAGAACCGTTGGAGGAGCTCCTCTCCTTTCTGGTTGACATGTCTTCTTTGATGTAAGGAGTGCTGAATAATAAGTTTTAACTCTAACTGCTCTCATACCATGTTGGGTTGAGATGCCCTTAGGATCTTTGTAGAGTTAAGGTCTTGTGTAGATGTTGTAATAGCGGAAGCGTTGAATAAAGCTCTTGAACCACCTTGCGCTAGTATGTGAGGGCAAAGTAAGTTGATTAAAACAGGCAAATACAAGGCTTTATATAAGAGTACAAGGAATACGAATAGATATAATAAAACTACCTTGCTGTTGCGATTCGATACAGTGCGACTCGGGCAACTGCTCAATGTCGAGTCAGTTGTGTGTCCTTGCTGTCGCGCTGTATTGGTCAGGTCAAAGGTCACTGACCTTTGACCTTCACGTAACCTCCAGGCGGTTACTCTAACCTCCGAGGGTTGACTCGCGATGCTTCGATTTGGATTGCTTCGCTTTGTGTCCTGAGTTTCGACACGATAGAGGCGCTTGAGACTTATTGTTCCCAACAGTGCTAACGGGGTCCATGGGTGCTTACGCTAGTATAGCATCGTTAGCGTTTCAGGGTGTAGGCCATTTACCACGCCCTCAGTGCATTTACCGTCAGTGTAAGACCCGCTACAAGGTGCGTGTTGGGTGCCTTAGCTTAGGGTGCGTTAGATCCGCTACAATGTGATTTGGCTGCAAATTTGTCGCCCTTTTAGTCGACTCCTTTTTTCGCCAAAGTCGACAGAATGGTCGAATGCTAAACCTGTCAGAACATATAGCTTACTTGTTTGTGTAGGCTATAGTGGGGTATCCCATAGGGGGTACAACACATTAGGGTTTCCTATTTGTATTCACTTCACTTCATAGTCATCCATTCTCGTTCTTTGTTTTCACATGGAATCAGAGCAGGTTCCCTCCTAGGGACTGCTTCTAGGGCCCACCGAACCGCGCCCCGAGGCGCGTTTTTTTTTTTTTTTAGCGACCCGTCGTGTCGCCCCTAGCGGCCCGTTGCGCCGCCCTTCCCCTAACGGCTCCGCCGCCCTTCCCTAGCGGCCCCGCCGCCCTTCGATCGCGGCCCCGCCGCCCTCTGCTACGCGGCCCCACCGCCGCCCTTCGATCGCGGCCCCGCCGCCCTCGGCTACGCGGCCCCGCCGCCCTCTGCCACGCGGCCCCGCCGCCCTCTGATACACGGCCCCGCCGCCCTTCGATTGCGGCCCCGCCGCCCTCTACTACGCGGCCCCGCCGCCCTCTGCTACGCGGCCCCGCCGCCCTCTGCTACGCGGCCCCGCCGCCCTCTGCTACGCGGCCCCGCCGCCCTCTGCTACGCGGCCCCGCCGCCCTCTGCTACGCGGCCCCGCCGCCCTCTGCTACGCGGCCCCGCCGCCCTCTTCGGTCGCGGCCCCGCCGCCCTCTGCTACGCGGCCCCGCCGCCCTCTGCTACGCGGCCCCGCCGAGCCGCCCAGCATCAGCCGAGCCGCCCAGCAGCAGCCGAGCCGCCGCCGAGCCGCCGCCGCCTGAGCCGCCGCCCGGGCCACCTGAGCCGCCGCCCGAGCCGCCGCTGAGCTGCGGCCGAGCCGCCGCCCGAGCCGCCCGAGCCGCCCGAGCCGCCCGAGCCGCCCGAGCCGCCCGAGCCGCCTGAGGAGCCGTGCTGCTGTTCCTGAGCTGTGTTCCTCTGTTGCTGACCTACCCGACTCTCCCAGCCCGGTGAGACTTTCAGCTGCTGCCATGGCCACCCCCAATGTTCTTACTTTTGACGCTGAGGGGAGGGCCATTGACTTTGCCGTCTGGATTGAAGACCTGCAGCTGTACTTACTGTGTGATGCGATAGATGAGGTCTCTCTCTTTGACTTTGTCTCTGGCGCTGTCCCTGCCCCACCTGCTGATGCTGACTCTGCCGTTCGCTCCAAGTGGGCGACCCGCGATGCTGCTGCACGTCTTGCTGTGCGTCGCCACCTCCCTTCCTCTGAGCGTGCCCACTTTAGTCAGTGCAAGACCGCTCAGGCCTTGTACGACGCTGTAGTTGCACGCTACTCCTCCCCTTCCTCCGCTACCCTTAGCCGCCTCATGCTACCGTTTCTCTTCCCTGACCTCGCTTCCTTTCCCACTGTCGCTGACCTAGTTACCCACCTCCGTGCTAGTGACACCCGCTACCGCGCTGCCCTTCCTGCTGAGTTCCGCGCTGCGAACCCTCCTCCCATGTACATCACTCTCTACTTTCTCGTCACCCGTCTCCCTGAGTCCCTTCGTGTCGTTAGGGACCAGTTTCTCTCTGTCTGTCCCACCACTCTCACTGTCGACCTCCTTGAGGAGTCCCTGCTAGCGGCTGAGAAGAGTATTGTCGCTGTAGGGGCCTCTCGGGGTGACCCTCGCACCCCCATCTTTGAGGGGTGTGGTCCTTCCCCCCTGCTGCCCTCTGTCGCCTCTGCCGCTGCGGCCGACCTCACTGGTTTTGAGTCGGTCGGCGCGGCGTCTGCCCCCAGCGGCAGACGCCGCTCTGGCAAGGGCAAGGGGGGCAAGGGAGCGGGTGGAGCTCGAGGGGGCGGTGGAGGAGGCGGTGGGGGTGGCGGGGGGAGTGGGGGTGGAGGTGGGGGTGGTGGCGGGAGTTGAGGTACTGGTGGCGGCGGTGGAGGCGGAGGTGGCGGCGGAGGTGGTAGCGGAGGAGGCGGTGGGAGCGGTGGGAGCGACGGTCCTGGTGGGGGAGGTGGAGGTGGAGACGGGGGTGGCGGTGGAGGCGGGGGTGGCGGTGGAGGCGGGGGTCGGAGTGGCTCGTCCCAGCGGAGCAGCTCTGGGGGTGGTCAGCGCCAGCAGCAGCAGCAGCAGCAGCCGCAGCAGCAGCCACAGCAGCAGCAGCGCTCTCGCACCGTCCCCGCCCCTCAGCAGCTCCGTGAGTGGTACTCGCAGCGTCAGCGTGGTGGTGCGCTTGGTCCTTGCCCCTACGTTCTTCGCACCGGTGACCGTGCAGGGGAGAGGTGTGGAGGCGCCCACACAGCCCGCCGCTGCTTTGGCCGCCTGACTGACGCCTGGCGTCAGCAGTTTCCGGAGGCAGCTGAGATCCCCCGCTGGGGAGAGCTGTCTAGGGCTGGTGTAGCTATTTATGATCTTGATTTTGATGATATTCTCTCTGCTATGTATGCTGCGATTGGTAGTGATGAGGATGACTGTTACCGGTGTTTCCCGCCCGACCCGGGCATTGGTACTGCCGCGTCAGGTACTAGTGAGGCTGCTGCTCTAGGTGCCAGTGCGTCTGTGCTCTCAGGTGCTGGTGAGTCTGCCCTCTCAGGTACTGTGTCGGCTTCGGCCTCTCACACCTTCACCCTTGACTCTGGAGCGTCTCGCTCCTTCTTTAGGGACCGCACCACTCTCACGCCGCTGAGTCGGCCGGTTGCGGTGTCCCTGGCTGACCCCTCTGGGGGGCCTGTCCTGTCTCGCTTCTCCACTGTCCTCCCGTGTCCGACGGCCCCCTCCGGCACCCTGACTGGTCTTTACCTCCCCTCGTTCTCGACGAACTTGGTGAGTGGTGCTGACCTCCAGGATGCGGGTGTCCACCAGTTCACCCCTGCTCGTCAGCGGGTGACCCACTGCACGGAGGCGGATACAGGTCGCCACCTGGCTACGTTTACACGTCGGCCAGGGTCGAGCCTGTACACACTGACCACTGCTTCTCCTCCAGGTGCTGAGTCTGGTAGGGTCCCTTCGTCTGGTCAGGTGTTTGCTGCAGCGTCCAGGTCTGGTCCTGAGTCTGCCCCCTGCTCGTGCCGTCGTTTGTCTCACGAGACCCTCCTCTGGCACCACCGCCTTGGCCACCCCTCTCTGCTTCGGCTCAGAGGCATGGCCTCGCGAGTCCTTGTGTCTGGTCTTCCCCGGTCTCTCCCTCCTCTTCCTCCGGGCCCTGGCCCCACCTGTGTCCCCTGTGTCGAGGGGCGCCAGCGTGCTGCCCCTCACTCCTCCCAGTTTCCTCCGACAGAGGCCCCGTTGCAGACGCTTCACATGGACGTGTGGGGCCCAGCCCGCGTCCGTGGACAGGGTCAGGAGCGCTACTTCCTGCTGGTGGTTGACGACTACTCGCGTTACACCACAGTCTTCCCCTTGCGCAGCAAGGGTGAGGTCACTGAGGTGTTGATCGACTGGATCCGCGCAGCTCGTCTCCAGCTTCGGAGGAGCTTTGGCTCTGACTTCCCTGTTTTGCGTCTGCACTCGGACAGAGGCGGAGAGTTCTCCTCTGGCCTCCTGAGTGCCTACTGTCGTGCGCGAGGCATCCGTCAGACCTTCACGCTTCCGGACTCACCACAGCAGAATGGGATTGCTGAGCGCCGCATTGGCATGGTCATGGACGTCGCTCGTACGTCCATGATGCATGCGGCTGCTCCCCATTTTCTGTGGCCGTTTGCGGTCAGTTACGCTGCGCACCAGATCAACCTCCACCCCAGGGTCTCTCGACCGGAGACCTCCCCAGCCCTGCTGTGGACGGGGAAGGTTGGCGATGCGTCGGCGTTCCGGGTCTGGGGATCTCGGGCGTTTGTTCGCGACCTGTCTGCGGACAAGCTGTCCCCTCGTGCTTCTCCCTGCGTCTTCCTGGGGTTCCCCCCCGACGCCCCTGGGTGGCAGTTTTACCACCCCTCCTCTCGACGTGTTCTGTCCTCCCAGGACGTCACGTTCGACGAGTCGGTACCCTACTACCGCCTCTTCCCCTACCGCACTCCGTCCCTCCCCCCGCCCCCGCTCTTCTTGGTACCAGGTCCCCCCCCGGTAGTCCCCCTCCCCCCTCAGGGTCCTGCCCCTTCAGGTGTGTCCCAGGTAGACGCGGTCGAGCCTGTCGAGGTCACTGGTGACTCTGGTGCTGCTGCGGGAGCTGAGCCTGGGGGTGCGGAGTCTGGGGGTGCTGAGCCTGGAGGTGCCGAGTCTGGGGGTGCTGAGCCTGGGGGTACTGAGCCTGGAGGTGCCGGGTCTGGGGGTGCTGTGCCTGGGGGTGCTGAGCCTGGAGGTGCTGAGCCTGGGGGTGCTGAGCCTGGGGGTGCTGTGCCTGGGGGTGCTGTGTCTAGGGGTGCTGAGCCTGGAGGTGCTGTGCCTGGGGGTGCTTCGTCTCGCCTGGAGCCACTCTCCCCACAGGAGCTGCGTGAGTGGTTTGCCAGGCGCTGGAGGCGTGCTGCTGGTGCTGGTGGTTCTTCGGCTGCAGAGGGTACTGCTGCTGCGCGCCCCGCCGGTGCTCGTACTGTGGGTGCTGGAGCTGCTGAGTCTGAGAGTTCTCCTGGAGCTGGTCCTGCTGAGGGTGTTGGCGCTGAGCCTGCAGTTGGCGGTCCGACTGAAAGTGCTCCTGGTGCTGCGGCTGGAGGTTCTGGAGCTTCTGGTGGTGCTGCTGGAGGTGCTGCTGGAGTGGGTGCACCTGCCGGGGCTGCAGGTGCTGTTCCTGCTGTTTCTAGCGTCGCCGCGCGGCCCCGACCGTACTTCGTTCCGCTCCTGCAGCAGGTTCTTGGTCTTACACCTCCTCCTCCTCCCTTAGAGGGTCCGCAGCCTGTCCGGTCACAGCCACAGCTACAGCCTGCCTCCCCTTTGCCTGCTCCTTCTCCCTACGCTGGTCCGACTGGAGGTCTTACTGAGCGTCGTGAGCCTGCGTCTCGTCCTGTGTCGCCTGTTCGTACTGAGCGCGCTAGTGGTCGCGGGTCGCGTCAGCGTCCTCCTCCTGTCCCTGGCACGCACCGGATGTCACTGCGTCCGTCCACTGCTCCTCTACGTGCCCCTTTGCCTTCTCCTCCTGCTTCCTCTCTTCCTGCTCTTGCCGACCCGGAGTCGGACTCTCTTCGTGCTGCTAGTCCTACTGTCACGCGTCTCCTGGCTACTGCTGTCACTGACCCCTCCTTCGAGTCGTCTGCTGCGTCTGCCCTTGTCACTGAGCTTGTCGACTTTGCTGCGCGCTGTCGTCTAGACTACGCTGCTCGTCTTGTCACTGAGTCTGAGTCCGCCTGTCCTCCGTCCGTCGGGGGTGAGTGTGCCCTTGGCACGGACGTCCTTGAGGACAGGCAGGAGGAGTTCCAGTGTCTGGCCGCCGCTTCACCTCGTCTCGCGTCTGTACTGCTAGCCCCTGAGGGAGACCCGGATGCACCAGACATCCCGACTCCGCGCTCTTACGCGAAGGCGATAGAGGGTCCCTACTCCTCTCAGTGGCAGGCAGCTATGGATGCAGAGATGGCTTCCTGGAAGTCCACAGGCACCTACGTTGACGCTGTTCCCCCTCCTGGGGCGAACATCGTCAGTGGCATGAGGATTTTCAGGGTGAAGCGGCCGCCGGGTTCTCCGCCTGTCTTCAAGGCGCGTTACGTGGCTCGTGGCTTCAGTCAGCGGCAGGGGGTTGACTACTTTCAGACCTTCTCCCCCACCCCGAAGATGACCACTCTTCGGGTTCTGCTGCACGTTGCTGCTCACCGTGACTACGAGCTCCACTCTCTCGACTTCAGCACAGCCTTCTTGCAGGGCAGCCTGCACGAGGAGATCTGGCTGCGTCGCCCACCTGGCTTCACTGGGTCTTTCCCTCCTGGTACCCAGTGGAGTCTCCGGCGTCCAGTCTACGGTCTCCGCCAGGCGCCACGTGAGTGGCACGACACACTGAGGACTACGCTCGCGGCACTTGGGTTTGCTCCTTCTACTGCCGACCCGTCGCTGTTTCTGCGCACCGACACCTCTCTGCCGCCGTTCTACATCCTCGTGTACGTCGACGACTTGGTCTTTGCCACAGCTGACACTGCTGGACTCGCCTACGTGAAGTCCGAGCTGCAGAAGAGACACACGTGCACTGACCTGGGTGAACTGCGCAGCTACCTTGGCTTGCAGATCACCCGGGACAGAGCACGCCGCACCATTACCCTGACTCAGTCACACATGGTGCAGCAGGTCCTTCAGCGCTTCGGCTTCACGTACTCCTCGCCTCAGGCCACTCCTCTGCCTACTCGCCACTCGCTCTCAGCTCTGCCTTCGGATGAGTCCGTAGAGTCGAGTGGCCCGTACCCAGAGCTTGTTGGCTGCCTCATGTACCTGATGACCTGCACACGACCTGACCTCGCATACCCTCTTAGCATTCTCGCACGCTTTGTTGCTCCTGGGAGACACCGACCAGAGCACATGGCTGCAGCGAAGAGGGTGTTGCGCTACTTGTGCAGTACGTCGGGCATGGGGCTAGTGCTTGGAGGGCGCAGTCCAGTGGTCCTCACTGGGCACGCAGACGCTTCTTGGGCTGACGACCAGGCTACGCAGCGGTCGTCACAGGGTTACACCTTCAGCCTTGGTTCCGGCTCTGTCTCGTGGCGGGTTACCCGCTCGTCTTCTGTTCTCGGCTCCAGTTGTGAGGCTGAGATTTACGCTGGGGCTATGGCTGCACAGGAGTTACGCTGGCTCACCTACCTGCTGACCGACCTTGGAGAGCCGCCTCGTTCTCCTCCAGTCCTGTACGTAGACAACAAGGCCATGTTGGCCTTGTGTCGAGAGCAGCGACTGGAGCACAGAACGAAGCACATTGCTCTTCGCTACTTTCTTGCTCGTGAGCTACAGCAGCGTGGACAGCTGCGACTTGCGTACGTGGCCTCTGAGGCCAACACTGCTGATGTCTTCACCAAGGCACTTGCGCCTTGTGATCATCAGCGTTGCTGCACGCAGTTGGGTCTTGTGCCTGTCTTGCCTCACTTGCTCTCCTCTTGACCTTGCTTGTACCTTCGCATATATATACTCTTGCTCTTGTATATCTCTATATATGATCTTGCATGTGAACTGGCCTTGTGGCCTTTGAACTTGTGCTCGGAATGCGTGGTGACTTTGTGATCCACCCTGAGCTTTGCTTTGCTTTGCTTGACTGGTCTTGTGACCCCTTGTTCTCCCCCACTTTGCCTATGGGGGTGTGTCAGAACTTATAGCTTACTTGTTTGTGTAGGCTATAGTGGGGTATCCCATAGGGGGTACAACACATTAGGGTTTCCTATTTGTATTCACTTCACTTCATAGTCATCTATTCTCGTTCTTTGTTTTCACAAAACCGACCACCATCCAGCCACATTTACAAGGTGTTGAAATCTGACAGATTTGGTGGCCGATTTACAGGCCGGTTTGCAGAAGTGTCAAATTTACAGGTCGCACAGCTGGCCGGATTGTGCGACGGAGTCGCACGTATTGTTACTGAAGTGACACAACCGCTATTGTGCACACTGAAAGCGCCGTGCGAGTCGTCCCTGTGACACGTTGAGTCGCTTGGGTATGTTGGCCAAGTCGCATAGGTACTGTAGCGCTGATGAGTCGACAAAGTGGTCGACTCTCGATTCGTTTGTACGTCGGAAAAGTTGTCGAATGCGAAACCGGCCATCAAACCGGCCATCAAAATTTTAGCAAGTGGCCGGATTGTGCGAAATTAACGAAATACCTTACGAATGTCGTCAATGTGTAACCTTCGCTAGATCCGGCCGGACGGATCTGACGCACCCTTAGATGGATGGGTGTCTTCGGTTCAGTGGTCAGCAGTAGCCATGAGTGAATTCTACGCTAATGGGTTGGGGAAGGTGGAATCCAGGGTGGGGTGGTAGCGGATGGAACGGAACGGAACGACCAGGTCGGACGGAAATTTACAGTAGATTATCAGAAGGACCTTGTCCAAAGAATGATGCAAGGAGAGGACCTTGCAGTCCATCGACGTGGGACGGTCCAAAATATCTAGACTAGCAGTGAAAGAGGGTCAACAATAGATCCTGTCAATCACCAAACCGAACGGGACTGGAGGGAATGGGATGGACTGACGGTGGTGTCAGTTGTGAGGCAGGGAGACACCGTGTGACAATAGCGGACGGAGGAGGCGAGGGAAGAACCCGCCCGCCTCAAACAAACGAACGCGGACGGGGCGGTGGGTGGGTTACGCGACGCGACGCGAGTGTCAGTGAAAGTCTGACACGCAGGATGTCGGTTGGAGGGGCGGGGCAAGACGGAATGGAACAACGTGCTCCGATTTGTTCTTTCCTGCTCGTCTTTCGGTTCTCCCCTTATCTGCTTCTTTGCAGCCGACAAGTTCAAGTCAAGTGATGTGATGAGCTGGGGGAACTTCAAGGTGCGTGAATCCAGGCGAAGGTGCGGCATTAAAGCTTGTGTGATTGGTGGTTGCCTGCTAAAGTATGCGCAGGATACGTGTGTGGCTGGTTTGATGAGCTGTAAAGAGAATATGGATTTTGACAAGGCTGTCTCGGCAACATTCTTTGTCCGCCCGCAACATGTGTTGCAGGTGCATCATCAGTGACATCAGTTTGATGAGTGCAGAAAAGTGCAGCGTTTGTGGTGGAATAGAGTACACCTTTGTTCTCACCCTTCTCACCATCGCGCACAATAGCGGACTGGTGCGATAACTCGGTTGCGGGCAAAGTCGCACGAGGTGACGAAACAAGCCTTGGGCAGTAAAAAACCGTTAACGTTGAATAGCCGTCCCAACCGTCTTGAAAACGACAGTACCATTTCTTAAAGTTTGAAACCCTGACTGACCGCATTGGGTCAAATTGTCACTAAACACATGTGATAGGTGTCCGTTGCGGCTACACCAGGCGTCCTGGTCAGTCTAACATTTTCCAGTCTTTCGAGAAAGAAGGTGTAGAGGTTCTTCTACACCCCCCTGGCAAGAACTTCAGACATAAACCATTCCTGCGAGGATGCACTCTTGCCAGATCTACACTTACAGCATTGGGATGATATGATTTTTCCTATTTGGCAAGGCAATGTTGCCCGTATCAGTGGGCTATTATATTTTCACAGGGCAGATAATGGAGCTCGACGATTGGATAATAAGAT